TGATCTAGATTATCCTTCTACCAGTGATCTTCCGCCATATGGCCCTGCAGCATCGTCTACATGAACGAGTGATCTCCGCACTGTTTAACTGCTTGCGTGGATGGACACATCAGGTCCTGAACCAAACATGGAGAATCATTCTCACAGCTCAGATTTATGCAGTGGCAAAATCCAGAGCACGCAGGGAAAAATGTATGGATTTCTGTAGATGGGTTATTGTTGTGGAGATGGAATTGGAGTCTAAGCGGCAATTCTGTGTAAAAGTTAACGTGGTATCGTATCAGTGCCCGCTGCCAAATTGCAATCATCAGCTAGATAGATGGTAATGATGCAGGACAGCTAGAAATGAGAAATCCAATGGTGAGAATAATTGGAAGGTTCATATGATCAAACAAGTAAAAGTTAGTTGAGGGTGCAATCATCAACTGAGTACCAAGTTAATGCAGATGGGTTTCGGAATTATAATATGAATTGTATCACCAACTCAGACTTTGCAGAAACCTCAACGCTTTGTGAGTTGTTGAAGTTCAATATTTTAGTTCAGGTCATGAACTGAAGTGTCAGATTTACCAATTAAGTAGACCCTATCTACTACAAAGGGTCCAATAAAAATACAATAAAAAAAATTCGTGAGATGCACTGCGACCAGATCCATGGAAGCCCCAAAGACTGAGAGGGTGCTTTTGCCAAAGTACAACACCAATCGCTGCAGGATTTCCCAGTTTCTGGCAACTAATTTTCAATGAACTAACGTCAATCGATTGAGGTGGATGAAGAGGTTAAAGGAAAAACCAAGAATCTAAACCAGATGAATCCATAACTCTCACCGATTCCTGAACTTAATGATATACAAGAAATGCCACCCAATTCTCAATTCCTGCACCCATTCAGACACGGAAGCATTTGCCAAGAGCTCATTAATGCTGAAGCAATCACTGCCACTGTTCATCCTTCCAAAAATGAGTCGAGTTGATTGAGGAAAAAATTCTGTGATCTGATGGATCAGCCCAAAAAAAGAGAATAGTTCGATTGATGTTCTTGGAGCGAAGCCAATAAGAGCAGCGTATCGACGAAACATGGTTCCTTTACTAAGTTTAAGGGGTACTGATACGGAATTAGAAAGAGTGAGAAGAAACACTTTATGAACAGAAGCGTATAAAAAAGGATCATACAGCCGAAGCGCTTCTGTAGAGATGGATTTATATTCTCTGACGAAAAGTGGTGAACCATTGTTTTTTATTGGAATCCTCCATATTTGCTGGTCACTTTACTACTTGGTCATCATCTTGAAACTTGCTCCGATTCTCATTGCGGTAGGGGCAGCCAATCGATCACAATTTGCACCCCAGTTGAACAAATGAACCAGCTGCTTTCAGTTTCGGCGATTCAACAGCCTGTCAGGGAGCCGGACCCAGCTCAACAGTGTTGGCGCTTAAATGAATAAGCTCAACATCATATATTAAACTTCATGTTTGAACTCTGTCTCTCTGATCGCACGCGGTATCTGATCATTCCAAGGTTCGTCCATTTTTTTTAAATTGATAATTGTGAAGTAAAAATAAATAAAAAATAAATATATATATATATTTTTTTTTCAAGTTTACTGCTCTTACACATCCAACAAAAACAAACATTGCGTAGAATAATGTACAAGCTACTCAAAATGAGATGAAAAACACAGCACACTCGTACACAAATATATACATATATACATATATATATATATATATACATGATCTGTGTGTGCCTGTGTCTGTATATACAAAAGATTAAGGAACAGATGAACTTTAACATAGTTGCAGGTTTAATGTATATTTTCCATCCACCTACTTTGGCTGAAGTAAGCAATGCTGCTTGAAGACCTTGCCAGTAATGTTCAGAAATAGCTACTCCTTGCTCTACCCTTTTCGTAACACTAAAACAGTAGCAGACAACTAATTCCGAACGTCTTTAAATACAATCGGTTGAAGACTAATTCATGTTTCCATGCACACTTAACCTCAACTATATCGATAAAGTTTCAAGCTCTGTATCTTATTAAGATGTATGAATAAAGATAATTTCCATTATTGGAGGCCAAAAAGGTGATACGTAATTAGAAATTATACACACACACAAACCCATATATATATATATATATGTCAACGTTCGAATGAATGAACAAAGAAGGAAGACCAGGTTCCCTTCAACTATCTCCTCAACATTGGTGGGTTCTTTTTCTTTTTCATTTTTTGACTCTGGCGAGTTTGATTCAACAGCCCAACTTCCATAAAATCACTGCAATATGGGAAATTCCATACCGCATTCATACAAAAATAACAATTCATGTTGATACAAAGAAAACCATACCATGGAAATAGTAAAAACTATATATCTTCCAATAAAGCACATCCAGAAAAAATACTGAACGGCAATGAATGTTGTGCTGTGTATTTTGGAAATGTGCATATTAGTAAAATTCTAATAAAATCTGGGTACAGAAATAAATACTGTAAAGAGTTGAGTTTGACAGTAAATGTTAACGATCCTCATGTTACATGTCAAGTTAAATAAAATCATTAGCTGTTTGATACCTAGAGTTTTCTTTAAATCAAGTTTTGTGAAGTTCATGGCTATAATCAAATTTAGAATTAAAATGAAATCTTAAAAAGAATGAAGTTTAGCATTAAGAGTTCTCAGAAAAAATTTCAAAATAAAAATTGCTTCTCCTCTCATGATTTTTTTCTTTTCTTTTTCTTTTTTTTTTTTTTTTTTTTTTTTTTGGCTGATGTTAGGCTACATGCTTAATTATATCCCCTGTGTTGCATTTTCTGTTCCACCACAGCCACCCAAATTTTCAAAAGAAGAATTTGGTACACCACATTGGCAAAGGTGCAAGAATGCAACACTTCTGAGGATGGACATCACAAGGGGACGTAAACAAAAGAGAAGGGCTTCTTTGTGCAAGCCCGGGAAAGAAAGGATAAGCCCATTACTTGACCCATCCCAAAGTGTTAGAGGGCTAGATTGCAGAGTCCACATCATCATTATCCACATATTTTGACTTGATTTGGATAGATAGAGAGAGTAGAATAAAAAAATACAAAAAAATAAAATAAGATGCACAAGTACCCAATCCCAATCCATCCTCTCATTCTCATTCGCATTCCTCCTCACAGTGTGTGTATGTGTCTCTCTCTCTCTCTAGGCCCTGACCAAGACATGATTCAAGCAAGCAATATATGCAGCTATTTCATCTGACGTAGAAACCTCAACTCTTTGTATATCTAGTTCATGCAAACAAGCAATTTATGCAGCTATGTCGTCCAAGGTAGGAACCTCAAAGTCTCTGTGTCTCTCATTCTCTCATGCTCACTGTACGATTCTCAAATAGTCCATGCTTCTTCTTCTTCTATGTGGTCTCCTTCATTGTGTTTTTGCAACTGTGGAGGCTCCAGCAGCGGCAGCCATGGGAGGTACAGGCAGTTGATGCTTTCAGGAGGAACAGTGCAAAATGGCCCCACCTACAAGGGTGTATTCTCACCTACTTGGACATGGATGCATAGCCAACTAGTAGTCCTGCCATACCAACCTATTGCTGTTGCCTCTCCTACTACTGCAACAGGTGTTGTGCCTACCTCTTAATCCTTGCTACCCATTGCTTTCTCCCATGCCACCACCCTGGCCTCAGCCCGTGCATGGGAGGCCAGGACATGCCCTGCGCAGGGCGCAGACTAGCAGGCGCCAGGGGCATGAGCATGCTCCTCTCCCTTTCCCTCTCCTTCTCCCCCTTTGCCCTTTGTAGGGTGGAGTGTCATGCTCTCTACCCTACACCAGCTAATGCTGTTGCTGCTACTGCTGCTGCTGTCGTACCCCAGTTGAATTCTGCAGTGCCATTGTACCCACCTTACAGTCCCCAGTCCCCCCCTTCTTGGCCACTATCCATTCTTTTGAATGCACACAGACATGTAAACCATAACTGTAAATGGTGGTAGTGGTGGTGGAAGCAGGGGAATGAGAATGAAAGGGTGCCTGCTTTTTGCAGAGTGTGGACTTGGTTCACTAGCCTAGCATGCTGTGTGGTTTGTGGTCTGCAAGAGGGGTGACAGATTGAGAAGGAAAAGGGGAGGAAGAAAACAAACAGAAGAACAAGAGCAAGTTGGGGATGCTGTTCTGAACCATGTGTGTTGGTAGGAAAGGAGGCTGTTGCAACCTTTGGTCCATTTTGTTTTAGTTATGGCACCATGGTGCCAGAGGAAAAGGCAGAGAGGAGAGCTGACAAGCCCCCAAGCATGCCCATGCCTTTGTTGTGGCAACTTTGGCCTTTCCAGTGGAATATTCCTACCTGGAGGGGGGACAAGGACTTTGTATGGAACATGGTACCATCCTTTGTGCTCTGCAAAATCAAAACCCCAAAAATTAAAAAAATATTATTTTAAAAAAAATTAAAGAAAGAAAGCTGGCAAGCAAGCAAGAAATGATGCACAAAATGAGTTATTTGACTGTATCTGTCACTGTTCTTTCATGCTGCACTAGTGATTTACTCAAATAGATGATGAGTGGGTTTGGTTGAGAATAAAAACTTCAGCTGATATCAGATGCCCTTGGGCAGTTCTTTGGGCATCTCAAGTAAAAGCTTGAAGCATGCAAACCCTTCCAATTGAAAAATTCTGTTCACTGTTGCACAGCAGTGGCAATCTTCCCAGATGATAGAAGGATCAAAATTAGAACCGAATTCTTAATGTGGTTACACATTTCTATTTGTGCAGGAAAGTAAGGCGGCCACTAATTCCAAGGCCATGAAGAAAATGAGACCCAAATCAGGAAGGTTAAAAAATTTAAACGATACAAGAAAACGATACTCCTTCTTAATAACCGGAGTGACGACTCAAGCATGAAACAGTTCCCGCTTTGATGGGCCTTGGAATTTGGACTTAGCTGCGTATATTCGGTTGCTTAGCCCACCGCTCTCTGCTCTGTCCGCTGGACGGCCTTGCCCGTTAGCAAGCTATATATATCGCTGGCCACTCCCGCCAATATTCAGTGTGTGCTTGAGCTCATCACCATACTCAATCCCTCAGCTGTCTTCGCTCGCACAGCCTCCCAGTCCCTGACGGTGTGTCAAGAGGTTCATATTAGCGGGACCCTGTCGTGTTCACTGCGGCTCCAGTGTGTGTCAACGTGCAGGTGTGAAGATCGTCACATGCAGGGGAGTGGTAGAGCCTAGTGGCAATTAGCTTGGACCAGGTGCCGAGGCTCGCGGTTTCAGACGCTGCAAACTGTGTTACTTCTGAGTCGGAGGTGGCGGTGGAGGTGGATTTGCTGATTGCCTGCGTTGTTGAGATTGGCACGGTTGGTTGTGGTTGTTTCAGCGGTCTAGTTGGTTGCCAAGTTGTAGGTAGTATCATGGGCGCCAAGCAGATGGAACAGGAGGCACCCGCGTTGGTGCTCCCTTACGTGGAGAAGATGGAGAAGAAGCTCAGCTTTGCTTCGAAGCGGTTTAAGAAGATCTGCGTGTTCTGTGGTAGCAGCAGTGGCAAGAAGGGCGTTTTCAGTGATGAAGCTCTCAATCTTGGCCGCGAATTGGTACGTTTTACTGCCTCCAAAATCCTTTCGAGTTGATCGATCAGGTTAGACCTCGGGATGCTTCTTACCTATGAACGATTTCAGCTTAGCTAAGATGGAGTCTTCAAATAGAGTCAGTTGCAGGCTCTTCGTGTCTTATGTGTGACTCCGATTTTTGACGACGTTGTCTGAAACGGAACTGATGGTGCAGGTGGATCGGAAGATCGATTTAGTTTACGGTGGAGGCAGTATTGGCCTGATGGGCCAAGTCGCCCACACTGTTAAATCTGGAGGAGGCCATGTTGTTGGGTAAGTATCATGTCTACACATTTCATTACTTGTACAAATCTTCTGCAACAGTCCTTAGAGGGTTTGTGAATGAAACTGCATGTACATATTTGAATGTACCGAGACCTCCTTCTTGGATTTACAGACTTAAACTTACAAAGTGATTTCAGTGTCTACTAATAAGACGACTGTGTATGAATTCCACGGCTCTCTGTCTTGTGATAACATGATTCTTTTTTGTTCTAATTGCAGTGTGATTCCGAAAGCACTCATTGGTCCAGAGCTTACTGGCAGTACTGTCGGGGATCTTATTGCTGTCTCAGATATGCACCAGAGAAAGGCAGAAATGGCACGGCAATCAGATGCATTCATAGCTCTTCCAGGTGCATTTTCATGGAATATTTATAATTCTTTGTCAGTCCTTCTCTCGTAGTTTTCTCATCCTTCTACTCGCAATCAGCACATTTGTTGCGAAACAATTTCTGTTTTATCTGTGAAACTGAAATTGTGCGAGTTGATCTGCAGGAGGGTACGGGACCCTGGAAGAGCTTGTTGAAGTTATTACCTGGAATCAGCTGGGCATACACAAGAAGCCGGTACGTGGCAAATCTTATGACTTGATCTGCAATCGACCAGTGCTCATGTAACATGTAGTGTCAACTATTTTCAGTAAATCTATCATGAAGACTTTTCTTTTAAAGCGAAGAGCGCGAATGTGCAGGGATTTAGACGTTTATGTTGTTTTTCTGCAGGTGGGGCTTCTCAACGTGGACGGGTTCTATGACACCTTGCTTACCTTTTTCGATAAGCAAATGGAAGAGGAGTTCTTCGACAATTCAGCTCGTAGCATAGTCGTGTCTGCTCCGACTGCAAGTGAATTGCTAGACAAGCTGGAAGCTTATGCCGCAACTCCTGCGTATGCTGGCCCAAAACTATGCTGGGAGATGGAGCGGCCATGTGCAATAGGTTACACTACCACCCCTATCGCTGGCCTCGGTCAATGATTTGCAGGCGTGGATGGCGTCCGATGCCACTCCACGAATCAAGGGATGTACATACTGAAAATCAGCAATTCAAGCATGACAAAATATAAGAGCCACTACAATTCCAGTTTTGACTCTGCGCACACGAAGGCCTTGTGCTTCTAGTCGGCCATTTTCTGCCCTCCTTTCAATGAAGGAAACGTGCACTGTTCAATTCACTCAACGATGGTCTATCGCTTCCCTACAGGTATGAAATTTCCGTTCTCGTCAACCTCTCCTGTTATTTACGCTTCGTTCACCCTCACCTAGCACAATAATACCAATGGACTTAAACTGACAGTGCTGTTTGGTCGTGCAGATACGTGAACTCGTGGCAAGGATTCGTCGATGGATACCACTCGTCATCCTACCTTGCAGTCCGATTTATTTTTTTCCATCTCCCCATGTAACAGGATAATGTAGATTTTCGCTTTTCGCTTTTCGCTTTTCCTTCTCCTAAACTCCTATAAGGCCCCTTGGCGTGGGTGTACTATTTCAAGTCTTACATTTCCAATGAATAAATTCCATCACCATTCAATTTCGACAACCTCCAAAGTCTCACGACATATGTGTTATCACAGGATTTCATGAACACATCACCATATCCTTCAACTATACTATCTGTCATTGATGTTGATTATCGGTTAAATTAGCTGCAACCAGCATCCGCCTAAAACAACTCGGATTACATCAGAGTTCACGTCAGTACTGTGGGAGCCAGTACAAGATAACCTACTGTACCTGATTGAACTCAGCATAACTGATCCCCATTTCTTGTTAAGCATCACTTACGTCTGACATTGCGATCAACGCGGTCTGACTTGGACTCGTCCTACCTCCCAGTCTCATGTCCTCGAAACTATAACATCTCCCATACTTTCAGATTTTCCATCTCATGTACTACATTTATCACATACACTGAGAACTTGAGGAAATATCTCTGTAGTATACTTCCCATACGTCTAATTCTACACAGTTTTCGAACCTCTATTTTCGCAACCAAGTTATTGTATGACTCTAATATACTAGAGTGAAAGCTTACAGCGGCGTGATGAATAGTGACAAATAACGCTGGTTTACTTCGTGATCACCTCTTTAAAAGATATATGCTGCAATTGTGATCTGTATTCGAAGAGCAGATGGGATGCTTGCTCTAAATCACACGGATGAAGTGCAGTTCACCGCACAATTCGATAGCAGCATTCTAGGCCAGAGATTGTCCGCGGCTTGCAGACTGCAATTCTGCCCATGTTGTAACCCGGTTGAGCAACTGGGTCACACAGATTCTGTCTGTACGCTCTCAGATCCTTCACATTCTGCAGCATATTCTTCAACGACTGAAATGAATTCTTCTCCATCTGGTGAACGGTGAACAGACTGCGTCGAACAATGTATTTTCACTGTGTATGTTATACTAAATTACTAACAATAACTTTTTTTGAAGTTGAAAATGTACATATAAATATACATACATACATACATACATACATACATACATACATCTAATTTAATGAAAACTATGATGGATTAATTGTTGAATTCTTCAAATTTTAATGGAGTTTAATAAGTAAGCACTAACATGGTACTTTGTGCAGTAGATAAAAAAGAGGGTACTTTTGGCACAACATTATTTGGGCTCATTAGATTATTGCACAAAGGAGGAGAGAGCCATACCTTGAGAAATTAAAGTAACAATCTTGGGGATTCTTGGATCAACCAATTTTAATAAAGTTAGACAAAATCTAAATATAATATAAATACATTTTTAGACACTCATTTTAACTTTTACTAAGTATTAGAGATATAAACAAATGTTTGATAAATATGATGCAAAAAAGGTTGAGTTGTTGGTGTATTACTAAGATAATTGTAGTTAGAAGAAAATTTATAATAAACAGTGTCATTCTATTATCTCCATACTTTTTTCTTCCAGTATAGGAAAGTTCCACAAAGACACCTAGAAAAATTAAAAATTTGGTAAAGAATTGTTTTAGTGAGAATTCTCAATCTTTAATTTTGTTTTAGAATGGACTATAACAAATGTTGCAAATATTTCAAGGACTGGAGACTAGGTATAATTAATCCAAATGTTATTTTCAAAATACTTTTAACTAATTGGATTATTATTGCACTACATCCACAATAAGCTGACGTAAAACAATCTTTTATATATAAAATGATAAAAATAGTCTTATATTAAAAAGGAAACAAGCATCTAGACTTTATCTAAGTTTTTTTTTTCTTATATAAACAAATCATTAGATTTAAGAATTAAATAAATATTATAAAATATTAGACTATAAAATTTTATAATGGATAGATGAAAGAAATGTGTATAATAGATAGACAATATTTATAACTCTGGTAATAGTAAGATTTAGACTTTTAAAGAGGTGATATATATATATATATATATATATATATATATATATAGGAGTTTAAAAAGTATTATTTGAATACTTTACAACTTTTATTTCACTATTATGATATAATATTATGGATACAAGATTGATAGCACCCAAGAAAGAAGAATTAGTAGATCTATATGACACAATAAACAACACACAATCAATGGTTATCTTTCAGTTCTATAAACCAAGTTTAATTCCAAAAATAAGAACATGACAGTTAATCTTTATTGAATGGAAACCCAACCATAATTAAAATAAGACTTAAATAGAAATATTGGACAGAATATTTATAAATTAGAAGGATTCTTATACATATTAAGGATTATTTTGAAAAATAATTAAGAAAATTCAAAAGCTTTAAAATTATTCTATACCCAAGGTAATGTCATTGATTTTAACCTCCTAAGTAGTGGCAGAAAACTAAGAATAAATTAACAAGATATATATATATATATATATATATATATATATAGCAAGAAATTACTAAACTTTGAGAACAAAGAATAGAATCTAGCAAAAGAAAAATAGAATTGCATTATAGAACAAGATCATGAGTTTGATTTGTTCAAATTTTGATCTAAAATTATTTAAAAAGAAGTAAGTTGTGCTTATGTGGCTAATTTGATATAAGGGCTTGGTATTTAATACATAGAGGGTTTAAAGTCACCATTTTTATTTTTTTATTTTTTAAGCCAAGTTTGCTTCTCCAAATCCTTAAAAATAATATTCATTTGTTTTTAGAAATACAATCAAATTAGCAAAATATTGAATAATCTCTCTTTTGCACAAATTGAATTTTGAATATAGGTGTTGAAGGCCTTCAAAGATAATCACAAGAAACTGGACTATCTTTGCAAGATCTCTCCCACCTTAATTCAATTGTTTTAACTTTATTTGATATCTATCAAAGGATCTAATTTGTGGTATATTTGGATCCAATAAAATTCAAAAGAATTTAGATGGAAAGAATAGAATGATATCTAAGTTAAGAAAATAATTTGGACAAGTATCATAAAATATAAGAAATTGTCATAGAAAAAAATAAAAATGAAAATACAGATGAAAAACAACCAAACCATAATTTAATCTCTTCAAATAAAATAATAAAAAAATGGAATAGGTTATGGATAACAAAGAAAATACTAGGATATAGAAAAAATGGTGTAATTAAATGAAATGATGGGATTACACTTAGTGGGATCATAGTCCATTTCAAACTTCACTTGCTATTTTAGTAACATAATTAATTTTGTATATTTTACCACTCTATTATCTACTTAATAGAGCAACTATTTACATGTAAAAAATAAAATAATGATTAAAAATTATTTATTTAAATCAATGATTCTTTGATACCATATTGTTAAAATTAAATATTCTTAAAACAAGTTTTATATGCAATGTACTACAAATAGTATTTGTAGGTTTTCAAATTTTATTTTATTTTGTTATATAAAGACACCAAATTTCTTAATATTACAACTTTGATATGTTTGATTGTTTTCTTTTTTCTTCTTTTAAATTTTTATTATCTCGTGTTTAATATATTCATTGAGAAGATTTTAAATGATTTTGAAACAATGAAATATTTGCGGCAAGGACTTCTAACACTTTAATGGAAAGGCATACATTCAGAAATAACTGTCAAATAAACCAATTATCCCTATTATTATTATTATTATTATTATTATTAAATGCATAAAATCATTTCACTTGACCAAAAAGATAACAATTAACCAATTTTGTTTTTTTTAAAAAAAGCTATACATTCAAACAAAGTTATGAAGAGCCTCTAGTGTATATATATATATATATATATATATATATATATGTATAATTGCAAGGTCTAAAATTAGTGTGATAGTTGTTCAACTAAAAAAATGACTAGTTTTTTTTATTAAAAAATAATGATAATAAAATATATGGTTTTTATTTCCTTGTATAATTTAAAAGCACTTTTGTAACGGATTCCTTGACAACACTTTCACTTGCTACTAATAACAATCGTTTCTATGTGAGTATCATTATTTTGTGAAGCATCCAGAGTGTTTTTCTATATGTATATGTAAATATATATATGCTCACACACAAGTAAACGCTTAAACCATTTCTATATCTCTTGCTGATCTACACCTGAAATAAATGCAACTTTAATCTCCTACATAGAAAGTAAGGATTCAGTACTGGTCATTTACAAAATATATGGAAATTTTACTTGTGCATGAGTATGTGTTAGATTCAGGGCTCTCTTCAAGAAGTCTACCGATACAACCACAGACCGCAACGTTATGACTAAAACGCTTGCCAGTGTCGGGCTTGCATATTGTAGTCTACAGTAACGCTCGACCAAAAGATAATGTAGGAGTAGGAATTCAGGAAAAATCAGAAAATTCCGATTCTTTTGAGTGATGAATGAGAATCTAGCAGCGTATTTGAGAATTTCGGGACTGGTGCCAAACCTTATCTTCCACTAATTGATATAATTATGCTCAACGTTACATTTCCTTGACGCTGATAAAGAACGTTGAAGTTGCCAGATTCTGCAAGAAAAACGTCTTTGTAACCACTGTAATTAAGTTGCAATAAATTCAGTCACAGACTTGTATACCAGATTTTTGTAGAAAAGACTTGTCAACCATAATCTTGAAGGTGGGCGAACATCTACACCATCACCTAAACCTACTTAATAAAGCTATGTCTGCATGATAAGAGTGCCACTAATAAAATATGAACTGCGAATCAAAAGTCGGTATGATATAGACACACTAATTGAGGGTGCGTTACAGGCGACCGACAAAGAGGACATTCAGGCTTCTCGTTGCACCACTCTGCCACGCAATTCCTGCATCATGAAATGCGTCTCGTTAAGAGCATGTAAGCAGTTAAATATTGACATCGACTTAAGCATGGAGATCCTATAGGTTGGGATTAAGTTGGACGTATTGAACTTTCTAGTATATCAATCCGTTCTGATCATCTGCTAGGTTAACACAAGTTCGACAATAAGGCAAACTATAAAGTTGAAAAAAAACCAACCAACAGAAAACATGACCACACGGTGTTGCAGTGGGATGTTGACGTGGGCTAAGACAAAGCGGACATTTTCTCCTTCCACCTCCCTGCGCACCAAATCAACTAGACCACTGCTGAGTATAGAGTAGCTCATTCCAAGTCGTACGAAGTTGACAGATTAATCCATCCGGATTAATTTATCCAGAATAGTAGGTTAGGCACAATCATAATCAACCCCTCTGGGGATCCCAACACCAGGTTAGCAAACAGCCAAATGAAACTGACCCAGGCTCATCTATTATGGTAACTAATTAATGTGCATAAAGTCGTAATTTCAGAAAGGAAGCACTCGAAAACTAACCTCAGCATCTCCGGTATTGGCAGCTAATGTCCAGTCATCTCCCACTGATTTCATCTCTTTCTTGAAAGTATTGGTTCCATCAACATCTAAAATTGCTATACTTTGTCGTCCTGCACAGAAAAAGTACCAGACATACATCTGAATATTTATTCCACACACACATACACCATGTCAACATGCAATTTGTGTCGCTACTTCACCTGAGGACACTGCTGAAGGATCCCTTATTCGAGATCTCATAGACGTAGCCAGAGCAGGCAGAACACTGCGGCGCAGCCAGTCTCCACCTACAATGCTAAGCTGTATTAGCAGAAACATACCAAGCATATGATACCTGCAGCACAGCCCAGAATCAATGAACAAATAGGGAACGCCAGCCTGGAAAATTCAAAAGCTAATAAACCGCCAATAAAATAAAATTTCAAAAGATTTGTGCGATAGTATACAATGTCTTTCTATTCCACACTCAATACATATTTGAAAAGCATCCTAAACAAATGACACTCAATAGACTCCGAACATGTATACTGTCATACTCAGATATTTCAGATGGCCCGTATCTATAAGTAAGACCTCGTAAGGCGATGTGTCACCTGTTCATGACGAGCACACAGAAAGTGAATAAGCAACTAACCTTGGCCTCTGTTGTGCAGGTTTACCCATGAATATGTATTGTATGCCAGCAAAACGTTTCGCCAAATGGTAATAAACCCCTGCATATTACTCAAAAGAAAGCTGTCAAGACTCTGCATCAAGTCAAATACAATGTGTGGAAAGATCAGCCGACCAATATCTACTAAGCATCTTTAGACAAGGTATGCTTGCCAGATGTATACAATTTCGTCATCCTTAATGAATAAATAAGCACATTACATTTACAAACGGTCCAAAACCGCAAGATGACAGCATGCATCACATGAATCCAGTGTGCAATGACGACACCTAAGACCTCACAAACACCAAAAATCCACTGTACTAACATACCTTCAAAGTAGAAAAGCATGAGATGGGCCCTCAAAACAAGCAGAAGGGCTTCTTTTACGGACGGAAGAATCTGTGAAAAAAGAGTCCAGAAACGCTTGAATAAGCCTCACATTTCCAATTATGCAAATGCTCATGAGAATACAGATGAACCACCCCCTCAAACCCGTAACTCCTCAGAAGCTCGACTGCTACAGAAACCAGTTCACTTACAGTGGGCCATTGTTGAAGAGCTGCATTGTAACGTTGACTCATTCTTTGAGACCAGGATTGCCATATTTGAATGATACTCCGTCTTTGACTCAAGACAATATCCTCGCCACCTATCTCTGACGTCGATTCTTGAGTAAAACCGATTCCTCGAAGCTCTTCAGCATTTGCAAGTGCATTACCTCTTGCAGCAGCCCGAGCACTAGCACAACATCCACCAAGATGGCAAGTTAAATCATATTTACATCTAGTTCCAAAGGCACGCATCGTTCTGCTCGAGACAAATACGCTAGGAGATAATGAAAAGTGAGGCAATTATAGACCATGTACCCCTTGCAAAGAAAAAAAAAAGAAAAGGGGGGGGGGGGTGTCAACCGTGTCTTTTAGTGAAATTCATTTACAAACTCGCCAACAATCACCCATCCTCCAGGGTAGCAACAGGAATAAATATGCCGTAACTTTGTCATGGTTTAGACAACCTCAACCAATTACCAGAGTTTTTCATCAATCATAAAGAGGCGAGCATAACATAACTAAAAACTACGTGGTGCATACTAATGCTCGCCCACCCAGGGTCACAAGAGAATGTTGGAGTTGATTATTGTCCGTCTTCACATTTCTCACCTAAGACGTTCTGTCAGATACGGCAGCACAGTCTGGTAGAAAACAAGAAGTGTCCTGCGAGCCGGAGTAGCTGGAAGTTTTGAATTCACCGCCACCTACCAAAGAATGAAAAAAAATGACAAGATGAAATAGAAAAAGAATATGGAGATTATAACAATACCACTCATCAATCATTTGAACCCCAACTGCCAATGAATTCCCTTATTAAAAAAAGGGAAACTACGGTGATTGTGATTAAAAATAATTCAATCTCGTACATTACGAAACAACTCACCTGTGATATATCGCAATATTCCTCCCCAAGAGTCTGGAGACCTGCGCCAGTAGTTAATAGATAATATAGCACCCGACCTGCAAGTTTTGTCTGCAAGCATAAAGAGCTGTGACTCATCAACTCAATCTTTATCCCCTGAAGTATCACCAAAATGAATAACAAAAATGTACTCCTGCACCCGCCTAATTTGGATAAAGACGATGCTCAAGATCTGGGTGCTACATCTCAATTTCCAAATCCAAATGCTACCAAGACCACGAGAAGAACCACGGATCAAAGTAATGACACCAACCTCGTTTTGATAGGCCACAGCAAGTCGTGTTCCTGTTAAAAAAATAACAATTCACTTCAATCATGAAAAGGATGTTCAAACAATCTTGGCAGGCACGCCCATATTAGACGCTAAAACACTTGGAGCTGAGACAATCACTATGAAGCTTTCATACCAATCTTAGCAGTTGCTGAATTTTGCTACAACTTCCAGGAAAGAATTTGCAAGCCACGGGGGGTCAAAGCTCCATTCAAATCCAAACGCTCAAGCAAAAAAATTGGGAGGCGAATAAAATGAACACGATGCCTACACGATTTCCACAAATTGGACGGACAATTAACTTGGTTTGCACTTCAGAATCCAACAAACCCTTTCAAGGATCCCCGAACCTGAAGCGCCTGTACCAAAACCTCAAATCCCATCCAAATTCGCTCCAAACATTGCAAAATCCCAAAATAGTGAAATGTTGGCTAACCGAGTGCATGGCGAAACGCTTCATGAGCAGCATCGCTCAAGCTAGCAACATAGTGCTCATCTTTCTCCGCAGCTCGCATCACTTCCGGTTGCGCAGCTGGCGGAAAGAAGAAGCTCGGCAGGGAGCCACTTCGGCCGTTGCCGCTTCCTGCCGAAGCAGCAGAGGAGCTCTCCGCGATATCCATCAAACCACCTCAACCAAAATTCACCTGATTTCAAGCTTTAAAATCCGTCCACCAACCAACCGACCAGCCGAATTGGAACCTACTCCTTTCATACGAATTAAGAACCCTAACAGTGGAATATGGCATTAAACCCTGAACAACACCGCAACTCGGCAAATCTCCTCACATGAAACGCATCACTGAGAATCCCGCTGCCTCCAAGTTCGAGGCCACAAATCTCAGCATGGCGTCAACAGTGCAGTCAACAATTGGCAAACTCCGCAGCTAATTAAACACTAACAATTCGTGTCACAAGCTTGGGAAGATGATCTCCAGCACGTTGCGAAGGCCCTGCTGCAACCGAAATGCTTCCCCCTCCCCCTGCTACAATCTCGAGCCCCTATTCCTCAGGGAGTTCACGGGAACCGATGCCCGTGACTGAAGACCTGTTTCCGACCCAATTTGTCATGTCTGGATGTGGGCTACCACCTCATCTCTATTTCGCTTGGTCTGTTCGCCACGTGGGCGCCGGGATGGTCGTCACTGTTATTCTCTACTCTTAATTGCCACGCTGGACAGTTCCTGAAATCTTTGCCCTATTTTTTCATTCTGCACTTTGACTCGCCCTTTTGTGGGTAAAATGATTCTTAATAGACCTTGGTCGTTGTATTATGAGCAGAGCATTTGTGATGTAAACAATGAAAATTACTTATTCAATCAACCTTTATTCCCAAGATTCAATATTAAAAAATGAATAAAGTTTCTATTGGTATTGAAAAAATATTAATTGCAGAAATTATTCCTTTCCCCGTATTAATCCAAAGTCCAAGTAAAAATTAGAATTTGGGTTTTAAGGAGTTCAATCATAATTGCAGATGAGTTTATAAGGTTTTACTTAAAGTTAAGAAATGCTACATATTGTGTATTTTATGTATAAATATTTAAGAACATATATATATATATATATATATATTCATAACTTGCAATGTTGATAAACATGTAATGTAAGCATACATATATATATATATATATATATATATATATATTTCTTAGTATGGTCATTATTTTGAATTAGATATTTCACAATTTTTGAGAACCAACAATCTACAAATTCAAAGTTTCTCAACCAATATTAGAGATGCAAGTGATCAAAAAATATTTTTTCAAATAAGCTCTTGACATGAGTGAGACAAGATATGAGACATTTGTCATAAAGAAGGAATGCCTTTGATTTTGAATTAGAAGTAAAATATTTTTTCTCTAAAGAAACGAAAAATCAACTGCTCCCATGAGAGATTAGACACTCAAAAGTACTACTTCAAAGCCAATTATAATATTAATGATTATTTCAAAATGTGTAAACATCTTTTAAGATATGTCTTAATTTAATTTAATTTAATTTTTATTTCTTTTTGAAGACTTGAAAAAACAAATGATGATATTTAGAAGAAGATATTCATCACTACCTTGTATTAGAAATTAGTATCCAGAGATATTTGAGGAAATTTATATAATTCCATGAAAGATATGACAGAGAAAATTTTAAATATTTTACAGATTAACACAATTATGATATTCATAAGTGTTTATATGACTTAGAATAAAAATTAGAAAATATACACCGAGAAAGAAAAAATAAATAAAAAAGGAAAAGAAAAAGAAAAATTATATTAATGATTGATGCAACTATAATAAAACCAAACATTAATGTTAAGTAAATTATTCCACAGGAAACATTATTTTTGAAATTAAAAATAAATTTAACAATATGATTTACGATTATAACACAACAACATGAAAATTTCTAGTGATGTTTACAGTTTAGAAATTAAAGCATATAGATATTGAGACAAAAGATCTCAACTTTGAGAATCGATTTTGTTAAGAACTGTTAATTTTTAATCTTTAAAAAAATAATAAAATAAAATAAAAATCTTTAGAATGAGAAGATAAAAGTTTAATTAAACATATTCGAAATAAAAATAATTAATCTTGGTTGTCTTTAGTAGATCCAAAAAACAACTCAACTCTATATACCACACTTCTAAATTCATACCTTCTCTTCTTTCTTCTCCATTCCACATCTTTATCAATTTTTTGAAACTTTATATCTTTCTAATATGGAAGCTAATATTTTTAAGATAATAATGTTGTTGTCTAATTTGTCTTCTTTTGGAACCACATGCTTTTCCTATCAATAAAAGTAATACCAAATAAATTTTTATAGTTGTTAATCTTCAAATTATTGCTAATATAGACCCTATTAGGAATCAAATGTTAAATGAATTTATTTTGTGAATAACAAAACATCATAATTGATTGGTTTTTATTATTTTTTTATATATAAAAAATAATTCAACAATGACTTCAATTTAAACCTCTTATATATTGTTATTATTTTCTTTGAGTAGAATGATGGATGCAATATTTAACAAAAATATTTGCAATAATAATAATAAAGTATATTATATGATAATGATAGTAAGATTAATAGGCATGTATATTTACAAGAAGTATGGTGGTTGTACAATGATGTCATATCTCATTCTCTTGTTGCAATTATTGTTATTTATTTATTTAGATTAAAGTTGTGTATATTATTGTTTTCTTAAATTGATATTTTTAAGATAAAATATTTAGAATTGTTTGTGATATTGTATGAGTTTTTTGTAGTTATTTTTATGATTAAAATTGGAGCAACAAATAATGTGTAGGATTTGCTAAGGCAACCAATTCAATGGCTTTTGCCAAAGTAAACTTAGGCTTACTTTCTGTTAATAAGGTTTGTAAGATTGCTGTGTAGAATAAGTATATACTAAATTAAACATATGCATGGATTTAAAAAAAAAGAATTCTCTATTGTTTTGCAAGAAGTCATTTGATTAGTTTCCCATTAAGAGTTTTCTTTTAGACTATTGAATTGGTTTATGTTTTAACATTGGTTGAAGGTTTGGAAATTTAGAACAATTGCTATGCTTACAAAAAAAAAGGTGATATCATAATTAGCAATTCTTATTATAAGAACAGCAATATTTATATTTTAGAATGTCTGTAAAAGAATTTGTTATTGGTATAGGTTTTTGATAATTTTACATACTTATAAATTTAGTTTATTGACTTGATAATGGTAGATTATCTTGTAAATATATCTATTATGTTAAACTTAAATTTTGAAAAAAACATAATATTTTTAAAAAAACTTCTGTACTTTCAAATATACCAAACATGTTTATCAACTTGTTGGAAGTAATAAACACAACAGTTTTGCCAAGATATGTGAAAGATATTAGCAAGTTAAAAAGACCTTTAATTCAAAAAAATTGTCATTTTCAAACTAATCAATAGAATCTTATATAAATCACAAATCTCCTAACAATGGCAAGTGGATAGTGAAGAACCTGGATAATACATCAAAAAACAAAATGCACGATCTTGTCGTAATACACCAAGATTGGCAACAGTAAAGCTTGTTCATTATGGAGGAATAATCTCAAGTTCTACATCAATTTTTTACTAAGATATCAACTTCCTAGGGATATTGATGATTTTGCTCCAACATTTGATGAGGACAAAGCCCTCACAAAGAACTTGAGTTTGGGGTTTTTGCATGGTGGTCATATATTGAAAGAAAATCTGCGGGAATTCAAGCTCTTTTGTAGGGCTTAAATGAACTTACGAAAGTTTTTCCTATTCGAAGGTAGTGCGACTTGAAATGCAAAACTGCAGAGAATTCCAAGAGCCCCACTTCAAGCTCTCTTTTTAAGCAGACAAAAGGAAACTGGGATTGCTTCTCTAACGTAATGAGCAGGTATATACAGTATTAAAAGAACAACGGTGGCCAGATTTGAAGCCACTGTTGGAAATGCCAGAGGGAAGAATCTAACGTTGAATCGACAGAATGACACCCATCACCAGACCGGAGCTAGCCGATTGCTAGCTCGGAAAGAAGTAAGAGAGGAGAAAGGAAAAAAGAAGAGCAGAAAAAAAAAAGCGATACACATCTTCAATGTTCGCATGCAATCAATCTGCTAAAAGAATTTCTCACCGTGGCATCATGATGCGATCACGAAAGCATAAGGTGAAAGATGCCGAACAAACGCACCCCAGCTATGGAACCCACACTGCGCAAGCGGGGCAGTGGCGTCACCGAACCCCGCCAAACCCGCAGCCCCGATCGCTCACACAAATCTCCGTATAATCCATGCTGAAAACTGCACACAGGCGGAGTAACATAGTTGATTGCGGTGGAGATCACGAAATCGGAATTACCCACAATTTCAAACGATGGAATTGGAGGTGCAAGGGTGTGGAGAATGGCGGGAGGGCCGGGGCGGGAGAGCGAGGGACGGGAGGAACGGGATGGATAAGGTAGCCAGGAGAGAAGAGGCGAGGGGAAGAGTGAGTCTGTCCACATAAGCGTGACACTCGCATTGCAGCTACCTCCACGGACATTCCTTACAGATCGGTTTGGAGCTGCGGGGCTTCCTCGCGCGGTGTCTGACGAGGCAAGCCTTTTGGTCCAGTCACCGGAATCTTAAACACGAGGTGCGGACTTTCAAAGAAGAATTTGAGAAGCCCACACACCCCTCCCCTACTTTTTTGATTTTTTTATTAATTTACATTTACATTTTGTGAGGAGATTGATATTTTTGAAAAGTTTCAGGACAAGCTCGATACATTGCATGCTTACCCTCCGAACTTTAATCGGAACCGGGGCATCAGCAACTCGATTTTTAATATTTTTAGTATGAAACCGTATGCTATATTCGGAGACACAGAAGAGAATATGCGTTTCGATGAATTCCAACTTGCTCAAGTCAGCAGAGCTTCGAACGCCATCTTTCTCAACCATGACTGCACAACGAGTGTATAATAAGGATTGGAAATGTTCACAAGAGTATTTCGAGACTCCGAAATTCTGTGATAAAATATCTCCATCAATTCAGTTACTTATTTTTGGGTGCACATACCAGATTCCATCGCAGGTTGTTGCTCATCAAGTGATACAGGAGTTCGCCTCGGGACACTGCACAAGCTTCATGCCTCCACACGAAGCACAGTGTTTTTCTTTTGTTATATATATATATATATATGTATATATATTTTTTTTCTCTTCTTGGGGTGGCGAAATTGTTGTTGAGCAGCGCCACAGACCCAATGAAGAGGGAACCGCAAGAGGACGAATCAACCAAGCCACCTTGACCCAAAGGAGAATTCACTGTTGCGGTCCCCAAAAGAAGGGCCTACATTCACGCTCCGGGTACAGCACCAGAATCATGCGGAGGAGAGCTGGCGCGGGCACGGACGACGACTTGCAGGAAGGCAGGCAGGCAGGCAGGCAGGTAGCAGGTGTGCAGGGGCCAGCAGCACCACCACCGCGACAGAAAGGCCACCCTCCCCCAGCGAAATCACTCACCCCCAGCACCCTCCCCGGCATCCAAGCCAACTGGACGGCACCCAGCTGCAGCACCCTCCACCCCGGCCCCTTAGGGTGGGGTAGCGTAATTTAAGAATAAAGTCCAGATGATATGGGAAGCTTGCGTAACCTCGGGGAGAACCTCATTGGCAGTTGTGATACAGGCTAATCCCCCCCCCCCCCAACCCCCTCCATCCTCCAAACGAGGACCAGTAGTGGGGTGAGCGTTACGGTGACGTGCCGCGTGATCGTTGGATGTGTGACATGCCCATAGTCGACGCATCAATTTCGCTATCGGCAGCAGCACAGCGCTACAGAGTGCGTGACACAGTCGCAGGCAAGGAAGGGCAGGCAGCAGGAGCGTCGAATTCGACGGTCGTGTAGTCGTCACGAATATTGGTATTGGTTGGGGCGGGGTGGGTGGCAATAGTACCTAGAAAACTGCAACCAGACCGGTGGTGTGTAGCTTAAGTTAGCCCCTCCCCATCCCCCAAGATCGCAGGGTAGGAAGCATCTGACGAATCTGCCTGATATTGTGGTGTGGCGCTTCTTGTGGGTGTTGTGCAATGCCACTTCCCCACCCCCTACGACTTTTCAACTCAGATGGACCTACGGCACTGTTCCAGGAGTAACTGCTCCCCCTTGATGAGCTACGAATTTATCAACACCCCCCCCCTCCCCCCGTCTCTCGCAGAGGCTGCCAGTTGAGACCCCTGGAAATAATAAAAATCGATAGTACCTGACTGTATGTACGATCCAGTATGTGTGAAGGGTGGGTAAACCTCAGTCAACGACCACGCAGGAACTCGTTTCAAAAGCGGTTCTGGTGGTGCTGTACGACGCGCACTTAGAACGGAAAAAATACCAAGCAGATAAAACAAATACGCTGATTCGTAAGGGGGGGGGGAGAGGCTTTTTGTAGAGGTAAAAGAACGCAAAACGCATTCACTGACTAGAAGCGGCAGCAGTTCGACGTTGCAGCATCGCTGCAATGGGCGGCGAAGTGGCGGAGGGATGGCGGTGATGATGGTTCGATGAACGGTGTGGGTTGAGCGGATCAGCGCGATCTAGAGTCGCCGAGGAGTGGGGAGGACGCAGCAGGGGAGAGGTGGTCCGACGATGATGGTTGGAACTTGGGGTGGGGTGGAGTTGGGGAATGGGTAATAATGATGGTGGGAGGTTACCAATGGCGTAATGTAGTGCGCATGGCAGGGCGGGGAAAAGGGGGGAAGAGAGTATGATAGACCCACGGAGCTGCAGCTTTCAAGCTCGGGAATGGGGGGATCCCACGTGGGACCAAGGGCTAACAACAAGCTAACACTGCTGCTGCCTCCTTCCTTTCGGATCGGCAGAAAGAAGGTCCCCCCCAGGGACCAGGTGTAGAATTGTAGTTGTCACGATTACTGACCGGCGTCACATCCGAGTGGTGGGATGGGACGGCTGGACTGACGACGCTGCCCCATGTTCTGGTCCTTTCCGGTTGTGCAGCAGGAGTCATGCCACGGCATCACACCACCCACTCCTTTCACGCCAACCCACCGAGCACCCCGAGAAGCACCACTACTACCATACCCTGTCGCCTTTCTCTCGCTTCACCTATTTTCCGTGAAAGCCAACCACCATTCCTCTTTCATTTCGTTTCATGTAGTTTATGGGCCATCAATAATATTCACACCTGTGGTTGTAGGTTGACGATACCGTAAGACCCGTGCTGCTGCCCCCTTGTTACGAGCTTAGTTGTGGTTTTTGCGCCCGTTTAGTACCCGTGATTTTAGTAGTTTTCTAGGCAGTTCGCAGAGTTGGAAAAGGGTACCTTAATTGTTGAAACCCCCTTCCCTCTCCCGTATAGTGCGAAAGTTACGCCAAACACATCCATGGAAATGCGAGGCTGTTGGTGCGGGAAAGATCAATTGCGCTATAGTATGCGGTGTTAGAGAAGTTCCTTCGGGTGCGCCAGGGGAGTTGGTTTCGCCTTCTTCGACGCTCCTCTTGTTACGGTATCTCCCCCCCGCTCCCCAGAGACTTTAATGATGTCTGTTTTTTGTGGAGGCTTTTGTCATGTGGTTACTTGGCCCGGCTTTGAGGAGGTCAACCAAGGGCTATTGTTATCAGGTGCAGCAAATTAGGGTTACGGGGTTAGCGGGGAAAGAGAGAAACATGACTTCGACATACTCCTCTTATGTTCAGGTTGTGCACTCGATGGTTGTGGCTGTCCTCTGTTACTTGGCACGAACCGCAGTGAGGGTTTTCATGGCTTTGTAGGAGTGACTTCACAACATTTTTTGAAGGATTTGAAGTACAACTCATGACAGCATGATTCATGGCATTGTATACTGTACCTTAGGCTTCTTACGTTGCTGTCTGTTCTCAAATGGCTTTTAAGGAATGATCTGTGTCGTTGCCCCTCAGCCTTTCGTGTAATTTGTCACGGGTCGTCAGATGCTTCAGTTTTTTCCAATTATTACGGACAATTGAAACCTTTGCAAGTATCGGGATTGAAATCCCTCTCTCTCTCTCTCCCTCTTCTCTCTCTCCATTTTTAGGAACTTATGTTTTAATATCAGAAAAGAAGGAAGACCGCTCCAATTTGAAGCTGTCTGACCTGCAAATATGGCTGTTAAGGAAATCGAATTGTACGGACAATTATAACTACACAACAGGATGACTATGAGAGGGTTTTTTTTCAGTGACATGAGACTGGGTGCTTCAGTGGTTTTATTTGAATTTTTTATTTTTCCAGTGTAGTAAACTTTTTCTGCGTCGCCGTTGACATTGGATGACAGCTAAGCATCCATAACGCTCACAAACTGCTTCTCGTAACTACAGGTCCAGTATCAGCTGAAGAGAAATCGACAAGTCTTAGGAATTCAATTTTACGAGCACTTAAGTAGGTTATTTCCATGGTGAGACTTTTGAATCTTGAATTTTATGAAGGATTGCTGGTTTTTTGATCGAGGCTTTGCGTTACAAGCAGGATATTACACGAAATGGAAATTGGGAAAAGTAGTGGTGGGGGTTGTTTGTGACATGTCAGCGCAAGGGATCAAGGAATTCTAGCTTAGAAGTTTACGCTCCTTCTGTGGCTGGGATGGATATTCTAAGACGCCGAAAGTGCATTCTATGGTTGCTTAATATGGAGCTTTTGGCGAGATCATGCTTGGTCAGCCTCGCGACTTGAAATAATGTGTGCATTGTGCTCATTAATTTACTGGGCAATCACAGGAGTGGTTGCCTTCAAAGATAGTGAAATGACCTGTGCATTTGGAAAAGGAAAACTCAGTAACATATATTTCGAGATACATGTAGCTTTGGCCCATACATTTGGGCTTGGGTAATGGGGGCATTTGAGAATCGAGACTTTTTCAGGGGCTGCTCTACTTCATTAGAGAGTGGAGTCACACGTCGGAAAGATAGCTTGTTGGAAGCGCTGTTGGTGTAATCGTATTTGGCGTTATTAGGATTATTATCGAATTGCAGCATGCATCTTTAATGATTTCATGATCAGCCTGCGCCGTTGTATTAGCTCTGAAAGAGGATGACCTGAATATCCTCATGGACCTCGTTTTAGCCATCACTCTATGTCCTGATCGACTTGTGTGTAATTCGACTTGGTCGAAAACTATCTGAAGCTTATGTGTAACTCATTCACGAGAGTGATGGATGGTACAATGTCTAGGAGTTGATTGAATTTGTGAGATTGGTTTTTCGAATACATGGTATCAAGTTTGATGAATGCGCGTGTCGGGTCTGTGGTTTGAGTTAAGTCTTGATGTCTTTTGTTGTGGGCTGATGAATCATAATTTAATAGCGCTTAGAACTTGCAGGTGTGCGAGGGTCTAAACTTTTTGACTACATTGTAATGTAGTTAACTTGTTTAATTTACGGTGATTGATTTGTGGAATTTCTCCATTTTCCTGTTTCCGTTGACGTAAATTACTTATATCAGAGAATGTGTCGACCAGTTCTGGACATAGATGGAGGCGCTTGAGAAGCCCAAGGAAAAGCGGACGAAGTCTGGTGGACCTCATGGGATAAAAAGTAAATCTGCTACGGTGGATCATGCTGCTACTCATCAGCATGTAAGACTGCGCATCAAACTCCCAGTCTCGCCCGCAAGAAACTTGGCTGGGTCTACGAAGGGTGCAAAGTCCTCAACTGGTGCATCTGTGGCTACCAACCATGAACCGGCTACTTCAGATCCCAGTGATCACAAGTCGGGTGACACCGAGCCTACTTCACCTGCCCCTGAGTATCAGGACTTCTCAAATACATCTTTGAAAGAACTTCGGGTAACGTTAGATTTCACTCTTTCAATGCGCATCTTGAATAGAAGTTTATGCATGGTTTCTGTATATGAAAAAGTGTCTAAGCAATGGATTTTCATGAAAAGGTCCGGGGTTTTATTGTTATGGCTAACGTTGTCTAATGAGGAGGTACGCATTCAAGTTTTAGTTGCTAGGATTGTTCGCAACTGATTTGTGAAGTTTTCTACTTCTCATGTGTATATCGTGTGTTCCTTTAAGCAATGTTCACAAGAGCGGAACCACTTTGTTGCATTTCTTGGTTTGTTTGTTTTTGTTTTAATTTAATTTTAAAGATTTTTTTTTCCTTGTTTAATCATTAAAGCTAGGAAAACTGTATTGTCTTTTGTTATCACAACAATCAGTTTGTATTATGTGAAACATTTGAATTTTGGTACTTCATGTAGTATTTATATCTTACCCCTGAAAAGTAGTTTCATTTTGTGCAATATAATAAACGAAGGTATTGATTTTGCCCTTTTGGGTTCAGAGACGATACGAGGCTAAGTTTGGGACAGCTACACTTTCCAACAATAGTGATTATCTCAAAAGGAAGCTGGCGGGTCAATGCGGTGGGTATTGTTACGTACTCACGATGTTTTGCAGTTTTTACTGCTGTTCCCAGTTAGTTTTTTGCAGTTTATGATTGTCTTTACTTTGCATTGCTCTGAAAGTTCCTGTAGGTGTAAGAAGCTTCTTAAGTTAGTCAGTGGGGTTTTATGTGTACAGGTCCCCCTCGCTTACGGAGAACAAATGTGGAACATGACGTGACAGTCGAAAAATCTCCAAAGAAATCCCCGACGTCTAGGAGACGGTAATTCCATTTATCACGGGCACGATTTGCTTTTCGTTTTGTGAAACATGAATTTGGTTTTTGGTTTTTAAATGTATGCTCCTTTTTAGACAGTCAGTGCTATGTTCTTTGTCTGTCCTTCGATGACCGCTTGTCGACACCGTTCATCCGCTTTTATGGATTTGACCATCGTAATATTCGGAGTGTTTGCTTTTCGGTTAGTTGTGGTTGTAGGAGTGCCTGTTCTGTCTTGAAGTGGATTTGCGCAAGTTTTTTTTGTACCATGTCTTCTAACTGAGACATGGTTGTATTGATATTTTGTTGCAGGAAGGTGGAAGACATTTTAGAACCAGAAGCTCGAGTGGTGGGAGCTGAGGAAGATATAGACGTAGATGTAGAAGTTGCCGATGGCGAAGACGAAGATTCAGATCCAGACTGTGGTGTGCAAGATGGAGACGCCTCTACTCCTTTGAAGAAGCAACGAAGTGGTCGGAAAGATGGAGGTGCTAATCAGTGGACAAGCCAAGCTGAAGAGATCCGGCGGATAGTGCGAAAGAAACGGCGCAATAGAGCATTTCCTCCACAGACACTTGTTTGGGCTAAACTTGAGGAACGTCCATGGTGGCCAGCAAGGGTATGTCCATGGTTTAGAATGTTACAAAGTTCAAATTTATGATATAGATGCAGTTCTCTAGCTCATTGTAACGTCCTTAGCTAAATTATCAGAGTATGCCCTCACATTACGTTACTTGTTTTCTGGGTCTGCATATATGTTTTTTCCAACAAGAATTACATCACACTTTTTCTTAGGTTCTCTTAAATCCTTGCGTATTGTTGCTTGCTTTAGTGCAATCAAGATCGCAGCATAGCTGTATACTTTCTACCGCATCACCTGGAATGGTTGGGTATCAGCTAGTCCTAAGCTTTTACGGTATTTTGAGCTATAGGCCAACCTGGTGACATTTATATTGGTGATGCTATCTTGGACTTGAGTAGTAGGAATGTGGGGACTTTGCGGTTTCTGTGATTTTACTGTATCTTTCAAATATTGTCGTCGCCGTGTTTATATTTACAATTAAGGTATTGTAGCCATCTTTCAGGCAGTTTACTGAGGACTATGTAAATGAATGTGTTTGTTACTGTGACTTACAGGTGGTTAATCTTGAGGAGTTGCCAGAATCTGTGCTAGAGTAAGTTAACTTCTGGGTATTGGTTCTTTGAATTGTACGTGTTATGTAGCATGTACGGATAAGAATCGTTGTAAGTGTGATTGGTTTGACCATATTTGATTCATTTTTTGGCTGAGCTGTCTATTAATTTTTTCTACACGTGGTAATTTGTAGGAAGAAACTGGTGGGATGGACATGCGTCGAACTCTATGGTTTACCTACTGATGAGCAGCGATTGTATGTCACGTACTCCTTAATAAACTATTTTCTTTTAGATTGTTTTTCTTTTCTAAGTCAATGTGCAAGGAATGAAGGATTTATCTTTGAATCCCTTGAATCTTCTGCAGCGCTTGGTTGCAAAGGGAGAACTTGGCCTCGTACAAAAAGTTTCGAAAGGATTTCAATGAGCAGGTTGAATATCCCGTTCACATTTCATTATTAATGTCTTTTTTGTGCTGTTAATCGCGACTCTTGTTCTTGATACGCTCAAGTGAGTGTAAAGTTAACTTTACTAGAATTAAATCGTCGTGTTCTTATTTTTTAGTCTGTAATTTTAGTTTTGCTACATTATTTGAGCTGATGCTGATGTTTTTTTCATGCATCTGCAGAAGTTTCCTGAGCGTTTTGAAGATGGTAATTTTCAGTTAGCACTCAAAGATATTTCCGATGAAGCGAAACGCAGACGAACTGCAGATAATACAGCAGTAGGTACCAAGTCTTTGAGAGAAGAGAGGGATTCATCCATGGAGGTGCGTTCTTCCAACAGTTCTTCCAGTGATGAGGATGAGTCAGAAGCTCCTTTACGTTTGGGTAAAGAGACCCTCGACACTGGGAAGAAACACTTAAAACATAGGACGGAGATTGGCCAAGGGAAGTTGAAGCAGATGCGAATGAAGAAAGTTCATGGTTTGCAGGTTGAGGACATGAAGCAAGCAAGATCTATGTGTTTAAGCAAAGGGGAGGAGGATGCAACGATTTCGAAACTGAAGAAGACAAAAGATAATGGTGGAGATATGACCAGGAAGAGAAAAAGGCTTGTTGCAGATGAGCAAATGAAGGATGATTCACAGGGTTCCTCCGATGAGGCCGAGGACGTTACGATCCCTGAATCCCCACCGACAAAGGCAGTGAGTGACTCCAAGTTGAATCGGCAGAGCATTGGGAAGAAGCTGAGTAGGAGCCTTTCAAATGCTGGAGATTCAGTCAAGGTCGACAAGGATGGGTCTCGGAAACCCAAGAGGACTGGTGAAGACGGGGTGAGCCACAATTTTTTTCAGCCAGCATTGGTAAACAAAGCAGACAGTACCTTCTGGTTGACCACACCCATGTTTTAAAAAAGTTCACCTACTTTCATTCTTACGTGTCTCTTTTTGTTGTCGGAGTGTGATTATGGGCAGAATGTGGACAAAATTACTTCTTGATCACTGGTCGACATTAAATTTTCAGTGGCAATATGAATCCTAGCGAATTTAGCGACGATTCGTGTAATTTTTATAATATTCATGAGTCTTTGTAGGTATTGATTGGTTTAGTGGATGCTTTGTGGACAGTATTACTATGACTGTGAAGTTTGCGGTATTGGTGGTGAATTACTTTGCTGCGATCTTTGTCCTCGTGTCTACCATCTGGAGTGTTTGACGCCTCCTCTTAAGGTACCATTCTATCACTACTTTTTACTTTCTGTTGCAGAGGGTAACGCATGAATAGGCAGTTCCAGCCGAATTTAGTAATGTCACAAACTTCACTATGGATAAGTATTGACTCAAAGGGTGTGATGAATTTGATTTTTGTGTGTGAAGCGCACTCCTCCAGGCAAGTGGGTATGCCCTACATGTCGTGACCGATCAGGGGTTGTGAGAGCAGCTGGCAATTCCTTTGCAGACGCAAGGCAGCAATCTAAGGTCAAGGGTGTTGAGGATCCTTCAGCACGTGCTGGCAATAAGGTGTTTTTGTTATCTAGGATCTTTGTTCACCATATGTTGATCATGACGAGAAGCGCACGAATTCATATTCCTACTTGAATTTTATTCTTATTATGAATTTTGTGTTTATAGTTGGAGGTGTAACTTGCATATCATGGTATTGACAGGTTTGGCGGAAAGAGAAGTCCATAGGCCCCCCTGTCGTGTCGTCCGAAAAAATTTCTAAGAGAAGGAGGGAGGATGCGGATTCAAAAAGGCGGAGGAAACGTGCTAAATCCAAAGGAGAAGAAGATAGTGGTCAGAGAAAGCTCAACTGTGGTTATTGTGGCGTTGAAACTTTTTCATTACGAAGCTCTGGTTTGTGTGACAAGTGCCATCCTGAAATCAGGGCGGGCACTGTTGATGATAATCCTTCTAATAGCACCCCTGCAGAATGCGTGGAAACGATCCAACTCGAGAAAGACGAACTGGTAAGTGTCACAACTTAAATTTTACAACTGTAAGGGCATTTGCTATGTTTTTCTGGCTTAAATGTCAAATTTTTTACGTTTTGTTTAGTCTTTTTTTATGCCTCGTAAGCTTATAACTAGATTGGATCTAAGATAGTTGCCTCAGTTTAGAATTTAAAACAAACTCGGCAGCACTTGAGTGATTTGAGTGAGATAAAATACCAGTGTAAACCAACATTGTGGTGTGATAATTGATTGTGGTTTTTTAGCCATACATGCTGTGTTGTGATGAGGTTCGGCTCTGCGTTGAAGCGCTCAGAAGTTGTATACTGTCATTTAATTCCTCTATCATTTTGTTCAGAAGTCCGGAAGATGTCATTCATGTGGAGAGCGAGGTGTTGACTTCAATTGTGGGAACTGTTCTTGTGCGTTTCACAAGGATTGTGTTGTTCCTCCTCTACGGGTACAACATGACTTTCATTTATTTGTTTTTATTGTTCTCATTGGGTTTCTTATTATTCAGTTGGTGAATTGTTTTTTGGTTAGGATTTACCATGTCAAGTCTCAGTTAGATATGTGCTTTTGAGTGGTGACTGAAAGCTCAAAGAAACTTTTATTGGCGTATTTTCAGAGTTACTGATGAAGGAAGATGTGCACTGCACTTTCCTAAATTAGTCTATATTATGATGTATCTTCGTTCACGTTGTGCAGAGGATGCCCAAAAACCCATGGTTCTGTTCTAGTTGCAGTTCAGGAGGCGATCATGACCTTGGGGATGAGCAACCTTTTGATGCTTTATCTGCTGAGGTTGGCGTTTTACCTGTGCCGTAATTTGACTACATTGTTGCGTTTATTAGTTGCGTTTGCCAATAACTTCATTTATCTGTCACCTATTTAAAAATTCAGAGATTAGAGTAGTGCATTGAACACTCATCACTGATGTGGATATTTGGGAATGATTTAAAGCAGGTACATTGTATCCTTGGTTGCCGAGTTCCAGCCTGTCAGGGCTTGCCTACATCAAGATGTGTCACTGAAATGGACAAAGATAGACAACTGAAGGTTTATCCTCAGAAGGTTGAAGAGGGCAATGTTAATGGATCCTTAAAAAATATACTTGAGGGACCTGGTGATGCTGCAGGTATGGAGTGGAAGGTTGTGAAAAGAAAGCAGTCATCTGATGTGAATCCAACTGGAGGAGCACAGACGGCTGTGCCGATGGAAATAGATTCTCTGTCAGGTGCTGGTGCCGGAGCTGCTATATTGAACACAGAACGGAAATCACTGGACTTGGAAGAAGAGGAGCCGGAAACTAAAACAGTTGTGTCTGAAATTGAAAGTGTCAAAGTGAAAACATCTGCACTGACTAATCCGAAAGAAAAAAATTCCTCTAAATTGTCAAGTAGTGGTGTAGTTCAAGTCGAGGATCCTTCGTTTGTGATTGAAATTGGCGGTCACTACATGAATTTGAATGTTCAGTTGCCACTCGACAGTGTTACAAAGACCGACGAGAATGCCTCGAATAAAGAAATCGCGTGTGGTGGATTGTCTAATTCCCTTTTACAACAAAGCAAGGACACGACAAGAAAGATCAAAGAATTTGAGAATGGGAAAATCACGTCCTCAGGTGTTGCCCCTACAGAAGCAGCTGAGAAGAAAGGAAATCCAGATTCTTTGTGTGATATCAACGCTACGGGCACCGATGGCCAAGTGAACCTGTCTCCAAGTCTGGAGTTTCTTGTGAAATGGCGAGACAGGTCTCACATACATAATGAATGGGTCAGTGAGGAGAGGCTGCGAACCATTGCCAAACGAAAACTGGAAAAGTATAAGCTTAAGTACGGGACAGATCCCTTGATCTTAATGGATGACGAATGTTTAAAGCCGCAGCGAATCCTAGCCACTAGAGTAGGCAAAAATGGTTCAGCTGAAGTATTAGTGAAGTGGCACAGCCAGCCGTACGATGCATGCACTTGGGAAGATAAAGGGCATCCTGTCGTTGCCAAGAATCTTGAGCTTCTTCAAGTATTTGAGCGGTTTGAGGCAGCAGCCGTCACAAAGACGTCCAATATGATGACTAACGAAAACCGTCCTTCAGGGATTGAAGAGCTTACTGTGCAGCCAGAGTGGTTGAGAGGAGGAGGGATATTGTTTCCTCATCAGCTGGAAGCGCTTAATTGGCTGAGGAAAAGCTGGTATCATCACAAGAAAGTGATTCTGGCAGATGAGATGGGTTTAGGCAAGACCATATCGGCATGCGCATTCCTGGCTTCCCTCTACCGGGAGTTTCGTGTGAATGCTCCTTGTCTGGTTCTTGTGCCACTTTCAACTATGTCTAATTGGCTGGCTGAATTTTCGGTGTGGGCTCCTTTTCTAAATGTCATTGAATATCATGGTTCTGTGAAGGCTAGAGCTGTGATTCGAGAGTATGAGTGGTATTCCACGACTACTGGCAAATCAGGAAATGAAGGGAAGCGACCAGATTCCCAAATAATCAAGTTCGATGTCATGCTTACGTCGTATGAGATGGTGATTTCTGATTCAAATCAGCTCCGCTCGATTCCTTGGGAAGTTTTGATAGTTGATGAAGGTCAGAGACTGAAAAATTCAGAAAGCAAGCTCTTTACACTTCTCAATACGTATAAATTTGGTCACCGAGTTCTTCTGACGGGTACTCCACTTCAGAATAATCTGAGTGAAATGTACAACCTTCTCAACTTTCTGCAACCAGAAACGTTTCCGTCTCAGGGTGCATTTGAGGAGAAGTTCGGCTCTTTGAGTACAGCTGAGCAAGTGGATGAGCTGAAGAAGCTCGTTGCGCCTCACATGCTGCGTCGATTAAAGAAAGATGTTATGCAAAATATACCGCCCAAAGCCGAGCGGGTTGTTCCTGTTGAGCTGACACCGGTGCAAGCAGAGTACTACCGTGCTCTTTTAACCAAAAACTATCAGCTGCTAAGACAAGTAGGTGGCTGCAAGCCAGGTGGTCAGAATCAATCGTTGCTCAATATTATGATGCAACTACGAAAGGTTTGCAATCATCCGTATCTCCTTCCAGGATCGGAGCCAGAGGGAGGAAGTCCCAAATTTTTTCACGAGATGCGCATCAAAGCGTCAGCGAAATTGACACTTCTGCATTCCATGCTGCGGCATCTAAAGAGGGGAGGTCACCGTGTGCTGATTTTTTCGCAGATGACTAAGCTCTTAGATATTCTGGAAGAGTATATGGTGTTCGAGTTTGGTGCTCACAGCTATGAGCGAGTGGATGGATCAGTACCAGTAGCTGAGCGACAGAAAAGTATCTCTCGTTTTAACCAGGATCAGTCTCGGTTTGTGTTTCTCTTGTCCACACGCTCATGTGGATTAGGTATTAACTTGGCCACAGCAGATACGGTCATAATTTATGATTCGGATTTCAACCCTCACGCAGATATTCAAGCTATGAACCGTGCACATCGGATTGGACAATCTAAAACCCTTCTGGTTTACCGTCTGGTCGTTCGTGCAAGTGTTGAGGAACGGATCCTTCAGCTTGCAAGGAAAAAGTTAATGCTGGAGTACCTGTTTGCGAATAAGTCTGGCTCTCAAAAAGAAGTTGAAGATATCATCCGATGGGGTACTGAGGAACTCTTTGCAGGAGATAGTTTGGAAGAATCACGTGCTTTGCTGAATGCTGAGGTTGGTGCCACTGAAGAAGTCAGAAGGAAGCCATTAGATGAGACGTGTGGAAAATCAAGTGGCCTCGATAGAGAGATCAAAGACGATTGTAAGGACGGAATGTTGTCTCAAGACAAAGTTCAGAAAAAAGCGAAAGCAGCTAAGGTGATCTGGGATGATGTTGCAGTCTCCCGGTTGCTGGACAGGTCAGACCTGGCAACTACCAATATGGAAGTGGCTGAAGGAGACCAAGGAGGTGACTGGTTGGGTTCTCTCAAGGTAGGTTGCGTTCCTCACACAGTTGCGACGCTATTCAGAGTGCATGTGTAGCAGTAACTTCAGAGTTACAGATCGCCCTCATGCCCTATTAAAATTCCTTCTTGAAGGATCGGAGAATGTTGTTTGTGTAATTTTGGGAACTTTGTAAATATTTATCTTCATAATTTTTTTATTACCAGTATTCATTTCGTCGATTCTGCAGACTCTGCTTACATTTTTCTTATGACGGTTGTGGATTCTCAGACCTGGACCTGGAATGAACAAGATTGTGGGGAGCAAATGGACAATGAGGAAGATTCTCCAAGGGATATTGAAATTGCAGAAAATCCTCTTAACCCAAGCGTAGAGCAGAATAAATGGGAAGAACTTTTGCGATTAAGGTACGAGGATTACGAGGAGTACGAGGCTTAAACCCTTCGAAACGTGTTTAGGACGCTGCAATAAAGTAGGGCTAGTTCATGTACTGATTAAATTAAAAAAGTATGTTATACCCATTCTTAACCATCTACAATGGCAATGTCGCAGATGGGAGAAGTTACAAAAGGAGGAAGAAGCCGCACTAGGTCGTGGGAAGCGGACGCGGAAAAATGTTCTCTACAATGAGTCCCAGGTTTTGAAGCTGGAAGAGGAATCTTCGGGTGTAAGTTTGCATATCAGGAAGTACCCACTTAGTAGCATTCAACAAGAGTAATGATATGTTATCATTACATTCTTTACTCCAAATTCGATTGAATTTGGTCGAGCTTTGCTTTCTTATCAAGTAAATGATATCCATGAAATTAAGATCTGTAAAAATTGTTGCGTGCAGTATTCAGAGGAAGACTTGGATAGAGATCATTCATCTGAGCCTGTGTCTAAGCCCGTCCCTCGTGTCAAGCAGCCTCTGTAAGTATTCATGTCCTACTCAATTATTTTTCTTACATATTTTTTTTCTGTATTTCTCCCATACGTTTCTTGGGTGTTCTGGTTCGGTGTTGCTCCTAATGACTTTAACCTTTTTAATAGTAAAATTATGTCTTTCTAATTTTATTTACAGGGGAAAGGTTCGAGCTGACGATCAAGATTTAAATATAAAGGATGACACTCAGTCAAGCTTTGCAGATGAGGGCAAACCTGTCAGTGGATCCTTTAAGACTCCGGCTTCTTCGTCTTCAAATCCACTGACAACTTCATTCTCACAAATCGCAGCTCATGAGACAGAGGAACGGAGCCCTACTTTTCAGGGCACCCACCGGAGTAGCTCTGCTAAAGTCAACACCATTCAAACTCCTATTACTATTGACCTTGAAGATACACCAAGAACGATGCCTTCCATCAGTATCATCAATGTCGAGCAATCGAGGAATGGCAACGTATCTTATCCTCATAGAGTATATACTGTGCCGGGAACACCAGTTAGAGCAGCAGGAGAGCAGTCACTTGTCAGCTCTAAACACCATGTTCCATCCCCACTGCTGTCCAGTGAACAGATTGACCCAGATTTAAGTACCCTGAGAAAACAATTGGACAAAGGTCCGCAAAGCAGTTTGAGTTCTCAAGCCATTCGGCAGCTTTTATCACCTGCGATTCAAGGATCTAGCGGTCAATATGGAAGCGCTGGACACTCAAACATCAGATCTCTTGTGTTTGATGGTGTATCTGGATCAAGAGTTCCTCAACCAGTTAGTGAGGAGCGTGTCTTTGACAACCCTGGAAATAGGAGGCACGATGCTGATTTGCAAGGACTCCAACCAGATCTCTTACAACGAGCCTACGCAAGAGAAGGACAAAATTCTGCTATGCTGGTAGGTCGCATCTTAACTGTAAAATGTCAGCAACGTTTGCAAACATGTTTGCAATAGGAATAAGAGATACATTGTTTCTATGTTTCATGTGGACATCAGACCTGCGACTTGGGTTTGGGAGCAGTATTTTGTGATATATTTGGAGGTTGGTTGTTTCTGCATATAGTGAGTTGATATTAATGGTTGTTAAATAGTGTGTTAACACTGGTGGTGGTGGTGGTGTATGTCTTGTAGTCGACCTCTGGGGTATTTGATGTTCCTCACGCAAGTTCAATAAAGGACTCTCGAGATGCTACGGGATCAGTAACTGTGTCTGAATTACTCAGACGCGTTTCTAATAAGAAGGGAGGAAGTATGTTACCCCCTGCGTCCTCTGATGGAAGACATTCCTCCCAATTCTTATCAAATGATGTCTTACCCAATGTCCTGGGGACAAATCAGTCTAGCCAGGGTTCGCCAAATCTCTCCATGTCTCTGGGATTTGGGGGCTTAAACCTATCTGGCCAAGACCAGGGTTTGCTCGTGAGGGCACGAGCAAGCCATGATTCTCAAAAGCTCGCCCGGTCGCACAACAAGACGGGCACTTCTTTAGGGGTACCCAGTTCTTTATGTGGTAGTGGAGATGTCACAAGAGTTCAGGGGGGGGACGCCTTATTGGTCTCTGGTGGCAGCGATCACCATGAAGGGAGATCCTCAGATGGGTCTTTACGATTGTTAAGTGGCTCACAAGACATGGTCGGCCTGCCGAGTTTGAACAAGTATGAGTTAAGCAAGCGGAGTTCGCCCTTTGGAGAAACTTATGCTAGGTTCAAGCAAGGTTCGCATGTTGAACCCTGGACCGAAGATGAGCTTGACTCCTTGTGGACAGGTACTTCTCTTCTTTTCCTGTTCTATGATTTCTACTGATTGTGTATTATCAGGCTTTTGTTATCATTCTTCCTACCCTCATAGACATAGTTTGCAGCATGGTATTCGTGGAACTTAGTTATTAACAATGCAGCATGTGTTTTTATTATTTGTAGGTGTGCGTCGTCTAGGTTGTGGCAATTGGGCAGCGATGTTACTAGACCGTCGCCTGAATTTTCACAAAAGTCGTACTGCACACGATTTAGCAGAGCGATGGAGAGAAGAACAAATGAAATTGTTTGGACCTTCACCCGCTGATATCGAAACCAAGCCAGTAAGACAAGGCTATAGCCCTCTGTCTAGTGCAGAAGATGGAATCGGTCATAGAAACCGGGACCACACTTCGGCTGGTGAAGAAAGTTATGTTAAAAATAGAAAAGGAAGTGCAGACAGCTTCGAAAGGTTCCCAAAAGAAACCATAGACTTGACCGGTACCTCAACAATTATTAATCAAGCCATTGATAGGAAGCAAGTATTGGAGACTTTGCGGGCAGTAGATTTGTCGTATCGTAGGTCATCTGGCATGACAGGCAATCCTGCCATTGATAGGGTGGAGTATTCTAAGGTCCCCGAGTCATCTTCTGCTTTGGATCTGGTCAATTCTGTAAGACCCCAGGGAAGCGCTGTTCGTGAGAGTGGCAGTGCATCCAGATCTGGGTTGGCCATGGAGGGTCACTCTATTGATTTCGACAAGTGGGAAGGAACCACTAGTCGAAGGCGTATCGACGTTCCAAAAGAAATGTTGCGGCAGTCACAACTGCCAAAAACGAAGTTGCCTGCCTCTTTTCTGGCAAATCTCTCAGCTAGTCAATCGATTGATGCTCGCGAGAAGCAGTCTCAAGAGTTACGGGACCAACATACTCTCCCTTTACTTCCACAAGTGTCAGCACCTGGCTTGGGGTTATTAGATGCAGGGCAAAGCTCCAGTGGATCGTTTCCTCACAAGGCGTCATTTAGCCAGCAGATGCAACAAGACAATATTTCACTGAGGGGGTTTCATGATTCACCAAGAAACCATGATTCAAGGGCCTCTTCCTTATCTTCTACTTTTGCGGAGTTGGACAAGAGGAGGTTGAAGATAGGGCTCGGATCATCCAAGAATTCCGACGCGATGGGTTCGAATGAAGCTAGCCAAAGCCTGCCTCATTGGTTGCGCGAGGCCTTTAAACCTGATCAACCCCCTCCCCCTCCCCCAAAAGTTGCCACTGTATCTCCCATGATTACCGCCGTTGCTCAGGCAACCTCGTTTCTGTACAAAGATTGTGTTCCCTTTCTTACGCCTTTTGTACACCCTGGGACCCTGCCCGCACCCCCAAGAAGAGCAGCGAAGAAAAGAAAGTCGGCTGCTGGAGAGGCTGAAAGTGGACGTGGCACCGAAGTGGTTTCGGTACGAAATGAGCTAAATTTTCTCATGTCTGGTGTTGAATCCACGAACCCCTCCCTCTCTTCATCTTTGCAACAATTTGCATCAAGCTTGAATGCGGGATTTAACACTGGGGGTCAAACAGCAAGTGCTCCTTCTACCTCATCATTCTCAAAACGTCACGTTGATTTCTCTGCTTTGCCTTCACTAGATACACCTGCGCAGCCGTCTTTTTCGAAACCCATTCCTGCTTTAGAAGAGTTGATGTCTCTGAAGAACTTACCATCACTACCCTCAGTAGCCCCGCCTTTAGATGACACTGTCACAAGTGGATTAGAAAGAAGTTTTCTTGCACAAAGCAGTGCCCAGGTCCTTGACACCACATCCGCTGGACAAAACATAGTCTTCTCAAGCAGGAGTGAACGTCACGGTGCTAAAGATGGTCGCCACCGAAATTCCAACTCATTCCCTGTGAACAAGCACTCTTTATCGTTAAGAAAAGGTGACATTGGAGCCCAAGAAGTTATCCACTTAAGACGCAGACACGAGGCCCGTACCCGAAAGCGCAAGTCTACTACTTTCTCGTTTGCATCAGCAAAGCTGCCCAGCTACGAGGGGTCTCCTGACTCCCCTCACAAACATCGCCAAGATGGAAGTGGAGAGTCGCAGTTGCCCGGTTGGATGATTGCCGCTGATGTTGGAACCAAGAGTCGGCAGAAGGCATCCTCTAAGAAAGGAGATGGCAACTCCTCCAGTGAAACAGAATCAGATCCTCGAATCCGTGGTGCAGCAGGAATGGCAGGGGCGGATGACGACGATGCATCATCAGATGAGACGGTGTCGGATGATCGGACACAGTAGAATGTAGACAGGAAATTTTTAATTTTGACTTAATTTGGTACTTTTAATTAGCCATGTCATATGTGAACAGATTTTTAACAACTTCAAGAGAACCCTCATTTCTATGCACATGGCCCGCCATCCACTCACTTACTGAGTTTGATTGTATAGTTACTCATGTATTGCCAGGTTCTGGAATTAGATACTAACTCCTCCATCGAACCATAGAATTCTTAACATGCCTAATCAGTGAAGAGGCGGAAGAAAATGACGTCTGTTGTCCAACTCACAGGCGTATTTTTCTTGGGTCACAAGCAAACTCCAGCCCTCCTGCTGGAGATATGACATCTGAACTTCAATCCTTGATGAACGCATTATTTAAGGTCTTCATCTTCAATGTGGTTTTCCCAATCCACAGCTTAAATGAAAAGCGACTCTCAAATTAGTTACTGCGTTACCTCAACAAGGTTTCTTGGTGTGCTTCTCCATTCGAGCAGTACGGGACCCTCAGACATATTTACCGCTTTCGTAAGCGCATTCTGAACTTGATTGATGCTTGCCGCAACACTTAGAAACTAATGGTTCATCGACTCAAAGTTTGTTTTGATGATCTCTTTTAGTGAAACGAAGAATGTTTCCTATGTTTTTCCTTCCCCTTTGCACGATGGAGATATTTCTTGAAGCAACAAGAGATGCAGCCACCAAATAAATACAAATGGGCAACTTCTTAAATTCGATTGCCTGTAGGGTAACCCAGAACCAGAAAGTCATCAACCAATACTTGCTATCTTCATGGCAGAGGCAATGCTTGTAGCTTGAAACCTAGACTCAGTATGTTAAACATACTCCATCAATCTAACTTAAGACATTTAGTAAAGAGTCAATGAAATACATTAAGTAATCAGCAAACAAGGGTTGGAAGAGACTATAGCAAGCCATCATTGATTTTACACTAAATTTAAGAAGAGAAAAGGAGACCTAAAACTAAAGGTGGGGATTTCATGAGACAAGACAATAAATAATGAACTAAGGAACAATTGAGATGTTCTAAGTTGCAAAAGTTAAGTTGTTCAAGGTCAGAATAATTCAATATCCCTTGTAAATCAAAACATCTAATGGAGTGAGTGAAGATGGTGAGTATGTAATAACAATGGCATATGAAGATAGTAAAGATGAAGATAGTAAAGATGCAACAATAGTTTGAACAATGTAAATATATATGCAATTGGAAATCAATGGAGCTTTAATTGAGAGTAGATGTCAATAAGCTCATGATGCTTCTAAAACATTTGTCTAAGCACTTGTTTTGTAAAAATGCCAATATGTTGTTCATTGGTTGTGATACATGTTATGATAATCTTTCCTTCCAAAAATATTTCTTAAATGAAATGATGTTTAGTCTTAATATATTTAACAAAAAAATAAAATATTTGATTATAAGTAAGATAAATATTTCTTTGGTTGTCATAGTGTAGATGTAGATCTTAAACCATGGGAAGATATATCTCATGTAAGTCAAAATAAATAGTAGAATTCTTGCATCTCAATAAAACATGAGATAAGAGAAGAAATTTAAATTCAAATAAAAGTTGTCTTAAGTAAATATCATCCTTTGTAGTTTAAAATAATACTTCACATTTTGCCTCAATAACATTGTCCAAAGTTGTAGCTTGTGACTTATCTAACTAAGCAATTGGGCATAAACTAAGACAAAAAAAAAAACAAAAAACAAAAAAACATAGTCCTAGATAGATTGTTTGGACTCCAAGCATTGAAGGTAATTAGCAATTTTATATCTAATTAGCACCATATTAGAGTTTTAGACAAAGTATATTTTATAAAACATGATTTTTTTTACACAACAAAAAATATGCTTTATTACATCTAGATGTTCTTCTTAGAGGCAAGACATGTATCTTGCCATAATATCCACCACAAAAGATAAGTCAAGAGAAGTATTAATCAAGAAAAGAGCCTGACTTATAATCTTAAAAGGATTTGTGATGCCAACAAATAGAGTACTAGTTTTTTTATTATATTATATATTCTTTTCAAAATAAAGTATGTTTGAAGCAATACTCTACTATTTCAAAGTTGGCTAGCATTTGTCAAAAGAAAAATTATTGATGTAGTAACATACCTTGGCTATTTAACAATAAAATATTTTTTAATATCAACCAAATCCTTCATCTTATATGTATCACTTAATTGTTGTATTATAATAGCAACTTACAATGAATTAGATTAGATAATTGACAAGATATGAATATAAAGTAAAAATATTACTATGAAAAATCCTTCATGAAAAAAAATACATATTAGGATCTACTTAACTTCCTATGTATTTCTAGGTACAACTTGATGTCCTCATATCAAGCACAAGGAAACTACTTTAAACCATATATTAATTAATAGAGCTTATACACAAGATACTTTAATCTTTTTTTCTTAGATCCAAGAGGTTATTGTGTATAGTTGTTCTCCTTCTAATTAGAAAGGCTATAACAACATCAATATGATCAATTGATCATTCTAAAGCAATAGTTAAAATAATTATTAATTAATAGATTAATCATCATATTGTTATAACAAATATATTATTGTTGTCAATCTCTTATTATTGTTCAAAACCTCGAGCTAAAAGTCTTATGTTGACTTTGACTTAAGTTGGATTTGATCATCATTCATACGTTTGGTCTTATATATCCACTTTGGCAATATTAAATGTTTGCTTGGAAGTAGCATTGTAAGTTTTCAATTATCATTTTTGACAAGAGAGGTCAATTCTTTTATTATGGTTAAAAAAATCAACTTGGATTGTATAGAGCTTCATCAAAGTTGATATTTTTATTTATTTAATCCATGGTCTTTACAACACAAAGATTTACATCATCCTCATTGATATAAAATCTATAATTATGTAATTTTAATGAAACATGACAAGCACAAGTTTGACATCTAGCTAGTAGATTTGGCTATATATATAATTGAAGCTTATTAAACCTTTTGATAATTACATGAACTAAATCTAAATTAATTGTATATAAAAGTGGTAGCAATTATAAATTATACTCATGAGTTAAATCATCTATATTGAATAGTAGTAATTGAATTCCTCCTTCTAGTTCTTAATAAAGAAGTAAAGAAGAAAAAATACTAATGATAGAAAGAAATTTATTAAAATAGCTAAGTAGATAGGAACTAAATGAATAGAAGTTACTTAAGAAAATCTTCTATAAATGTAATATTAGCACTAATGAGAGTTTTCTTTTGATGAAGGTCATAGTAGCATTAACTCTTTCTATGCTCATTATATTCCAAAAATGAGATTTTAATGGCCTTAATTTAAGGCTTGGTGTAGAATTCAAATGAAATATAAATATAGGTAGTATATTTAAAGACATAAAGATAAGTAGTATATCTAAGAACATTAGTTAGGAATTTGATAAGACTAAACAACAAAGGAAAAAGCTAAGAAACAACCAAGTTGTTTTAAGTTATAAAAATCAAATTGTTCAATATTGTAATAAATGAAATACTTTAACTCTAGTCTATGCACAAAATTGAAGACCAAAGGCAAAGAGTTTGGTCTTCTTTATGCATCTTTGTCAATGTTGGGCACCACAAAAGTTTTTGTAGTAACTTTCTTTATTTTATATTGGACACATTTGAAGGCTAATCTTGTGCTTAAGCAATGAATCTTTGAACATGTCCAAATTTCAAAGAGTAATAATATTTGAACAATAAAAGAATACTTTTGTACTTTATTCAATCCAAACTACAAATCCATTTTATGGATACAGACTATATTTGGTGATTACTGACAAGATTTGCAAAGCAAAACATGAGACTTCAACGGCTTCACAACTGTCAATGGAAGATGAAATTCTCTATTTCAAAAGAACAAAGAAATTGTATGGGCAGAAGTTCCGCTTACCATGTGAAACGTCCCTGCCTAAAAACCTGTTGTCCATGCTCTTGAAGTGACTATCAAATTAATCTCATAGAAGTCCAAAATTGTGTGTTTTCTTTTTGCATACGTTGAGGGCATGGCCTCTGGATCTACGATAGTCGACTTTTGTTGACATTCTTAACAACCTTGTGGTAAGCTCTTGTACTTTTTTGTACACCCTTGAGAGTTGCTACGTCTCCATTTTTCGTGTGTGGTAGTCGGAGGTTTCATTTACATGATTTGTTTCCTTATTGCTTACAGCAATTCACCTACGGAACTCCAAGGCGTCACACTCTGCAGTTTCAATCTAATAATGCTAAGCAACACTTCTTAAGAGCTAGCCAGTCATCTCCTCATTGTCTTCTCCGCTCATAATTCTGGCAAGGTTGACTGTTTCAGGATAAGGAATTTTTTGACCCTAGGGTGAAAGTTTCGTCTGAGAACACAACCCTGGGAAGCTCTTTAGCTCTTGTCTTTACACAAGGGATTCAAAAGAGTTCAAATTAAACAACAAAGGTTTAATCGTGCCATTGCTTACAGGTCAACCTTCAAGAGCAACACTTGAAGTGCCATTGCTGCAGAATGCCATGTACATGATGTTAGAACATTCATCCTCCTCACATCTACCTATGACAAATATTGTAGAATAAATCAAGGTCCAAAAATCACGTTGGATCACTCAGAGCTTAGGTCAACAGGTTTGGTATTTATACCTGCGACTGCAACAGTCGCAAATAAGTAGGTGTGCACCATTTTCTTATTTCTAATTGATATCTTTTTACATTGTCATTGTCATTTCCTCATGGTATTAGAGCAATGTATCTCTTGTTGCTTATTCTTTCAGTTGCCTTGTTATCAATACCTCAAGAGTTTTGAGTTTTTTGAAACTTTTTTGATTTGATGGTTCGCTTCTTTTTCTGGACAGGCAATACAACGTCCTGCGGTTTTTTTTCGTATTCTGTTATTATCAACAACCAATAACTCTAGGTAGTTTGCTTGGTACTATTCCACTAACGCTCATGTGATCTAGTTTATAAACAATATGAATAACCTCGAAAGCACCTACTTGCAGGAGACCATGTTTGCGGGACCAAAAAATTACAAGCATTGGTCCATTACTCTCCAAAGCATTTTGAGAAAGAAGATTTGTAGGACCTCATTGAACCACTAGCATCAACATCATCATCAAACACTGCCGCTGATCCACAAGGCAAAGCTGAATACTCCACTCACGATGGCAAAATCAAAACTGAACTGACTTGGTGCTGCAAGCGTAGAGCGAAGGCCATATTACAACTTTCATTCATTCCAAAATTGCGACAAGACATCATTGACATTGCTGACCCTTGCAAAGCGTGGAAAACACTAAGCACAATGTTTCATACCAACACCATATTAGACATCATGGTCGTTCTAAACAAATAGAAGCACCTTCACATGACCGACCAACAGGATGTCTCGACCTTCATGCAACAAGTGAGCAACATACTTTGGAATCTGAAAGAAATCAATTAGATACAGTCTAACAAGGTCATTGTTCACAGAATTTTAAATCATCTACCGCGCAGAATTGAGAAGATTGTATTACGGATACAATCAGAAAAAAAAATATACCAAGAGCTTTAGAATTGCATACACATATAAGAAACCAATGCGGTATTTAAACGACCTCATGAGACCTCCGATGAAGCCTTCTTGATACGCATCATAAATGTATATAACAAAAGATTTAATCGAGCATCTATGTCTCACACATCCTCGGGACCTTACTGGAGTTGGCCTCCAACTACATACCAACGACACAATTCGGCATCCATCATCTACCATCGATGTGGGAAATTGGGGCACACCTCCTGATTCTACAGAGCTCCTACATTGTTACCTCAACAACTAGCATACACATACAGCAACATCAGCAATCTGGAAGGTAGTTTCAACAGTTCGAGGCATCACAACAATAATGTGTCAAACGTAGGAGTAAACATCACAGAAGAAAATTCTGGTGAGCTCTACTTACCAAATCTACCCAACGATGATGTTATATTAAACGCATCATAGCTTCTAACACTAAGCCACCCAAACTGCGATTGGATCCTTGAGTCTCTGATGACTACACAGCTTAAGTGAAATAGACCCATCCAATAGCACCACACTAACATCCACTAGAGGTCACTCCTATGTAATACCTGGACAAGGGTCAATTGATTTATCCTTGCCAAATAGTGAAATAAAATCTTTCAAGAATATTTGCTATGTTCTTGGATTGCAAAGAAATATACTCTTAGTAGGACAAATCACTAATTTAGAAAATCTTTGCATTTTTAGTTTAATACAATGTAGTATAATCTTTCTAGAAAAGCTTCATCAAATAGTAGCTAGAAGCTCCCTAGAACAAACTAATAGCCTCTACAAACTAGAATACCTAGCACAAGACTTTATCTCAAATTCCTCCTCATCAATATTAAGTAAAAAATCACAAACTAATACTAATCTTAAATTAAATAGTATAAATAATACCCATACAAATCTATTAAAATTATTGCACAAAAGATTAGGTCATATAAACTTTAGAAGCTTAGTAATGATGAATTTATAAAATTTAGTCATAGGAATCCTATCATCTTCTATAAAAAAAATTAGAATTATCTTGTCTGCCATTATGGCAAACAAATTAAAAAATATATATATTCAAGATATCCTTTACACACACTAATAAGCTACTAGCTCTTATACATACTGATATTTGTGGTCTACTTCCTATAAAGTCACTAGACCACTTTAGATATTTTATTCTATTCATAGATAACTTTAATAAATATTCATGGATATACTTCATAGCTACAAAAGTCCTATCTTTAGAAAAAAATTAGCAATTCTATGCAATAGTTGAAAAACAAAGTGGACACAAAATTCTTTGTGTAAGATTTGTTTGAGGTAGAGAGTATTTGTCAATTGAATTCTCTACATACTTTCAATATCACAAGATTATTTGACAACTTACAATTACAGACATACTTCCCTAAAATAGTATCTATGAAAGGAAAAATTATATTATTATGAATAGAATCCACACAATGCTACTAGGTGGCAATGTACATGCCTTCTTCTGGATGAAAGCAGTTCATACTATTTTCCACTTAGTAAATTGTAGTCCAACCAAGTTCAACAAGCATTGAATGGTGCTTAATATTTTCATTGATAGTAAGTCTGACATCAACAATTTCAAGGTTTTTGGTTGTTTCTACTATGCAAGATAAGATAGTACTTAACATATCAAATTAATGTCTTGATCTATTCTAGGCATCTATCTCAACCTAGATGAAAACTCAAAGGCCTATTAAATCCATTTTCTATTCTACAAAAAGGTGCATTTCACTTATGTGGTATTTAATGAAAACCAATTTCTTACAACCTACAATACAAATACAAAATCTATTGCATATTCCTTTGAAATATTTCTAGAACAAGATTTGGATTCTAAAGATGTCTTTGACAACAATGAAACACCAACAATAATATAAATTCAGTACTAAGAGATCACTCAAATCAACAATCTGACCACAAGTACATCTTATAGATACTAGATTGAAGCTTCTCAATCATCTCCTTGATACTAGCTCTCTCTAATACAAAATTCTTCATGACTTCTTGAATTTTCATCTTCGCATTGAAATTGCTATGAATCTTTTTAGTCACCAGCATCTGATCAATGGCCACTAATACAAGAATATAAGGGGATTGAACAATCTCTCAATTGAGCTGCTCTAATAAAAGATCTTCTAGTAGCTGCAAATTTCAAAATAGACAAGTCCTGCCATAACTAAATTCATGGTGACTACATTCTTATATAAGAGTAACTGAAGCAAAATTGCTCCTAGGAATATTTACTCTCAAAATTGCAACATTATCTTCAGAAGATATAAAAGGAACATCAAAATTTTGAAATTTTGCAATATGATATGATTCCTAAGAACAAAAATTGAAACTCTTCTTAATTCCATTGCCAAAGCCAACATCTCCTTGTTTCTCTTCCATGAACAAATCATTTGCACAAAGCAAAGGAAATTGACCTAGATCACTAAAAACAAAACAAATAGGATTGGCCAACAAACTATGTCATAGGAAGTACAATTGAAGCATTGCAAAAAAATATTCATAAATACAAATTGAAGCAACCCTACAATGAATTCTATGACCTCCATCAATCCAAAATTTTGTGTATTTCTTCTTTTTCTCTTCACTATCACTCCTCTAAAAACAATCAAACTTGCTAGTATAAAATTAGGGATTGCAATAGATTTCATTGATACAATTCAACAAATGACTTTGTAGTAAGAGAGGATGTTAGAACATTCATCCTTCTTGCATCTATCTACGATGAATATCATAGAATAAATTGAGATCCACAAATCATGTTGGATTACTCAAAGCTTAGATTAATAGGTTTGATATTTTTACATGCGCCTACTACAGTTGCAAGTGTGTAAGTATATACCATTTTCTTATTTCTAATTGATAGCTTTTCATATTATCATTGGCATTCCCTCACATAACAATCTATCAACATGAATGCTCGCATGAAGCCACAAGTTCAAATACTAAACAATGTGATATACATGGTGGATTGAGCTTCTTATTGACATCAGGGCTTAGTCATGATGGAAACAAGAGGTGAAACCTTAAGTTTTCTAGAGCCATGAAAAACAACAATAAGATGATGCTAAATTACACAAATTAAAGAGACACAAGAACAATGTTTTTGCTATATATATGCTGATATGATTAGTTAATTACTTGTTCGATCTGCTATGTCCTAGAATAATTAAAAGAATCATTCTTAATGAAGGAGTTATTATGTGAAATAATTTTATTTGATTTTTTGCTACACTCATTCTTTGTATAATTAGATGGCAATAGTTTTATGGATGGTTGGTTATTATTTATTTTTCAAATAATTTTCATAATTCAAAATTATCTTATTTTATGATGTAATAATTTTTGATGTAGTCTACATATATACAAAATAATAATAATAATAATTATTATTAAATAATTAATAATAAATAAATTCATAAATTTTTTATTTTCTTTAAAAATTTAGAATTTGTAGATATGAATGAAGGTTATGATTTTAATATTTATTAGATATAAAAGGTCCAAATATTTTTGTTATATCATTCTTATACAAAAACTATAAATATTTTTATTTCTCTATTGAATAATGTAAAATACATAATTTCTTATATAAAAAAAATATCTTATGCTCTATTATTTTATTATTTTTTTGTACAAACTTTTAAACTTAATTAAAATATTTGAAAACTAAAATTATTCACACAAATTATATAATATTTGAATCTAAATATCATCCAAAGTTTGAATTTCTATATCTAATAATAATAATATTGTTTTAAGTGTCTTTTAATTATTTTCTAAAATATAATGTAAATAATTGTTAGTGAATTTGTCTAAATTTAACCATAAGTATTATTCTTGGAAAATATTTATTGACAATTAAAAAAATCAACAACAACAACTTTGGAAACATATTTAAATTAAAATGAATTAACAAGAAAATTATTTTCACAAAACTTTCTCTACAGTACCATGTATTGGCCAACTATTCATTTACACAACACATACCACAACACCATCAAAAAATAATAAAAATAACAATAACAACAAAATGGAATCAATCGGACCTCAATTTCAAGGACGAAAGACACGAGGTAACGACAGCATGCCACGCAAGACGCCACGCGGCAGCCACGTCGGATTGTGCTTTTTGCAGTACGACGAGCTGGTCTGCGATCTTACTAGTAAGAATGTGGAATGGGCGACCTCGTGCGACGAGACCCGAGCCCAGTTTCGATGCGATGCCCCAGTCTCGAGCTCGGAGGATGGCAGTGCTGTTACGGGAGCGACGATTCAAGCTCTAATGTCGAGGTGGGATCCTAATCGAGGCACTTTGTTCCGCGCGCTTCTCCACTGCTACTTTAGAATTTCCCTTCCTCGGCTGATTTTCGCAGGTTTCCACTCGTGAATTGGATGAGGAATGCCATGTCTGGGACCAATCCATGTGCGTGTATGGTGCGATTCCACGAGCTTCGATCGTCGGTAGGGTGGAATGTTATGCAGAGGCGATTGGATCGAGCTGGTAAGTATGCCAGGGATTATGCAGCGGGTTGGTTCTAGAGCCCGTCGCTATTCATGCGTCGAAAGGGTGGTGGTTGTTGGGCCGTTTCGAGAAAATTCCCCTGCGTGGAGCTTGTTGTGGGGTTCTGCGTTTTGCGCGTTGCGCAGAGTTAATCCTGCTGTTGGATAGTAATTCTGAGTTTTTCGCTGGGAGCGTGATCGGATTAGCGATTAGGATAACAATGGTGAAAGAGATTGTGAGGTTTGTGTTTTTTTAGTGTTGAGTTGGTTGTGATAAGCTTCAATCTAGGGAGGCATGCCAGGGAAGAGGATGAATTGTTGTCATTTTGGAGGAGGCGTAGAACTCGGAACTTTACTTGTGAGGAGTTGCTTGTTCGGGAAATGTATCTCCGTCTGAATCTACACTACCGTAATTACATTTTCTGTCTGTCGAAGCAATCGTGAACCCTAAATCTCAGTGTTGAATACTCTTCTATCTCGAGTCAGTTCTGTTTTTTTATGCAAGTGGAGGTTGTAATTAGATTTGTGTCATTTGACTTGGCGCTCGTTGGCGTTGATTCGATAACTCAGAGTCTCTTGGCAGCGTTATTCTTCAGGATAGGGAACGGAACTAGATTGCAAATCGGTACAAGCCTTGAGGGTACGATGAACGTTGTATTGAAGGTTCTCTGGGGCCTAACATGTCAGTTGTCTCTGCTCTGGAGATCTTTTATGACGTTAGGGTTCAGAGTTTTTCCTCGTCTGAACTGCTTCTATAACATTTGTTTCTTGCAATGAAGGGATGTCAGATTCGATTCTGCAGTTCCGTGATATAGACGATGGAGCGAAGATCGACTGTTTAAATTTCTTGTATTGATAAACAACAAGCTTAAGTTTTAACTGGAGGGTTAGAGTGTTCTATGAGCGATGGCGATCTCAATCGCGGCCGAATGGGAGGCCCTGTACAATCGTTACTACCGGAAGCTGGAGGTTTACACTATGTGTTGGAACGGTATTGATTTGAGCCGGCACAAAGTGGCATGTGCGAGGTTTGGAGGACCGATTGCCATGGTGCGGGATGAGTCCAAGATGGTGCAGCTGCGAGCTGAATCTGCTCGAGCGAAGTTGCTCTTGTTCTCGGCCTCCGGCAAGCTGCTCTCTTCCGTGCCGTGGGATCGTCCGGGCGGGCGTCTTATTACCCTCGGGTGGACTGATGAGGAGATTCTTCTGGCCGTTGTGCATGATGGTACTGTCTTCCAGTATAATATTCATGGCGAGCTTATTCCAGAGCAGCTTTCGCTTGGACAAGAGTGCTGGGATCAGGGAGTGGCGGATTGTATAATTTGGGGGAGCGGCCTTGTGGTAATCACAGAGCAGAATCAGCTCTTTAGTATCCCGAATTTGGAGACAAAGAAAGTTGTCAAGCTAGCCGATCCTCATTTGGAAGACCCTCCGCATTGTATGGCTGTTGTGGAGCCGCAGTACACATTCTCTGGAAAGTTGGAAGTCCTCCTAGCCGTTGGACCTTCTGTTCTGGTAGTAGATGAGGATAATTTTCAAGACCAGATGGTTGATTTTGGACCAATACAAAAGATGACTCTTTCGTCAAATGGGAATTTTTTGGCCTGTTTCACACATGATGGTCGTCTACTGGTTGTGCTCACGGATTTTAGCAAAACATTGCTGGAGCACACAACAGAGGTGTGCTGGCTGCCTCCGCTACTGTCGTATTGGTGAATGATGGGTTTCTTGCGCATCAAGTTTTATTACAATGCTGCATTTGGGGGACGCATAGCGAAATCTTATGTCCAAGTCAAAGCTGGATTCCCTGCACCTGATTACATACATTTGGTTTGGGCTGATTGAATTTCTGCTTACGGTTCTTGTATTATTGATTTGCATTTTGCAGTCAGCTCTACCACCAGAGCAGCTCGTGTGGTGCGGGGTTGACAGTGTTCTCCTCTATTGGGAAGAGCAACTAGTCATGGTAGGTCCTTACGGTGATGTAGTCAGATTCTCGTACGATGAACCTATCGTTCTCACACCTGAATGTGACGGCGTCCGCATACTGTCCAACACGTACATGGAGTTCCTGCAGCGGGTACCCGACTCCACCGTTTCTATCTTCAAAATTGGCAGCACTTCTCCTGCAGCCATGCTCTACGATGCTCTGGAGCAATTCGACAAACGAAGTGCGAAGGTGCCTCAGCAGCACAGGTCTTTGTTTCCGTTTTTGCCACATGCATTTAGCGTGAGCGAAGCCCTCATGATCTAACATGGCTGTATCTTGCATTTTTGTCGTCAGGCGGATGAGAACATCAGATTAATAAGTGATAAACTTCCAGAGGCTGTTGGAGATTGTATCGATGCAGCAGGCCATGAATTTGACATCTCGCTTCAACGCACTCTGCTGCGGGCTGCTGCTTATGGCAGGGCGTTTTGCAGGTTGCCTCCTTGATTCTATTTGTATTGACATAACAATTGAGTATTTCATTGAACCCTCGAAATCATGGAGATAAGTGTCACTTCCAAATCATTGTTTATGTGTTGTAACTTCCATTTCTAAATGTTGGCTCTCTTTGACAAATCTAAAAAGAATACAAAACTAATGTGTGTCATATATTTGGCAGGAAGTTTGATCGAGATCAGTTTCAGGATATGTGTAGGACCCTGAGAGTGCTGAATGCTGTACGTCAGTTTGAGATTGGTATACCTTTAAGTATCCAGCAGTTCAAGGTGTGTCCGGAGACTCTCTTTTGTCGTAGCTCTGGTTTATTCAGTTCCTGTATATCTAGTCCATTGGTTCATGTTGTTCGTGTCCCGTGGATATTCTTACTGCATTGTTTTTTGTAGAGCCTGTCTATCTCACATAGTTGTTGCATTGTTTTATGATTCTATCACTTTTCATCACTGCATTAAAACTAAAATTTTCCGCATGTATGCTCGGACAACTTTGTACGTTTGTTCCAGGACCTTACAGCGCCGGTTCTTGTAGCACGGCTTGTGAATGCCCATCGACATCTACTGGCTCTTCGCATATCTGAGTATCTAGATCTAAGCAAGGTTTGTGCCTGGAGTGGACTCTGCCGATTTGTGAATAGTACTGCACATTATGCAATGTGAAATTCACTATTTTAGAACTGATTTTTCTTTTCTTTTAACGTATAAATGTATTCAGCTGCTCAAAGATGGTAATCTTTGTTGGTGTTGGGCAGGAAGTTGTCCTGGTACATTGGGCATGTACAAAGATTATTGCATCTAGTGATGTTCCGGACGCAATCCTTCTGGACGTATTATTGGAGAAGGTATTGTTTTTTCTTTGAAGCTTAACCTTAAACGAGGTTTCGTTGAGTAACAACCAGAAGCAACTGAAATTGACATAGTGAACTTGGTTTACGCTAATCCAGCTATGGAACCATTGCCTTTCGATATATTCGCCTGTTTGCTTGACACGCGTATGGCTTCAGTAATTGTCTTCTCATGTAAATTACAGCTCAAAGTGTGCCCGGGAATTTCGTATGCCACTGTGGCTGCTGATGCACATCGAAATGGGCGGCAAAAACTCGCTGCTCTTCTTCTGGACTACGAACCACGTGCCTCTGAGCAGGTAAATTTTGAATTTTCGAGATTTTATTATCTTCGGTGTGGAAATCGTTTCAGAGATTGTATTTTAGTAGGCTGGATTCTCACTTGTCTTTCTTTGACTATCAGGTTCCTCTCTTGACAAGTATGGGTGAAGAGGAGAGGGCGCTTGTGAAGGCCATCGAAAGTGGTGACACTGACTTGGTTTATTTCTCAATTCTTCACATTTGGCGCCAAGTGAGTTCAAAATCTCTGTAAAAAAATGTTTGTATTGTAATTCTATGAACTTCATGTTTTGGTATTAAAGCAATGCTTTTGAGAAGTTTTGACATGGATTAGAGTGAAAGTGTGGGTTGGAGTCTTTTGTGTTTTTCTTATGCTAAGACCCTCACGTTCATGAGAAACATCTAGGAGCGTATCTTGGCAATCAGATGAAATTGATTTCTTGTCATGATTAATTCTTATCATTTGTATATACGACATCTTATAACATCACGGTAATGGCAAACTCAGAAACCTCTGCCAGATTTCTTTCGCATCATCCAAGCGAAATCTCTTGCTCGACATCTGTTCGTTGCATATGCCAGGTACTTAAAGCACGTTTTTCGTTGGTAGCCTCGTAGCTGTTAAGTTAGGTCGCACTGTTTTTTGTAATATTCTTGCTGATAGCTGGTTTCATTGAACTGTCTGGTCATCTATGAAGTAGACAGGGTTTGTTTAGATTATAAGTTTAGGTTAGAAATCATTCAGCTGGAATTTTCAGGGTGTCATTAGCATTTTCTCTACTTTCATGCATGCATGGTCTCTTAAAAATATGCATATTTGAAAACATCTGGCTGTTGATTCTCTAATTCATCACAGGCAAAATGATCCGGAGATTTTGAAGAAATTCTTCATCTCAATTGGACAACTCCAGGTATCAACTCAATTCCTATTATCTGTAGTACATTCTGTGCATACCATAGATATTCTTGGATTCCTGGTATGTCTAATTTTTGTTATCGTGTAACATTCCAGCGAACGATCTGTTGATTGTGCAAGTGGTGTGATAGTCAATTGAATTCCTCAGAAGATACATGCAAAAGGTGGTGGATGTAAAAGTTAAGTTTCAATGGAATCTGATATTTAACTGATATCTTCTGCCATGGAATGGTCAGAGCGCAGCAGAAGTCTTTTTGAAAGAATCGTGGTCTTATTCCCGGAACATGGGAACTCGTTCTGGGTCAGCTTTGCAAGGGCCTCGCTTGAAAGCAATAGATCAAGCAAGTGAACTTTATGCACAGACCAAAGAACATATGTTTGAAGCTAAGGCCGCTGAAGAACAGGGAAAACTGCTCAAGTACATTTCTTGTCTTAAAAATACCATTTCCTTTTCTACAAACCTGATGGTAGTAATGAAATTATCTGGTTCCTTTGTCCTGGTGAGTTTTGCAGGACGAAAACTGTATTTTGTTGATTTGAGATATTTTTTATGAAGCCTGCGCTGTTTGCATATGGGTTCCTCACAGGTTGCAGCAAGAGCTTGAAATTTCCACAGGACAACCCATCTTTGTGGACTCCAGTGTCAGTGACACAATACGCACGCTGATCACTCTAGGCAATCACCGAGCTGCTCAAAGAGTGAAAGTGGACTTCAAGGTACTTGTTTCTTCCAAGTATGCTACGTTTGAGGGTTCCTTCTACTATTGAGTAAATAACATAGGTGCCATTAATTATCTGTGTTTTGTTCAAGACTTGTTGTAAGTGAGACTTTTAAGACTCACCATGATTGTCCATGTTCTTGGTAAGTTCGCCTCTCATGAGCATGGGACCCAATCCCCGAAATGAGCATTCACATGGTTTAAATGCCCTGGAACTTCCATAGTTTTAGATGTGATGCCTTGTGTTAAGTTCTCATCTTGCTAGTTTTTCTTGTTCAGGTACCTGACAAGCGCTACTACTGGCTGAAAGTGTTTGCACTTGCAACTGCAAAGCAGTGGGACGCACTGGAGAAGTTTTCAAAAGAAAGGAAACCTCCCATTGGTAGGATTCTAATCAATTTATCATGTTCCACACTTTCTCGTGATTGATGACCAACTGTTGCAAATCATATTCAAGTTTTGGATCTTCGTCTGCACTGCAGACGTGAAGTAGATACTGATGCCTTATATGTGTTCCGCTCGTGTCCATGTAGGATACAAACCGTTTGTGGAGGCATGCATAGAAGAGGAGGAAAACCAAGAGGCTCTGAAGTATATTGTAAAGCTTACAAATCCTGAAGAGAGAGCAGAGGTATTTTCCATTGACATATTTTTGCAGTTCTTGCAGGGACGACAAGATTGTGTTATTATCGTGTAAATTAAAATTAGCAAAACTTTGTTCGAATTTCATTCTCTGTTTTAAAAAAAATACTCCAACAAAAACTTCCTCTATGGGGATAAAAAAATTGACTGTATGTTGAAAAATAGTTGTAATCTTAACTCGTACCAAAACTTACTTCTAATGATGATAATGTTGATGTGGAGCTTCACGGAGCCCAAAGTTTACTTGAATAACTTCCACTAATCCTCCACTATCTGAATTAAAAACTTGGTGTTTTCAGGCATATGCACGTATTGGCATGGTAAAAGAAGCAACTGAAGCTGCTGCTCAAGCGAAAGACAATGAATTACTGGGCAGATTGAGATCTACATTTGGTCAAAATACGCCTGCGGGGGCTCTTTTTGATTCTTTACGTGATCGCCTCTCATTAACTTAGTCCGTGCAAAAAAATTATAAACTAGGTTTTGTAGAGATTTGAAACAGGTTTAGATTGTTGCGTTAGACTTGTTTTTGTGTACATTTTATGTATTTGATTCTTCTCGTATCCATGGTCTTGTTGGAGTTGTTATCAACTCAGGGCGCTCTCGTAAAGATAGAATTGGGACCCAACCTTGCTGTAAGAGGAAAAGGAGAATTCTGAACAGAGACATCCAGCCAACTTTCACGTTGTGTCAAATGATATGTAAAATGCAAAGCTTCTGGTTGTAAGATTGTGAAAGATGTAGGTGTACAACAGAACATGGAATGACAACCACGGAGAAGACTTCTGTAGACTGGTATTCACCACCCCAAGTCAGAAACAGTAATTTTACTGTGATATTTAAAGTCTACAATTTCGCCGATGATATATCAGCTCTAATATAATAATCATCGTAATGTATAGGTTCTGAGTTAACCCATTTGAAGATAGTCAAAAAGTAGTAATGGAGTTGAAATACTAAACAAAAAGGCATGTATCCTGTTGATAGGACCAATCCTGTTGAAATTTTGCATACCTATACAAAGACACAACATAATACTCCAGAATATTTACCAATGAGACTTCGTGTCATGGTCACGATACATGAACCACACCCAGTGGGAGATGCAATCATCGTCCTTAATGCTAAATTTGTGTGCCAGCCTCTCCTTCGAGATTGTAACCATAGCCAGGTAAACACCCGCGTGTACTCATAAAAAGAACAAGCTAAGAAAAATTTCGATGCACGGGATGAAAATAGAAGAAACTTTCGATAACAGGAACAAAGACTCGATTTGAATAAAGACTTGGCATCTTTGACTTTATTCAGCATTTGTCAGCTCCTGCACTGTGAATGCAGAAATTGTCGACAAAACACTAACCCATCAACTACACGACGTAGGAGCAGAGCCCTTGGTGATTAAATGACTAGGGTAGGAAAGCTGAGACTAAGGTTACATAAAACCAGATCCTCAGTTGCGATTGATAAAGTCTCCAAAGCTATGGTACTGTGGTTGCCACTCGACCATTTCCCTTGTGCGATTGTTGTTCATCTTCTTTCCAAGTGGCCCCTCACTTTCTGCACAAGGTTACAAACAACACTTGAATATTAGAAATCATTTTCTTTGCCACCTACAAAGCAAACTGGCCATTGACATGCAACTTCAACGCGGAAACAACTGTTAAATTGTGAATGAATACATTTCACCGCAGGAGATCACTTTCACACAGTAAATCGCTCCAAGCATAAAATGTGATGTATGAGATAAGCAATGTAATGAAGCTACTTACTTGTGAAACCGCGAAAGCCCCCTTTGAATTTACCACTCTGCAAAGTAATATCCATAATGTCCTGCCTGCAATTCAGAAGCAAGCAAATCACTCAGCAATATCCCGATGTGCCCTATCAAATATAAGCGCGCAAAGCAGTTGATACACTAAAGACTTACGAACAAAGCCAACGAGCACTTAATGTGGCAAGGCCAGGCAACATTCGACATTTTATAGTAACAGACCTGGTAACCGGAGTGTTATCACAACCCATAAAAACTTGCTCACGTATTTTCTTCTTCAAAATTGCAATGCATAAATCAGCTGCATCCTGGAAGACGAGAGACGTATTAGCATCATGAGAGTGCAGACTACAGTAGTAAACATAAACGCAGGTACAAAATACACTTGTCTCACGATCCTTAGCAGTGATGGAGACGCCAGACTCCAGATGTTCAACGTTGATCTTCGGAAACTCCAAAAATTTAGAATCAATGGATACAGCTTTCATTCAATCAGCACATTAAGACCTGTTCGAGTATAAATAAGAGGTGAAAAATACTTAGAGGAAGTCAAGTCGACACTAGACCAGTTAGAAATGTCTACCTCATAATGGATAAGGTTCAAATAATGATCTGGTCTTGCATCTACTGATCCTTTCTGAAGCCAAAATGTGTGAGCCCCACGATCCCGAGTGTGCACATAAAGTCAAGGAATTTATGCTGTACATCAACCTATTAACACAGTCTCGTGACTAAAACCGCTATTAAAGAAATCACAATAACCTCTGTAACTTCAAACAAAGACTGCAAGAATGCGTCGCGAATAGTCCACCTCCAGCAACAAAAGATAGAATCCTTGACACTTCAGTTCTACGCTACTTCAAATGTTAATTAATAAATAAAATTTGATTAATTATAAAAGTCATTCATATATTTATTCAACATTATTTAAAACCTTCTAAGTTCAAATAAATAAACAATTACCCTAAACGTATGTTTAGAAATACATAAAAACACAAAATACAAAATACAAAAAATGGTTAGTCTACGTATGAAAATGTCCCGGGGCAAGGATATATATAAGCCTGCCAATCGTACAACGTTCCCACCGACCTTCAAAACTTCTTCTTCAGCATTTAGCAACATATCCAAGCGAGGACTTTTCCCCTTTTCGATTATTGGCGCATTCTGTTTGTCAACCGACCCGCAGAACACATCAAGAATAATTAAAGCAATCAGTTTATTTGCAAGCGTGCTTGAGTCCGAAAACCTCGTTCCTTCACCTCGACCATGATCGTATGACAATGAATCAAGGACTTCATAAACTGTACCAAGCAACAACATCAACAATAGCTGCACATGAGTACCATGTGAGACACTAGGGAAAAAGAGAGCACAACTGAAGCAGAAACGGCGACCTCAGAATAATAGAAGACACTTACTTCGTCACAAAGACCATTGTTATGAACGTCATAAACACCGCTGCTAGACGTAAACAACAACGATCCTTCGCCATCCCACCTCTGGGCTGCTGCCCTGCATAGGCGATTGTTCAGAACAAACGGCGCAGAAGGTGAACTATCAGAACACCTCCAACCACCATACATGTAACTCCAAGAACTGAAACAAATCGGTGTCACAATGGTATCTGGGTCTATCTTCGGATCAGAATTTTTAATACCTGACTTCTCGTACATAATCTTGACTCCCAGACGGTGGAGCACAGAATATAACATACGGATACTTATCTCCAGATTGCATGTCCTTTGTGATTGGACTAATGCCGAGAGACAGTAATTCTTCGTGTCGGTTGGTTGTATTTGTCTGACCAACGACTTTGCACCCTTCATATTGCTGCACATCACATCAATGACGAGATATTAATGAGCCTCCTTCATCACATTATTCCTCGAAGATACTCAAACCGCACCGTTCTGCACTGGAGTTAGATCCCTGATACAGTTCATTGCAGCAGGAGTGTCATAATTGTACTGAACATTGTCCTCCAACAACAGTATGTACCACCGAATACACTGTTATACAACATTCAACCCGTAGAATCCTCGCTCAACGAAAAACAGCCTCAACATATCTCTCATCATCATGTAAAAAATAGGGAACACTCTCGAAAAACATGATTCAAACAGTGCGGCTGAGCAATCAAGCGTAATCAGAACCCGTCATGACCGAAACTTTAACTCCAGGAAACAAAGGAAATTAAGAAGTAAAAAAATAAAATGCTCTCGTACTTGCATTACGTAATCAATCGAGGAAAACGGATAAAATTCCACTTAACTCCCAAATCCTACCTCGAGCCAACGTCGACCAACAAGACTTCCCAACACTCCGGGACCAACAACCAGCAAATTCATGTTGTTCATTGTCGCGCTCTTCTCCAATGGAGACTCCTTCCCAGCCATTGTTGCATCGCACCGAACATCACGAAACAAAACTCCGCAACTACTCGCAATCCTCGAAACACGCAGAAAACGCGATTGCTTCACAACACCGGCCGAGCTCAGAGAAGATATTCTTCTAATAGGCAAAGAGGACGTCCTCGTGCAACTAAAAGCACCACCAGGCCAGGCGATCGCAGTAGCCATAGCTACAATGACTATAGCTACAGTTGTGGCCGCTCTTGTGTCGCAGAGGGTTCGGTATCGCCTCGCCAAAGAGGAATTCGATGCAGAGCGGGGCCCCGTAATGCTCCTCACAAGCAGGTCAAGAAGGATTCAGCCGCCGCGGAATAGCACTCGCGGAACACGATGGCAAACAAGCGATGGAGTTGAGCTGAAGAGCATTTGCAAAATTGATCCGCAGCAACTGCGCTCCGAAGCAGGAGACGAGGCTCAGGGTTTATCCAGCTTCTCATACCCGGATGGCATTTAGGTAGTAGGTGACAAAATACCCGGATTCGCATGGGGGTATAGATCAGACACCACCGGAGTAGGTCATTCTAGGACTTATTTCCAAAGAAAAGCTTGGAGAATGATGGTGTGAAACTGATTGATAGAGGAATAATAAAATTATCCGTGATAAATTTTTTTAATGATCAATAAAAAATTAAAAAATAATTTAAATAAATAAATGAGATGCAACTCATTTCTTATGTTTTTTTATGAGCTGCACATATAGATGTTTCCTAGTTAATTAATATCTATTAACTAATATTTCTTGCTTACTTGATAGTATTTGTTGAAACGGAGGTCATTTCTAAGTCTGAAACTACATCTCTTCACTATTTCTCACACAATTTTTAAGATTTCCATTCACTAAGATTGTGAATTAAACTGGGTACATCTGAAAATGCTCAATCATATTTTTTTCGAGTTTAAATGAGAGCATCAGCGAAAGAATAAATCTGTGTATCACACCCACATGTGTATGCATGAGCATGATTTTGGATGTTCTTTCATGATTCAGCAGTCCATATATTTGTAGTCACGATAAGTATCATTATGAACTCAATCCAATCGATGACTGCGCGAATCATCCAAAGCGTAATTAGCGTAATTAGGATGAAATTACTAATTATCTAACATGTTTAATCATAGTGAGGATGAATGTCATTCGCCCAAACCCTATGAGCGCATCGTTTACACAGGGGAAGGATGGTTAGCCTCAGCCCAGGCAATCGTGGCTTCTTTTTGCTTCTCTTTGGCTGGGTTTTGCTTGGAGCACCCTCGTCGCACTCAATTCTCCACCATGGTATCGCCGAGTTCTCTCATTTGTGTCTCCTCTTTGCAAACACAGGTCCCGTTATATATTGCTCATCGTCTGTCTCAAACCCTAATTTTACAATGTAGACGTGATCAATTTTATTTTCGCGTGTGCAGGCGGACGCCGCGGAAGTTGAGATTGCCCAACCCAAGAAGAGAACATTTAAGAAGTTCACCTTCCGAGGAGTCGATCTCGATGCGCTCCTTGACACGAGCATGGATGAGCTTGTCGAGCTGTTTCACGCTCGTGCACGCCGCAGGTTGGTATTTCTCGGATTCGTTTACGTTCAGGGGAGTTAGACAAGGGTTTCTGTGAGGTGTGTGTTCAGAGATTTATATTGTAGCCCATTTTTCAGCGTTTGTCAGCTTAGATGGTTTTATTTGAGTGATCTCCCGAGAGTACGTAAATGATTGTAGTACGCTCGCTACAGACTTATAGGTGGTCTCTTTTGGCGAATTGCCTCGAATTGCCATTGATGTTCTTTTTACGTAGCACCTCTTGTTCGGGGTTACAATATCGGACAATTGTTTATGTTGTAGTCAGGTACAAAGTCGAAGGTGAACAGTGATGTGATTCATGGAAAAGATGTAACTAGCTTGGCAATTCTAGTCTTTGTGAACTATACACGGCTGAGCTTCAGTGACATAATCATTGGAAAAATACTTAATACAGCACCTTCCCAAAATTTAGAATTTCTTCTGTAGAATTCACTCCATTGGACTTCATCACGACTACTGGGTTCATGATTTTGATGGAAAGATGCCTCCTTCATGCTTATATCAATTGCTGGTGATGCTTATTGTTCGATTGTCCAGGTTTCAGCGTGGGTTGAAGCGTAAGCCAATGGCTCTAATCAAGAAGCTGCGCAAAGCAGTATGATAGTCTTTCCGCTTTTTTGTATCTCGTTCTAAAAGAGTTGTGTGAATTACATCGACTTCAAATTGTTGACATTTTACCGACTTTTTCAATCTTGTGCGCCTATTTTCGTCAGGTCAACATGCAGTGTTCTGATGACCTTACTCTACTTTTTACAGAAGCGTGAGGCACCTACCGGTGAAAAGCCCGAGCCTGTGAGGACTCACCTCCGTAACATGATCATTGTCCCGGAGATGATTGGTAGCGTCATTGGTGTGTACAACGGCAAGACCTTTAACCAGGTCGAGATTAAGGTAATAATATATTTATTATGATCGACCCAGTAGTCTGAAAATTCTTGATGAAGAGTAGTTCATCCTGTGAGAGTATCCCCTCCCCCTAGTTTGGCATGGTTATATAATCTACTCAGGATTCTCACTTTGATGTTTCCGTGCAGCCCGAGATGATTGGACACTATTTGGCTGAATTTTCCATTTCGTACAAGCCTGTGAAGCACGGTCGGCCTGGTATCGGAGCTACCCACTCTTCGCGATTCATCCCACTCAAGTAGATAGACTTGCAGGAATTTTGTAAACATGAATCTTGCTCAAGCAAGACTGTTGGTGTGAAGGATGGTTCAGAATGCATGATGATCATCATTGATGTAACTTTCATTTGGTGTAGATGGTCTTTCTGGCGCATCATTCCTCCAACAATTGTGTTAAGTCTTCATCTTCCTTTCAACGGTAACAGTAATTATGAGAGTTGTCGCATATTCTACTCGCAACTTACGACTGCATAATAGCTATTTCTCATCAACTATAGCTATATACCTGTTTTATGTAACAATCACGTGTACTCGCGCAATTCAAGTTGGAGTATTATTAAGGAATTATTAAGGAAGTGACTTGTCTACATCAGGTTCAGCCCACTTAACGTTAATATGTGTGCGTGCTCATTAAGACGGACTCTTCATAATTTCCATATACTTAAAAATAAGACAGTTAAAATGGCAGGTGCGAATATTCATTCTGGGTTTACAATTTACCATTTTTAGGTCTGATTAATATAAGTGAGCATGAAGTGCAAGATTTTCAAAGATGCTTATACATAACGTCAACTAATATCATTCCTTTCACAGTAGTTCTCTCTTTGCCTAAAAGCACAAACGCATACTGACAATGCACAGAACCCGATAAGGAGCAAGAAGACATGAATAATAGACTCATAAGGATATCCACATGAATTTCGTTTAATATGTCCATAAAAAAAAACATCTAATTAAATCCTCCATGCGAGATTATCGAAATCATCATCTACTCATCATCCTCCTCCTCGTCATCTCCCCCGGACGCCTTCTTAGATGCAGCCTTCATGTTCTTACGCTTCACCCTTCCCGGCCTACCTCCACCAAGTGGACTCGATAGGGCGAAATCAACGTGCTTTTGGCTGTCAACACGAACCATAAATGATGGCACATCGACGATCTGCTTCCCAACCCTGAATAACGAACGTAAAAGATATGATATACCCCGCAGTTATGGAGGATACCCCTCGTCACCTCCACTTCTTTAAGAAAATGCAACCTAATGATCTACAATCGACATTCAGATGCTGCAAGTTCATGTGCATTTTGAGAGGGAGCGAGAAATAGCAAAAAAATCTGAACAGAAAAACTAAATTCCGGCAGAGTGCGTCGAGTCATAGACATTGAAAGATCATTCCTTACCTCAAACCCTAACTTGAGACAACTGTGCCTAAGCACCGACTGTTCAATCAACCAAAAATCAACATCTAAAAATCGTAAACCAACCTGATGTGACGCTGCTTGATCAAAACTCGAGCATGATGAATAGACTTCGCCATGCCAGACTTGAAAACGATGGTCTGCAGCCGTCGCTCCAAGAAGTTCTCCACGGTGAGCGCGAGTACATAATCGAGCTTGCTCTGGTTCTCATCGAGAAGTCCATACCTGTTCATGCGTCGTAGCAGGGCCTCTCCCTCGAAGATACGACGGGTGTTTTTCTCATCCAAAGTAAGCAACATACGGGCATTGTTACGAATACGGCTTAGGGCATACTGAACCCTCCACAGCTCACGCTTGTTGCGGAGACCGTACTCTCCGACCAACTTCAGCTCCGCATCAAGACGCTCTTTCTCGAAGGGCCTACGGGGCTTCTTAAAAGTTTTTCCATCTATAAAAAGAACACGAGACAGAACCAATTACAAATTCACATTCCAAAGATTACCACAATCAAGCCCTAATCTACCTCAGAAATGAGGTCCAAAACCCTGAAAATCCAGATCACTCGTTGAAGGTCATGCGGTGACTCGATTCATAGGGGATTTTTAAAGTTCCAAGGCTGTACGGTCCAATTCAGATTTGTAGCAAAAAAGACTTTCCTAGGACCGGCGCAGTGTGTGTTCCACAGTGCACAGTACACATGTAGATGGCATTCACTATGTGATGATAACAAACACGAAGCAAACAGGCAGAGATGATCGAGGCTTACAATTGCGGAAGGAAGCGACGTGCACCATTTTGGTGTTGAAACTAACGGAGCTTCCACCTCGCAGGAAACGCAGGCGCGAAAAGGAGGATCCGTAGAGCTCTCGTCAGCTCTTCAATTACACGGACCCCAACCCACCGAGCCCTAATTCTGGGTACATCGGAGAAGACATCCTTTGTCCGTCCGATCAAGTCACGAAATCTACGGCTTCAAATTGTGAACGATAAATTGAGGATATCGTTGACGGAAAACGAAAGGGGCCGTCCGTATACAGCAGTTTGCGATCCGTCGGACGATTTTCCATATGCTTGTGGATGTCACACGAAAAAGGCCCCTCCCTGCTTTTACTGTTAAAGTATAACGAAAAAGGATTTATATGCCTTTTTTTTAAATATAAATTATAAGACTAGAAAAATAGGGCCCACACACACCCACCCATATATTGCTACATACACTACATAAAATGGCTTGGGTAGAGAATAAAAATGTAATTGCTGATATATATATATATATATATATATATATAAATTATGCTAGCATTGTAGGTTGATAGTAAGTATATCTGAGTTGAGTGTCAAATCTGTGCTTTTATAATATTGATTTATAAAAGTTGTACCTTGAATAAGTGCAAATTGTTTTTGGTGACATTTTCCTGAATATAATAATTATTATTTACTTATTTAGACGTGTATAATGACTTTAAATTATATTTTTTGCTCTGAGTATTACAATTTGTTGACGATCATTCAGAGAAATACCAATTTTGATACTACATCAATTACATCTTGAGAGCAAGTATGCATCTATTATATAACCACAATATTAAATAGAAATATAATATAGATATTTACTTATTTATTTATCCACAATTGCCCTGGAAATAATTAAAATTCAGTCTGGGTATTATATCTTTGAAATGTTCATATTGAAACTTTAATTTCAGTAAATTTTGTTGGTGACAATGTAATTATAGTTTAATTTTCAATTTAAGATTTATTAATAAAACAATTAGAATATTGTCTCTCTACAATAGGAAGAATTCAGATGTAATTATCAAATGAAACGTAATAATGAGCTATCTAAAGTCTTTAAATTGTGTGCAAATAAACATTGCTGTTACGTAAGCATCTCTCTCTCTCTCTCTCTCTCTATATATATATATATATATACATACATACATATTTGACTTGCAAGATGGTTTCTAATGTCTGAAATATACAATTATACAAAAGTGCACAACGGTATGTTGATGCTTTTATCTACAAATTGGATCAAATTAAAAATATTTATATTAATGTAATGTTACATAAAGAACACAAAAAGACTTGTTATTTTGGCATAATTGTTCTGTTTACCTTAATCTACTGACAAGGCTTTCAAATTTTAAAGTCTTAAAAAGTTGAAATATATACATATAGATAGATAGATAGAGAGAGAGAGAGAGAGAGAGAGAGATGGAGAGAGAGAAAACAAATGGATTGGAGTCACCAATAACATGTTGAAAGGTGTTTGAGTAATATATTACTAGATCCATGCCAAAACTTATAGTAATATCACAACAAAAACACATGAAAAGAATAAAATATTTTTTAATTTATTCTATATGATCCAATATTAAATCTTTTTTTTCTATGCATGAACACTTAACAAAATTAGTATTTTCTAAATGCATTTGTAACATGTATAGCTTTTGTATATTACATATTTTATGACGTATATCAAATTAGGTTGTAATAAAAGAATTATATTTAATGAGATCCACAGCAATAAGAATTTTTGACATCTTATTTTTTATTCAATCGGGTTGATTTTTTTTACTATTATAGTAACAAAAATACACGCGTCTTGTTCTTACAATAGTAAATGTTGCCTTTTGAGCCTAAGTATCTCAAAATTACAAAGAGCCTTTATTGCAAAGGGAAGATCTTCTGTCTTTCTATTTGGTTAATCACATTGGGATCTTTCCTTTTTCACTTTGACACTACTTTAAAAAAAATGTCGTAACTTCCATAAAAAAACCAAGACATATTTTAATGAACTTAGCAACTAAAGCCATTCAAATTCGTCAAGACAATTTTCAGTTCTCACTAACATAAATTGTTGTTAGTATATGTAGATATACACGTATAAGTAAACAAGTATGTTTTTTTAAAGCACGAATTCCTTGGATAGAAGTATTCTCGTAGAATGAAAAAAAGAAAAAAGAAAAAAGAAAAAAGAAATTCTATGCATCTAATGGTTCTTAAATAATGACAATAACAATATTTATAGTCAATGATTGTTTTTTTCTTTTTTCATCCATTAAGTACATGGATTTGGAGTTCATGTTATTTTTAAATTTAAAAGTAGCGAAAAAAATTAAAATATAGGAAATTTTAAAAGTTAAAGTTTCACCTCAAACTTAGTAAGTAAACAGCCGTCGGCGATAGGCAAGTTGACCCTAAGACCAATGGCGGAGGGGACCGACCTGCACCGCAGACCGAGGCGTGGGCATAGAGCCACAACGGTAAGTCAGCCACGTTCACACCGTCGACTCTGTGAGCCAATGGCCACAAAGCCAGGGAGAGGCGGGTGGACCCATGAGCGCACCCTGGCACCAACCCAACCCGGCCCAGCACAGCCCAGCCCCGGGAGGGTATGAACAAAGCCACAAAATAAGCTGGGCCCCACTTCAAACGTTCCCCACAACCGTGTCGTCCGTCGCCTCCCTCTCCCGCCATGCTCCCGCGCCACGCATTCCGTTCCCTTAGCCGCGAACTCATGTTCCAAACCCTCGTTCCCTCCATTCCGCAAGGGGGAAAGGGGGACGGGTGTGGTGGCCCAGCCCGGGAAAGAGAAAGAAAAAGAGAAAGGAATAAAAGATAAGGAGGGCGTGGAAGGAAGGAAGGCAGAGGGAGGGAGGCGGGGGGGGGGGGGATGGGGAGAGAGGGGAGAGGGAGGGCGAGAGAGAGACGGCCTTCTTCTGGTCCTTTCTTCCTGTTGTCTTTGTTGTGTGCTTCTGCAATCGACGTTGAGCCTGCACTCGCATCCCGGAGACGAGCACGCCGTGAAGGGGTTCGAGTTCGGCGTCGGCGTTGGAGCGTCAAAGCGCGCACGTGTAGGGTGTTCTTGCGTGGCCATCGGTGCCGGGAGGCGCGGACAGTGCAGTTTGGAGTTGGCGGTGGCGTTGGTTGGATGTCGCGTGGTGGACTTTTCCCCGGACTAATGAGGCGTGCAAGAATTGGAGTGGCATGGTGGCAGGATTTTCCTAGCGTTGTCGATTTGAGATAGGGTTGAGGGAGCGTCGCGCGGCGAGGGCGGGTGCTGCGATCGTGAGAGGAGAGTAAGAGAGCGGGGTAGCGCCTGAGAGCGAGCGAGTGCGGGCGTGAGGATGGGAAGAGGGGAGGTAGCGCTTGGTTTGATGGGAGTGAAATTGCGTCTTTTAAAGTGGAGGAGATCGTTGCGCGGCATCGCGCTGCTTTGAGAGTCTGATTCAGCTGCGGCGAAATCCTTAATGAGCTACTCTTGCGAACCATTCCGGTGAGTTGGTGCGCGCTGCGGGAATTTGCTTGATTTTGCGTGTGCTCGCTTTGATTGAATGTGGGATAGGTTGCGACAGCGCGCTGTGAGTAGTGGCGTGGGGAGGAAGTGGGCGTTTTCGTTGTCTTTTGGCATCGTACGATTGCATTCTCTATGTCACTACTTAGTTTACATTGCCATCAAAATGTGCAATCCACGTTTTAGTACTGAAGGGGCGTTTAAGCGGGGTATGTCATATGGAGATTTTTTGGTTCTATGTCGTCGACTTTGATGGCCTAGGGCCTGCTGAAAGAGATTCTGGCTTGAAAATTATTTTCGCTTACATGTTTACTACATCCATCAGGCAGTGCTGTCTGCACTCGTGTAAATTCGGCGTGTTCCGGGTTGTCTTTCGGTAGGGGATTCATGCAACAGCTTTGAAACATTTTTGAGGAACTTACAAGCTGCGCGACTCGACATTGATGTCGTCTGCGGCGAATTGCGACATTGTTGATGACAGTTTCTGTCACGATCGTATGCATTTTAGAGTTTAGAGTGAAACATTTGCGTATTCTGCCTTTTGCCAATCTACAGTTCTCCGCTGCGGATATTGACACCCCTACACTTAATCGAGAGTTTCAATATCTGTGTGCGAATTTGCCTAAGTTAATGTAGCTGGTCCGCTTCATTGCCCTTGAATTGGAAAACCCAAAACGCGGAAGCATTACTACGCAGGAACACTCGTGTTGCATTGCCGCTAGGGGGGGGGGGGGGGATGCTGTTTGACTTTTGGTCTCGAAATTTTTAATTCCGCGACCAAACCATCGATTGAGTTTTATTATCATATGACTGGTAGCCCATTCTAATCCTTGATACCGGAGGCTCAAGCTTGTGGTTGCCCAAAATTTGTGAAGCAGATTAGAGAAAATAGAATTCGTTCGCGCGTTCGGGATCTCAGAGAGCCGCTTGCTTATGGCGGCAGAAGAAGGGATTACAGATGTTGGCCAATCTCTTGAGACAATCACCTCCCCGAGTAAGCGGGAGCCATTTGAGGGTGCGGAGAAAGAACCTGCTCCATTGACTCCTGAAAAATTAGACATTGTTGATAAGGATACTATGGATGTAAGACTACGTGCAATTGAAAGCAAAGCTGACGGGAATCAGTTCTGTACCTCTCCACCTGAACCATCGATTCCTGACAGCTTGTCTTTGGGCGTATCAGAAGCCATTCCATCAGGTATGCATAACGTCTTATTACGTTTTTAGATTTATTCCATATTAGGTCTATGTACCTCTGATTTCGTTTCCGTTTAATCTCTAGGGATAATCTACAGAAGCACAAGTATAGAGTTGATTCTCAAGTTCAGAATTTCAAAGTTGTTATGACTATTTTGTTTCTTTCATTTGTGATATGAAATGAAATTGCTAGAATTAAACATTCCACAAAAGAAAACTCTTTTTATCCTATATTAATTAAATTATTCAAGTTTGAATTTTCTTTGAAATCCTAATTTGCTATCTTTTAATCTGTAGGTGGTGTTGAAGCAAGTGATTCTTCAACTGGAAAGCCCGAGGTTTGTGTGTTATCAAGAGTAGCGGAACGGCAGTTGGCGAAATGTAGTTTGACTGCTGAGGATTGCAATTTGAGATCCACACCTTTTGGAAATCGACGCCTTGTAAATAGTGTGCTTGCAGGTGGCCTTGGTGTGCTGGTGGAGGCTGCACAGGTATGCCCCATACGTGTATCGCGTTCGTTTGATCGTTTTTTATTTTTATTTTTATTTTTATTTTATTCTTCATCCCTGCCTGGTGAGTTTTGGTATGTGCTATGACTTTTCTCTGCACGGCTTTTCCATCCTCAAATCGTTTTTGAAACGTATTTCGAAGTCTCTGTACAAGTTTATTCGTGGGATTCTTTGCAGGTTGCATCAGGTTCTTCTTTTTCAGCCAAGAAGAAGCATCCTGAAGGACATGGTCATGTTGGGAGTTGTTACGGTGCAGTTTCAATGCCTACAAAGAGGAAGGCGTATGACAGACAAGTTGAAGTAGCAGTCCCCAAAAGAAAGGTCATAAGACGTGGCCATCGCAGGTCCTTGAGTTCTGGTATGGAGTCAGAGTGTGGTGAGGCAGCAGAAAGCGAGTTCTCACGGGCTCATGTATCAGTCCCTGTTATGCAAATATCGTGTCCATTGCGAGGAAGTTGGAATCCTCAGATCTTACCCAGCAAAGAGGATGGTAACAAGGATGTCGGTTCTGCTAGCAGCTCCCCTTGTAGTGCAAAATCTATATTGTCACCTGGTTTAAAGAAGGGGATTGGTTCCAGATGGGGTCACGACGAAGAGACAAAGCCTCCACGACCATCAGGTGTTTTGATAAGACAAGGGGATGCGGGGGTTGCCAAAGTTGCTGTTGCGGTCGTCGAAGAATCATTTGACTTTGACAGTGAGGAAACTGATGACGATGCACCACCTTCGAAGGCCACAAACGAGCCCAGCGCTCTCGTACAGTCGAAACGAGGACGTGCGCAGGCCTTGCCTTCAAGATTCAAAGACTCAGTGGTTGAACCTTTGAAGAAAGGAGCCAAGGTCGCGAAAGGCCAGTCTCACGACGTAGAAGTCCGGGATGGCACACCCATGTGCTTACCCCCAAATTTGAAGAAGCGTGTGAAAGGTGTCGGCCAAGAGACCAATGGCCCTGCTCATGTTCTGAAGAAGGTCCGCAAAAATCAAGAACACACGATCATTCCTGAGGTGTCCTTGGATTATCATGCATTCGGTGAGTTCGGGAACAGAAAGGATAGCCCGTCAAGATCATTTCAGGGACCTGGGGAGCTGGATGGTCTGGACTCTGAACTGAAAGGAAGCAGAGGTACCAATTCGTCTGATGCGTACAGTCTGGAAGATTTCGATTTAGGAGAGATTGTCTGGGCAAAGTCCGGAAAAAGAAACGATCCTGTTTGGCCTGCCAGGGTTATCGATCCATTTAGAGAAGCCCCGCCCATGGTCCGTGAGTTGTCGTTGCCAAATAGTCTGTGCGTCATGTTCTATGGGCCATCATCATCTAAAGGAAAACATTCACGGGTACGTATAATTATTTTTTACAACGTAGAATTATATTTAAAGAGCAACTTCATAGTAATGTGTATCGCATTTGGAAGGTTTTCAGCTTTAGCTTGAAAATTGCAGTTTTTTTTAGTGGGCAGATGGAGTATTGGTTTTGGTATTGATACTCACGTAGCTCTTATTTCTGCAAAGGTTATCTTATCTTGCTCAATGTCTTTTCTTCTATTAGAAATTTTCCTGTTTGCCTCAGGGTACAACTGGACTTTAATAAACGTTTTGATCACCCTGAAACAGGATTATGCTTGGGTGAAGCAAGGAATGATATTTCCCTTCAATGCCTATTTGGAAAGGTGAGTTGCTACGCTTGACAATATAACTGGTTCAACTGTCCCCTAGATACTCCTGTCTTAGTTAATGTTGAGCATCTGTCTTTCATGACATCGCAAACGAAATATAGATTGCGCACGTTGGTTCTTATCAGATGTGATTAGTCATGCAGTTGCATTTTCGGGAACTATCTTCTACAGTTGCACTTGTTTATATTTCTCTTTGCAGTGCATAATGATACTGCCGGTATTTTCAGATTTCAGTCGCAAACTCAACTGAATAGAAGTCGCCCAGTTGATTTCAGACAAGCCATTAGTGAAGCTAAACTTGCTGATCTGGGTTATGAGGAGGGCCACGATGCCTTACCAGGCAAAGTGCATCCTTCCATGGCTTCGACTGTGACTAGATCTTCTGTGTTGGAATCAGAAGAGCCAGAAGATGATGTTTCTATTGGGTTTGAAAAGTCGATGCAGAGTGCACCTGTCAAGGTACACCACAAACTTGCTCTAATGAGCAACAGTTGCTTTTGATAAGAACATAACATAAGAAGTACATCATTTGAAGTTCAATGTACGTGGATAAGGATGGTTAGTGCTTAATTTTATATTGCTTCCACTGGCTTTTATAATTGTACAGGCAACAGCTGGTAGTGGGAAAGCAAAACGAGTTTGTCCTGGTTGTGGAGTTCAATTATCCGTGGGTAAAAAGGAATCTGCTAAGGAAACCCCACTTTGCAAGCACTGCGTAAAGGTAAGGAGACCTTAGTACACATGAATATTTTTTTCTTCGTTGATTTCCCCGCTCTATATGATTGCGTACTTCTGCCTTTGATCACTTTCTGGACCTTTCACAATTTTTTACCACAATTTTGATTTAACTGCTTTCTGTGCAGCTATACAAGTCAAAGCAGTATTGTGGCGCCTGCAAAAAAGTTTGGCTTCCGAATGACAAAAGCAGCTTTGTAAGTACCGTTAGCTCTCAGGTTGGCTTTTCTTTCCTGTTCCATGTTCCCAATCTACATTGGGATATTTCTTTAGGAATTTAATTTGCTTACTCCTGTCATGTTTTGTGCAGGCACAATGCGATTCATGCCAGATTTGGGTGCATGCAGATTGTGATAAGCTTACAGCCAAAAAGTTAAAGGTTGGTAATGGTTGTACCTGCACATGGTATAGGAAGATATACTCACAACATGTCAGATGTTTTTTCTTTCTTCTGGTACTGCAAGAGGAAATGGATGATATATTGTTACGTCAAAGCTTATATTTTCAGATCATCTCATGCGACGTGCATGCCGTTCTCTTACCATATCTAGAGCCAGTGATGAGGAACTTCTTACTTTTTTGTCTTAAAGAAATCAGTGAAAAAACTTGAATTTTTTCCTGTGCAGGAGTTGGCTGAAGGAGGTTCATATCTTTGCCCAGAATGCAGAAAGTTGCATGGCTCAGGAAATTTGAAAAAGCGCAAATTAGCTGACAAGTATCTCTCTCCCCTTAATCATTTTGAGCTTCGTGGGAATTGTCGAATATATTATTGGAGTTTTTAGAGGGACCTGGAAGTTCGCTTCTGCCGAACGTTATAATAGTGATAGTAGGTCTGATTTCGGTAACTGTTTGTATTGAGTCTTTGCCTGGTGCTTCTTCACTGTACGTGGGTCTCTACTTTTTCATAGAAAGCCTTGTTGAAGTCTCTACTTTTGGTATGGCTGCTTTAGTGTCGTCTGAAGCTAAGCTTGAGCATGTGGTTGTTACTAATCTTGACTGTTCAGTATAGTTGACATCGAATATGCGATAATGAATCTTAATTGTAGGTGTGTTTAACGGAATAATTAATACTATTTTCAGGAACATTCTTATTGAAACTTAATGAATATCCCTGGAATGACTCCTTACATATTTGATTTTGCTGGATTCAGGATTGGGACAGGCCCTACCTCATATATTGTCCCTGAGAGGTTGGCTGTTATCTGCACGCATGTAGAGGGTGATTACTTGCCAAATAAGCACGAGTGAGTTTTCTTTGCAAAGGCTATGGATATGGAAGCTAACGATTGGCTGTATCTCAGGACTAATTACTGCTAGAGGATTGAAGTTTCTAGGCTCTTCCTAGCTTGAAGTTGGCGTAGCTATGTTTATGTGGATGCTGACGCCAATGTTTGCTGTTCTTAGACGCGACTGTAGGAAGTTATCACGCCGCCGTCCCAGTTCTACCTCTACTAAGCTGTTCTTTGCTTTGTTAATATTCAGGGTTATCTGCAAGTGTAGTAGCTGCCTGGGTACTAAACATCCCATGAGGCCATCGGAGTGGGAACGTCATACAGGATGTCGGAAAAAGAAGTGGAAAGAAAGCATTCGCGTGAAAAATCAGGAACAACCTCTATTTGCATGGGTGGGTTTCATGTTCTTCATTGTATATTTGAAATAAAAGATTGGATCATGGTTTTGTAACTTACTATAGAAAAATGGAAATTCCGGTTATCACAATGTGGCCTAACGTGCACAACATCCATATTGTAGGTCTAAACTTAGGCTGCAGACTCATGTTCATGTCTTTGTATAGCTCTCGTTTCAGGTTGAAAATCATGGCCTTTTCTCGAGTCTGGGTGAGCCTTGGGTTTTTATTGTAGGACTGCAAGCTTTATGAACTTATATTGCTGACAATTTCTTTGACGATGCTTCTTGGTTGACATGTCACGCAGTTGAAAGACATGTTGAGTAATGGCGCTATTGGATTGGCCTTTGAAGGACCTGATCTCGTTCCAACCAGAACCAAGGAGCAGGCACTGCTTGCCACTCTTGATCGTAGGATCACTTCTCATTACTTTTGTGAGCCTTAAATGTTTTATTGCACAACAGCTTGCAAGTACAGATCCTCTGGTCGCAGTTACAATAAGCAACCTTTCCCTCTGCATATTCTATCGTAATCTGCAATACTATTGCATACTCATCCATATCTAGCTTCGTTTTACGGGGTTCTAGTTTCATCGAATTTGTGCTTTATCTGCTTTCTGTTTAGAGTCGTTACAGTACTGTTCTACTTTGGCGCTAACCTATTTTAAGTTTGATCCAAGGATCATTATGCCTAAGAACATTCTTTATGCTGATTGTGTTTTAACAAGGATGTTCATTGCTGAACAGAACCGTATGAGCCTGTGGACACTACCTGGACATCAGAGAGATGTGCTGTGTGTCGTATGGTTGAAGATTGGCACCATAATAAGATGATTATTTGCAATCGGTGATACATCTTGTCATGCTCTTTATCTTGCTCACATGATCTGATTAATTGCGGTTCTGCTTTGTTTTTTTGAAATTTTTCTTCTGATACTTAAGTTATTTCTTTTCTTCGGTCAAGAAGTACAGTCAAAGTGGGGCATGCTAGCTTTTTGTATTTTTGTCCGGGTGTTGAACTATCTCGGTGGTTAAGCGCACTTGCTTCATTGTACAGGTGCCAGATAGCGGTACACGAGGAGTGCTATGGTGTAAGGGCATCAGATAGTGTAGGATCATGGGTATGCAGAGCTTGTGAAACCCCAGACGTTGAGCGAGAGTGCTGCCTGTGTCCCGTTAGGGGTAAGTGCCTCATCTTTCTGGTTTAATTTACTTAGTAGTACTTGGCTTTAGTTTGTTTATTCATCCCCTTATTATCTAGTTTTAGAAGTATGTGTTGATCGTATGCATTAAACTTCGAGTAGCTTCCCAATTGCGTATTTAGTATACGTGCACAAGTTGATATATTTGTTTCGTCAGTTCTTAAATTCATCCTGCTAATTGGAAGGTATGTTAGATATGACGGTAGTTGCACTTAGGTAGTAATGATAATGAAACATAGTGTGCGAGATAGTAGAAAAATTGTTTATAATTGAGGCAGTTGGAAGTACCACGTGACAATCATTTTCTCTTGACAGGTGGGGCATTGAAGCCGTCGAATACTGCGAATTTGTGGGTGCATGTGACCTGTGCATGGTTTGTACCCGAGGTGAAGTTTAAGAACATTGTTAAAATGGAACCCGCTGAAGGCCTCACCAACGTACATTTAAGTACGTTTCAGCAGGTAAACTTCTAGATATTTATATTAGCACTCCAGACTAGTATAATTCGTGTGTGGTGAAAGGTACAAACACACACATAGAATCAGATTGGGCATACTCTATTACGATTCAATGTAGGATAATTTTGTGGGTTCCTCAAATGAGGATTTTTTGTTACAAGCTGGTACTTGATTTTTCGATTGACTCTGATCTATTGAGTGCTTTTGCAGAAATGTGGAATATGTAAACAAGTTCATGGTGTCTGTGTATCTTGTGCCCACAAAAATTGCCGAAGATCGTTTCATATCATGTGTGCATTCAAATCTTGCTACCACATGGAGGTATGTTCTTTCGTGGAACATCTACAGCATGCAGTTCTTAAGTTTTATTTTGCCTTCTGTGTTCCTCATATCATAACAGGGATTTGTTTTGCAACAGATTCCACCTTTGCTGTAGCCATAGATTTCTTTTTGTTTGATTTTGTAATGAAATGATTGGGGCTCGTCTTTGTTTATTGGATTTATGGTTCTCTCTGATGCCAATTGTTGAGGAGGTTCGTCACTAGAAGTTTTTCTGTCTGCCAGTGTCAATTTCACCCGATACCATTGTTCGACCGATCCTTACATGAGATTTGTCTGCTAAAGATACCTATTCGGAGTCCCTTGAGATGGTTTTCAACTTCTCTTTGAACCTGAAAAATTAAGCTTTGTTTTTTTTTTTTTTTTTTTTTTTTTTTTTTTTTTGTTTTTTTTTGTTTTGTTTTGTTTTTTTTTTTGGCTTCTGTGAATAATTCAGATGTTTGTTGAACTTGAAGGCATTGTCATTGTATATGTGCAGATGAAGGCGGTGACTAAAAATGGACTTGAAATGACACAGATGAATCTGTTTTGCAGCATACACAGGTGAGTTTATTTTGTCTTTGATGATCAGGAAGGCTCGCCCTGCTGGATGTTTAGTTTCACTGATATTATGCACATTGTATGTGCTGTTCCAGTTCTTACTTCGCAGTTTGTCCGAGAGTTTCTGATTATTTGATTAGGCAGAAACTCAGATTTGGGTAGACTCACGAAAATCAGCTTTGCAGAACAATCACTGAAATTCGTTGCGGGGGTTACAAATGAATGTCCTTGAATGTGAAAGTCGAGCAGTTGTATAGAAGTGTGATTATGCATGTTTATGTCTCGAGTATTGCGTGGTGCAGGACTCCAAATCCAGACATGCACCTCATGTTAAAATCACCATCGGGTAAGATCCCCGTTAAAAGGGACGCGGCACATCCAAGTGGGTCGGAGAGTGTTGTTAGTTTATTTGGAGGTTATGCCTCAGGTACTGGAAACACATCGTTGGAGCACACCAGAAGTGTCACGAATTCAGTAGCAGCAAGATGTCTGCCTTATTCCACCTATGACGCGAAGGCCAAATATAAGGTATCTTTTGCTGGGGTCCTGACAACTCCTCCTCATTGACCTCGTTTTGTTTTTCAGACTATGTACTGAACTCTTTGGCTGTCAAGAAAATAAAGTGAGATGAAGTCCATCTCCGAATGTTTGTTCAACTTAATTGGATAATCTCTTGGGCCTCATCTTTCTAAGTGAGCTAACAGCTACGAGGTGCAACAGAAGCGAGGAAAAGCTATCGCATATCGAGTGTCGGGTGTCAGCTGGAATACTATTGAGAACATCAATAGTTTGAGGGTGAGGCTATATGCTTGCAGTTCGATCCTACTCAAGTTTACAGTTCAGTTTGCGTGGATAGTTTTGTTTCGAAGAAAAATATTTAGCCACAGTCATCATCAATGTGCTTTCGCACTGACTCTTTCCTAAACTAACACTCTATTCTTCTTCTTCTTCTTCTTCATTCATTTATTTATTTAATTGTAATAATTATTTTTCGTCTGCCTCCAATTTGTATATCCTTAGGTGACTGTATGTGTTTTTATAGTGCAGCCTTGAGAAGGGTTAACCCGTAGGACGTTACGTTGCTTAATATGTGTTGGCTGCATTGTAACAGGATTTTGCTGTGCTGGACCAGCGAAAGGTCTTCACAAACGAAGAACGGCTTAAATTCCTCCAGGTACCACTTGAGTTCTCAGACATTCATTTGTTGCAATCATAGGTGATGCTGTTTCAATTACTACTGCGTTACAATATTAAGGCCATACCCCAATGTATCTTAGTCTTGATACATTGAGAAACGTATTCGATTGCCGTGTTTAGGTACTGAATTAGATACCTAGAATCTGTTCCATGACACGTACAGTATTTTATTGCAATGTAGATCTGTTTTTCCTAAACAAAGTTGCAATAATGGCGGTATTCCTGATATGCTTTTGGTGTCATTGGTATGCTTTTTATCATTTTTTTATTTGACGGTAAGAACATACCTCTCTTTGTAGGTTCGATTATAATTTGAAACCTTGACCAGTTTTTTTACCCTAAGTAATGATCTTCCCGATCCTGGCATTGAATTCCTTCTTGGTACTGAACTGCCATACTATTTTGTCCTTACAGAAAACAGAGAAGAAAACTGTATGTTTTGGCAAGTCTGCAATTCATGGATGGGGCCTCTTTTCTCGACGTGCAATCCAGGAGGGAGAAATGGTAACTTTAAATGACTGTATTTTAGCTTTCCTATTCAATTTTATTCTAATTATTCAGAAGGTTGTGAGTAGAAATGATATTCAGCGATTAAGTGGTAGAATGCTCATAATGCCTGGTCCTTAAACCATCACCACCTAGGAGTTTGTTCGTGCATAAGCCATCTAGAACGGTTCCCGGTTTAAAGTGACAATCGCAGTACCTTCACCTTAGACACTGCCGTGAATAAGAGTTCCCATATGAACTTGTGTATTTTTCTTTTCCTGTACGCTTCTTTTCACATGTTGTAAAGAATATCCGTACCAATATATTATGATGTTCTTGGTATTTAGGTTATAGAGTACAGAGGAGAACGTGTGCGTGGCAGCGTTGCAGACCTTCGTGAGATCCGGTACCATAAGGAGGGAAAAGATTGCTATGTACGTTTTGTCGTTTACTTTCGATCTTATTCTTACATGTTACATGTTTTACCTTGTTTTCTTTTTTTACATTTGTATGATATAGGGGCCCTCGCCTTTTACATATTTTTATGTCGCGTTGGTGGGTGAAGGTTACACTTGTGATTTAGTCATGCAATTTTCTAGCAATTATTAGGCATGTCATTGATATGTTTCTATTATGAATTTATTCTGAAGTTTCGTTATTTTTCTTTATCTCTTTGTTCCAGTTGTTCAAAATTAACGAGGAGATTGTTATTGATGCCACCGACAAAGGCAACATTGCACGTCTTATTAATCATTCTGTAAGTTACTGTTAACTTATTACCAATACCACAGGATCATTAGATGTGTCCCTTTCTTTTAGGTTTAGGATTATCGTCAAGAAGGTATCTTTGGTGAGAAGACACTGAGGTTGTTTTATTTTGAAGTAATTAATTAATTTCACTTATCAGAGTATTTTGAGAATCGATGATATTGTCGCTGGATTTTGAAGTATGAGGACAAACAACTGACATGCAGTCCCACTAGTAGTACACAGTGTTTCATGAAACAGTGAATCAGATCATGCTAAGCTTCATAGGATGATGTGTATAATATTTTCTTTTTAATTTTGCTTTTAAAATAACCTCCCATGTAGACTGTTCAACGCTGCTCTCAACCTTGGTTCTCCTCAGTTTTGGTGTAGCTATGTCATCAATGTGATACCTCCTCACGTTAACATCATTTGCGAATATTTCAGTGTGATCCGAGCTGTTACGCTAAGATTCTCGACTTTCAGAGGGATGATGGGGAGGGAGACAGCCGGATTGTTCTCATTGCACGAAAATACATTGCAGCTGGAGAGGAACTGACGTAAGCAAATTTTATTCTCTAATTCCCTCACGAACTGTTGAAGTAGCAGCTTTCATCTTTCTGGATAGAAATTTTCATGTTGCCAGAGTCGTTTAATGTCTACATCATGTCTCGCATACAGTAGGTCATAGTTTTGAGCCTAGCTTTCCCAGTTATACCTTGGATGTCAATGACTGCCACATAGATATGTTTGGTTCTCTTTATTTACCTACTGGGGTTTGAGTTGTCTTGTTGCACATTTTTATGTCCGCTTTTTCTTACGATTTTTTTTGTCTGGATACATGATCTATGGGTTGTAGATACAATTATCGATTTGATGAGGAGGATACACAAAAAGTGCCGTGCCTTTGTGGATCATCAAATTGTCGAAAATACATGAATTAGGAGATGCACTTTCTTACATTGTTGATGGGAGACCAGGTTATTGCTTTACATAGAACAGGCTTTTTTTAGCATTCTTCTGTGGTTAGTCCTAGACATCTGAGTAGAAATAAGCAATTATTTTATAGCTTATCTTGCAGCAGATTATCATGTAGGCGTGCATGTTCTTTTCAGAACGACTTTGTGAGCACCAAAGTTCACGTAAGACAGTTCCATGCCCTTAGGAAACTTGAGTTGCTACTGGAACAAGACACTGCAGGTCAATTACCTCGCTCCACCTTTGTATACTTTTTGACCCCTGTAAATTCCGATTGTAAGAGTTGGGCCAGTATTGCCATGAAGTGGGTGATCTCCTTCTCCTATGTTGTACGCAATGATGACCCTATATCGCTTCAGAATCTATTTCATGCAACCGATGTCAAACAGGAAGTTGCCGGATTGAACCTTCCATGTTAACCATATTTTGAGTTTTGTATTTCGTATTGGTAGAGAGAAAATGAGCCAATTTCTTGTAAGATACTGCGCTACTCAAAACTTTCAGATAAAAGAAATGGATTTATGTTGGACCCAAATTGTTGCAGTGACACTAGAGGAGAATTTAGTGAGAATTCTTTTAACCTAAGTCATCTCGGATTGGCATTTCAAAATCACTTCCGAAATGATTTAGGCAAAAACAAAATTCTATAACTAAAACTGCGAAACAACTTCATGTTGTTTCCTCTTCATCTACAGTGTGCATCGCTGGCAAACAAACAAGAATCATCCTCTCGATTTGGTAATTTTGGAATAAAATTCATTTGCAACTGTGTGACTGTGGACGTATAATTCCAAGTGGAAGAACATTTCTTTTGTATTGGATCACTTACAGTTCCATTGCTAAATTTAAACAAAATCTACCGACACATCTTCAGAACTTGAGTGATCTCATGACTTTCAGAAAATCCACAATTGGACATTACAGCAAAAATACTGAACTTACGAGCTTAATTTTGAAATAAAAAGATGGTTCTTATTGAAAAATTGGTATATCTGTTTGTATCCACTTATATGTATATATATAAATATAAATATATATATATATATATATTCATGTTTAAATGTACTTTCAATCCGTAGTGTGATTTAATTTACGTACGTTGATGTGATTTGATACAATTAAATATAAGTCGGTGTAATATCGATGTATTGATCCGCTGTATTTGTCCATCCTTGTAAGAGAACATACCCATCTATCCAGAAATTCATTCATCAATTTGAGACAGTTCATTTATCAACACTGGGGAGATTACCCATCCTATAATTCATCCATCCATGGGAGTCTGGCGCTGGAGAGCAGTGCGTCTCCCTCTGCCCAGGCAGTAGAGAGGTATTGCGGTGTCGCGTGGCCACTAGATTTGTCCCTTGAAAGGCACAAGAGTGCAGCAATTGCAGCGTCTTTCTTGCACCGCCTTAGGGTTTGTCTCGTGCGATATGTGGTAGAGTCACTCAGACTTTCACCATGAGCAGCATTGGAGAGGGAAATATTACATTCTGGCAGAGACTGAAGAGGCAGAAACATGGGCTGGGCAACATGGCCCTCGCGGCGTCCACGCTGCTCCTCGCGGTGCGTCTCATCGACCAGGATAAGGAGCTGAATAGGATGAGAGAGCGCGAGTCCGAGCTGCTGGAGGCTTTCAGGTGTGAGAACCGGGACGTGCTGGAGCGATTTTCCAGGTTTCGTGCCTCTTTGGAAGAGGAAATCGATCGAGCCGGCAGTAGGTGAGTTCTGGATGGAGATGCTCTGCAATCAGGAGTTTTGGCGTTAGTTGCGTAAGCTTTTTTTGAGGGGAGGGGATTATAGGGATCAGGGAGTGCTGATGACGGAGATTGTGATGTTTGTATAAGGCGACGATTGGAGGTGTTGAGTCTGATTGAAGAGGTGACTTGAATCTGGAGCAGGTTGCCGCCGCTTTCGACCAGGTTACGGGAGCTGATAGAGAAGAGCAATAGGGAAGAGCAAGCTTCCCTCGCTAGTTTTGGAAACCAACAAGGTAAGTTGGGCACTACCTCCCTTTTGATAGATGCGCCGCTTGCGAAATATCCCTTTCTAGCATCTAAAATATCGAATACAACTTGTCAATACCATTTAATGTCTTCGGTAGGTCGGTTTCTTAGTACAACTAATTTGTAAAGGGCCATCCTCCTTTGGGAATGTGTTTGGAGTAGAAGACATCAATCTCTGTTTTGGTCGCGAAAGTGGCTTACATGTGTCGTCCCTACCAGTTGTTTGCTTGGAAAAAGAAGTAAATGTTGATTTTCTAAGAATCCTTAAACGTTTTTGCTAAATTTAGATTAGATCGAGGGTTTTGGATTAAGGTTTAGGGTTCCTGCGTTGGAAAGGGCTTGAGAGGGCTTTGCGCGTCACGGTATTTGTGACAGGGGAAGATTGGGTTACTGTCCTTAGGGTCGGTTTTTGAAAGCATTTGGAGATACAGACTTGTGTAGTGGTTGTTGGACTATGTCCTTTAGAATTTCATGTGCAAACGTGAAGATAAGGCTAGGAATTGAGATTAACTACAGACATACATCTTAAGAGCAATCTAATTGTGAGCTATCTTCAATTGCATTAGTTAAGTACGAAAAAAAAGTTTTCTTATCTATATATTTTTTGAAACTTTTCCGAGATATCAGTGGGTGATGTTTCTCTTGACCTATGCAGATCCAAATTTAGAGAAATTGCAAACCAAAGAGGCACTGCAAGCCAAAATCAAAGCCAGCTTCATGGTTTGATGGGGAGATCAGCCGAGGTGTGTTCTCTTGTTTCATCGGATTATTTTTGTAAACATTGGTAACTGGGAAATTTTCTCAAGGAATCTCCACATTCAGGCTAGATAATTGATGAAAATCCAAACTCCAACTACATTGATGTCAGCACTCTGAAAGGTCCTACTGATGGTTAAACATCATGATGGCAGATTGCAAGGCTGTGCTGATGGTGGGTGGAATGGGTCGATGCACATACGCAAAGGAATGAGAGCTCTTGTGAAGAAGACTTCTTACTCTCCATGTTTGATGGTGGCGAGTATAGTATTCATGGAGCTGTACATTTCTGGTGATGATAGAAACATATGCTCACATTGAAAGAGGAGGCCATTAGACATAGTCGATATGTTTCGAAAAGACAAGAATTGTTGGGTCGTTGAACAGGAATGAAATTCACAGTCCGGAATCAACATGAGGCACTGCAAATTAAGAAGTGAATATGGATCATTAGAGTTTCGTTCTAATTATGGCTTTGTCGCTCTGTACCGCAAGGAGGGTACGACCAGGTAATCACAGTTTTGGTTGGAGCACGAATAAAGCGGAGATCGTTACAGTTGAAATTTAATGCCAGACTTCTTCACATCTGAAAACATGACTTTATGTTCTATCCTACTTGGTTTTAGGAAGTTGGTGTTAGAGATTCCCATTTTCAGATCCTCCCAGAAACTGATGCTAGGACTGATTCCCCTGCGAGACGGTCAACACCAGTCAAACACCGTTTACGAATGGCCGCAAAAAATCAACTAGTTTCCCGCTGGAGGGATAATTGAAAGCCAAATGAGAAGCAATTGTGTCACAACTATCGTAGATGTTGTTTACCTGCGATATGTCATTGTTTACCTACTCATGACTTTACTTGTTTAGGGTATAGGGAGCTTAACGAACTCAGGTGGAGCTGGAAGAAACGGCAGTCAGTGATAAAGAATGAAATCTGATCGGACGGTTTTACTAAAGAACTAGCATCTGACGAAGTACAATAGAGCAGTCTACGTGAAACGGTCGCCAGACGTGAGGAATCATACACCTCTTATGTATGTACAATGTTTCAATTCTACATTTCCCCATCTGCTATCAGGTATGCAGAACTGAAAGGAGAACCGGCGACCCACCATCCATGCTGTCTTTACAATCGAACTCGATTTGTGCAATTTTATCAAATGTGTGCAATGTGCATTCTATCAATGTTAGTGTGTTCGAATGGTTGTGTCAGGAAAGATGATATCCGGATTGCGAATGTGAGGGTTCATTTTAGCTAAGTCTCGCCACTTCGCACCAGTTCCATGTACTCGTGCTGAGATGCTCCACAAAGTCTCCCCTCGCTGTACTTTTACCTGTGGCGCAGACTTAGGCTGAGACGGGGTCTTGCCTTTCAATGCCGGGTGTGATTTTGTTGATTTTTGCATCCCATGGGCAACAAGCCATCGCGTCCCTGCTTGAAGTTGTTTCTGGTTACCCCAGAGTTCTACCCTCCGATTGGAATTAGAGCTTTTATCCGTCTTCAACCCCGACACTGTGACATCCACAATCATGAATCGGGGCTTCTTAAGGTCCTCCTCTTCCTGGTCATCACCTTCGCTTATGCGCCGCCCCAGCTTCGGCTTAGGAGGAATCATCACCCTCTCCGCTTGAACAAGAGCCATCATGGGCGCCCCCACAGGTTCGTTGTTTCGTAACGGATCCCTAAGCTGCACCAACATGGCAAGAGTTATGGTATCCCCCATTAAGCCAGAGCTCGCATTCTTTCGGTTGTGACCCGTTCGTGAGTTCTGGGTCGCCACCTGATTGTCTTTTTGCTTCTCGTGAACCTTACTGTCACTCTTATGCGCAGCATTATGTGCAGCTATGACGGCCAGCGTTTGTTCCTCGGTCTCGCTTTCGCCACAAACTCCTGCATCGAGGCGCATCCACTCGTCCAAGGAGACCGCCATGGACATGAAGTTGACGTCCTCCGCACCTCCCTCTGGCAACGATATCCCAGTGGGCCCATTGAGCATGTTAACTCTGTTGCCTGCTCTCTTGAAGTTTGCTTCATCTGCCATGATTTCAATACCATAGGGTGCATCTTGGTCAGCCATTTCTGCTTGTATCTTCAAGCCCTCCAGAGCAAGAGCTTCAATCTTTAGCATGGCCATGGGTGCTATATCTTCAAGACCAATGTATTCGTCATTCGAATTTGCAGTAGTTCCATTCCGCTTGCCCCTACTTCCATTTTCGTAGGGATTTATTGCTGATAGCGTTTTGCTCGTCTTTCGTGAGGTAAGCGAGTTGCTTTCATCATACCCTATAGCCGCAACTCTGTTCACAGTGATTGATCAGTGTTAGCATGAGTTCACCAAATTTAGTAGCCCCAGGGAGTAGAATATAATTGAATTCGCTGCAAACCAGTGAAGTTCTAATACGCTAGGGGTTGTAATTTTACCCGTTCTGACAACTTTCAAGCGATTCTTTAAGGCTTCCAGGTCTTTGCTCAAATGAAATTAGATCCAATGGCTTTCCTGTGATATCCTCCAAGGGCATAGCCATTATTGCCTCGGCAGGCATACCCTCCATTCCTGCCACGGCCATTCGGCGCAATATGTCCATGGATGTTGCCCTCATTTCTGATGGCAGCACAACTGGATTAGATACTTGCATCACCAGCCCTCCACCAGCGCTACCTCCTTGAAAGTGTGTAGGGCTCATAGAACGCAGGGAGCCACCACTGCGAATATGCAGCACAGAACCTAGTCCGTTGCCCAACGGAGGTGGTGGCAGCAAAGGAACCAGAGCATGACTAGAATCAGGCGACGTCTGGGATTGAGGTGCGTCAAATGCTTTATCATTGAGGCCCCATTCTTGCATAAGAGCCTTGGTTTCCTCGTCCTCGAGCAGTTTAGCTCGCGCCTTGCTTTGCAATATTTGGGTTGCTTTCTGTAGCTCTGCTTCAGCGGCGTCCATGATAGCTGCAAGCTCCTCGTCGTCTTCGTTACCCCACTCTGAAAGTAGCACACAGCAAATTCCTCGCATCATGTCTTGAAATAATCACATTGTGGCTTAAGCTAAGTTGGAGGGGGGTGGGACAGCTTCCACCCAGTGAATCTAAGCTTCGACTCATTTCAGACCCGTTTCTCTAAAACCATAATTTGTACTCAAAACGAGGCTACGAAGTTACTTAAGTCAGAAAGAGTTAAGTCTTGAGGGCATGACGGAGTTGATTTTTTCAGACAACAACTAACCTGAATCGGCGATAGTGTCAGAGTCTAACGGCGAGTCCTTGTTGTCTTTGCGGGATGGGCTCTCATCAACCTTGTCCTGCATCCCGCCCATTCTGAACTTCGCATACTCTGGCAAGTGAAAATTCAGCTCTAAGCCACCTTCTATCAGCGCCTCCTGTTCCAACTGTTGTAGGAACAGAGCACGTGGGGAATAGTCTGCACTTTCAGAGCTGCAGGCTACGGAGCTCCTTTCGTCCATCAGTAAGCTCAAGAACTCATCAGCGACGAGGTCATGGTCATCCTCGTCGGCGCCAGCATCCCTACTTTCTTCCTTCGATGTCTCCTGAAGTTCGAGAGTTGGGATCGGTTGAACTGATTCAACGCTTTTGTCGTCTTTGACATTACTCTTTGAAACGGTGACATTTGTTGTCTTGTCTTCTTTGCTTTCTACAGCGACCACACTTAGTGTATTCTCAATCTCGTTGTAGGCTGATAAGGAGTCGTTTATGGTGTTAGCTGGTTCCCTAACCAACCATGACCGTGTCAGCTCTTCCAAGTCTTCTACGATGCCTTCATTCCACTCTTCGTGATCCTCAACTACACTCTCCTCTTGTTTCTTCTCATTTTCATCAGTTTTCATTGCCTCTCCAACTCCCTGAGGCAATTTCGCATCACCATCTTTTTCTGCTGGTCGTGGATTGGCTGGCTGCGGACTCACAGCAATTGGTTCTGATATTTTCGAATCTTCGTCATTAGAAAGAACCTCCGCGTTGTCCACCACAGCCTCGCCGACCTGAGCTTCAATAACTGCAGAATCCACCAAATCGACATCCAGAAGGCTATGAATTGGTTAGCTTGCAGCCTTCATGCAGAGTCAGTCAAAAAAGTAAGTGTTTACCCTAAATCTTTTGCGCAAGATCCTTCACGCCCATACTCAGAGATTCAACTTACTTCAAGACATGAAGAACCTCTACAAAAAACTGAGTATGATACTAACCGTCCACTGAGCCCCCGCGGACGTCGGCATCTGCATCCCCATCTGACAACCCTTGTACAGTGTCTTTGTCTGCTGCAGTATCGTCATTCTCCAGCGGAGGAGGACCAGGATCCACAATAGCACTGATTTCGCGACCCTGATACACTATATTGAACTCAGAGTCATCGTCTTCCTCGTCGGAAGCCTTGTTCAAGTCTCCTCCACCACGAGTTGCTGGTTGATTAAAGGACAGCTTCTTCGGCGCTCCTGGGAAATCCTCGTCATTTGTAAAACTGGGTCGAGATTGACCCCTTTGATTGGACTTTCCGGTGGAACGGTTTCCTTCATTAGGACTCTGTTCATCGTTTAGGTTGAGGTGCTCAATCTTCGTGAGTTCACTATCAGACGAAAGCTTGGACGTAGCAGGAGAATAATCAGCAACGTAGGATGACCAGTCTTCTTGGGTGGTTTCTTCCGGAGAATTTGGCAAGCTGCTGTAGGATCCGATGGGCTTGATAACGGGGGATTCAAACCTCGCACTTGACAAATTGCTCGTTGGTTCTGAGTTTTTGTTCAGCAGTTGACATCCGAATGTGAGAACTAGGATTCCGCCACTGGCCTTTCCCGCGAGCTTGAAGCTCGTGGTCCAGGTACGGTCATTCTCCTCATCACGACCCTCGGTGGATTTAGGAAGAAGCCGGGTGAGGTCCATTTTGTGCTTTCCAAGGGAATTCTCATCAACATCAAGGGCGATCACAGAGAGTTCGAAATTTCGGGGTTCGAATTTCATGCCTTTTGTGCCATCCTTGATGCCGAACACGTGTGTTTTTAACTTAAGAGTCTCGTCAAACTGTGCTACACCTTGGATAACGCGAGCCGGCATACTTCGTGTTCGTGTATCTTTTCTTTTCCACGTGACTGCGAGACGGAGCCCATGCATGACAGAGGGAAGGCTTTGAATCCGATGCAAACGCACAGTGAACATACAGTTGAATCGCTGCAGGCCAATGTGTGCTATAGCCCGAAAGGGTTTCCAGTTCCAAAGACTCTTCTTCTCCTTCGACGCTTCCAGGCGCTTGCTGAACTGCGTGTTACCTTCCTGCCACTGCGCGAAGTTGGAGACCTCCGGCAAATCTTTCTCAAAATCCTGTGAATGCCACGGCACCAGTCTCCGACCAGGTTCATCATCCTCAACCCTCTCGTTTCTACCATCAAGCGGGTATGCCTCGATCCTCTTTCCAAGGTCCTCAGACTGCGAGACACGCAACTGAGAACGGGCTGAAGTTCGTTTACCTGGGGTCCTTAAAGCAGCCGCAGCCGCAGCCAGCGTCTGTTCGGTGCTGTTCAAACTTCCTGCCGATCTCGTAGTCGTGGGCTCGCTTGACCTGGGAGATGATCCAAGTCGGGGCAGTTGTAGTTCCTTCCCACGAGACAATTGTGTAACCCCACCGTGATCCCTCTCGGCCACGGTGCCCATGTAGGGATTGTTCTCACTTTGTCGACTCTGCAGATCTGGAGAACCAAGCCCAAATTGTCCTCCCACATTGGAATTCTTGAGAAGCAGATTCTCTGCTTTTCGAGCCTCATGATAAGAAGGAGGTGCACCATCCACACTTCTCCGGGCGTCCACTTGTGAAGATTTGGGCACTTCATAACCCCTTGTAGCCATGGGTGGCTTGCCTTCTTCTGATCTTCTACTCCACGCTTTTGTGAAGGAAGCGCTCTTACCGTTGGTAACGATTCCATTGAGGCTCATAATTGCTGCGGTTTTAGTCTTGGTTTGGATTCCATCCGGCCCTCCAAGATAGGCGGATGCAGGACCTTTTACGCTTCTTGAGCTCAGGTATGGCGATGATGGCTGATATTCAGAACAACTGTCTCTCTCTTTCTTGTTGGAGTGGCCATTGAGACCTGTCGAATCCTCTTTTTGGTTTTCTTTTCTGTCGCCGAAGTTGGGCGACTGAGGTGGGTATGCCCCGCTTCTGAGGTGGGGAGACTCTGGCTCCTGTGATCTCCTCGGGCCAGGAAGACTAGCGACAAGATGAGACGCTGAAGTGTCTTTTAACGGTGGCCGACCATTCTGCAAGCCTGCATTGTAGAGTACTTGGCTTAAAGCTTCGAGCTCCCTCAGTAACTGTCCTTCCGTGTCATCCCTTCGGCTACCACCCCCTGGCGCTGGAGAAAGTGGCGTTTTCTTTCCCATTTCTTGAGTTCATAGATCTGTTACAACATGCGACCGGTCGACGGTCTCTTGCAGATCACAGGACTCACGAGTGCATCATTTAATATCCGTGCAACTAATAAGTTAAGATTAATTCGTAACCCTTTCCTCCCTACCTCTCTCTCCGGATGATGCTCCTGCCGATCAGCTCATAAACCCTGCTTTTCAGGCTCATGAATCGTGAGAGACGTTTCCCGTCGCTCCTATGCTTCTGCATCCATCCCTGTCCTCGTTGAAGGCTCACTTCATCAGTCTAAGCCCCAGAGATGCACTTCGACCATTGTTGCGATCGACATATCTGAAACTACCATGGCCCCAATCAAAACTGCACAATTAATACCAGGAGAAGTCATTTTTTCTGACCCAAGACCACCATGAACCAGTGCCAGTGTAGCTTGTCACCATGAGCAGAATCATCCATGAGAACAACAGATTCACAAATTTGAGCTGCAACGAATTTTAGTCACAGTTCTAAAGAAAGGCAGCTTGCTTTACCAACAATACTGAGAACACTCAATCCCCTCCAAAAACTCAATCTCTTCTCCCGTCTCTTTCCGGTCTCCACACTCGGGGAGTAAACTTACGAGAGCCATGGGACCCCAAGACCGGTAATCAATCGCTTGTATACAGCCCTTCCTACATCTCGGCCTTGTCATCGTATCTGCCACCATTACTCTCAGTCGACGGAACAAACTGCTCATCCACAAAGAAATTCCGTGAGTAGAGATTCCAAAATTCTAAGAATCTGCAGAGACGTTTGCAGCAAATTGCAAGCAATGAAACAATCCTAGATCCACTAAAGCACTGCATCTTCAATTCTCAGAGGCCAATTGAAAGCGGAAATCTAGATAGGCAAGCCTGGTGTTAAACCTCCTGGGTCGTTACTGCCGTTCCTCACCTTCTAGCCATTTCCGGTGGCGGAATTGCGAACTATGATCCTCCGATTCTTCCTCCTCGCAGAAACCTCAAAGCCTGGAACCACCAAACCCACTGAAAGCTACTCATTTCCAATCTTTCGCACGGCACAACAATAAGTTGCAAGCTTCAGAAATTAGTTATTCCTATACTGCATTCCTCATTTGCATCGCACTCCTACTACTAGGAAAAAAATAACACTAGTCGAAAAGACAAGTCGTACTACAGGAAACACACACTAGTCCTAGCTTCCTCCGTGACAAAAAAACCCATGGACACAACAAAGATTACGACGATCTCTTACAGTCGTACTGGGGTCCTGCGAGGCAGCCAATCCAGCTCATCTAGAACACTCCACTCTAGGACGAGATTATAAACCTTCGATCATTGATAACTCCGAAGGTGGCAGCGGCAGTGGCAGTACCAGTCTAGAGCCGGCTACGAGAAGCTGGAACTACCTCGTTCTAGCTGGATAAATGGCTCGTAAGCGGTGACAGTCTAGCATGAGATTGAGGATGATTGCACGCTTCTCGTGGCAGTGCAGCAGGAAGGATTGCGCAGGCAGGCAGGAATCCAGGCAGGTGCAGTAGTTCTGTGCAGAGAAGGTGCAGGGGATGACACTGCACGACTGAGAAGGGGAGGCGGGGGATATGGATGATGCGATCTCCATGTGATTGCGCCTCCTTCCTCGCGGATCTCCCCTTCCCACCCTCAGCCCCCTCCTTCAATTCTGTCCTGCCTCCCCTTCCTTCCCTTTTTCTTTCCCACTTCCCCCTCCCCTTCCAACCCAATGTAACTCTCGCGCAACTACGATCCGTCGCACGACCAAAATTCTACTTTTCCAAAGGTTAGCCACTTTGCCCACTACCGTTCATGATGACAACCATCGCAAAATAATACAACATTGTCAACTAGCAGACCTCCCAGTCTTTCATTTAAAAACATTTTCGTCGGGTCACGTTACATTGCCCAGCAGGAATAATGGGTTTGATTGCATTTTCCTACGGAGTGATACGATCGCATCTATTTTGGCCCTACACCTATTCGACAATCCGGTAAAAAGAAGACATAGCAAGTGATGGTGATTTTTACAGAACATCTCAGTGGTTTTTAGTTGGAGAATCATCATGTTTCCTGCGACTCGCAGGTCATTCATAAAGCTGCACATAAATGTGTTGAAGCTCGCAAGCGCCTATACATGGTCCACGGCGCTGACAAGTGCTCGTCAAGGTAGGATTTGTCAGATTTGCCGTTTTCACACCCAGCTAACTTCTCACCGTGCTGCTTAATCCTGGTAGCTGAGAAGCATTAACGACCCAAAAGCAACTCACTCTAACAAGAGCAAAGCCTGAGATGTAGCCTTGATTGATTCCTATGATTCGAGGCATCTGTCGACCTTTTGCTGGAAAAAGAAGGGGGTTTGAATGAAGGAGGGTGAGCACGGTGTTGTAAGACATGGCTCCCAACATGATTTGGTCACACCCTTCTTAATGAGCACTCCATTTATACTCTACCCCCTTCTCGGCAAGGATGTTTTCCAGTGACGTCATTCGCTTTGCACGCAACAGAGGGAACACTCCGTCCAAGCGATGAAAACCCAGCCGATGTGAAATCACGGCCCGGTAAGGGGGGCGGGGAATAACCAATCTGTTCTAAAGATAGAGGTTAAGCATGACAAATTGACGAAGACAAAGTTTTTGTACAGCTAAACGTTTACAGAATGTAATGCAGGATAAGACACAATTCTCAGGCAATGATGCAAGGTCTAACTGGGAAAGTGAATGGTGACCGTCGACCTGTGGCAGAGTTGTCTTGTTGCCTGTCCTGGGAGCTGGGCATGGATCCCGTCCAGTGCAGTCCATAAGAAAATTACTTTGGTCTCTGTCAGCGAGCCTTCGTGTGTGTCCTCCCTTGTGGTTATTGCCCCTGACCTGAGCTACACAGAACTAAGCGTGGTACTTTCTCTGAGAAAATCACAGGGATTTCTAATCCGCCAGACCTGATGTGTCACACACCTTGATCTCGACTTTTGTTACCCACTCGTTCCCTGGGTTTTTTAACGTTTTCTTCACAGGTAAATGTTAGGTTTCAGGGATGGGTTGAACCTGCTGGGGTCTGTGGTTCAGTTTCTGGTATGGTAAGCTAAAATTAAGGTTCATCAACTTGAAGTAATGGGCAATCCGTCGATTTGGCTCTGCCGGGACGGCCAAACAAGTGTCTGCTTTATCGCAGACATTCCGCCTGGCAATGTGCTCAGTTTCCGACTTAATGAAACTTATATAAGTAAGCGATCTGCGTAACCAATCGCAAGGGGCTGAAGAGAGCAGTATGATGGACAGTTTGGATTATAGCATCCTTCGGACGAGTGCCTGCCGTTCGTGCTTCTGAGTCAGAATCTGAACTTCCAAACAGTCCTTGGTGCACGGGGAGGAATTTGTGAAGAACAGTCTGGGGACCCCCAGTGCCAGTGAGTAACTTGCAACTTACAAGTCGACTGTTACTTGTGGCTTGGTTTTAAATTTCAAACAGGTGTTTGGAGGCCAATCCACTGAGTCGATCTGTGACTGAAGGTGGATCTAATCAAACATAGACAGTGCTGCTGCCTTCATCAACACATTGGCTTGACATCTGACAAAAGCTATCCCATCACAAAATACCCTACTCCCCTTCCAGCTGGCTTCAGGATAAAGTACAATTCAGTTTTATAAAAGACAGCAGTTACACTCAGATTTCGGCGACTGCTCCGAGTTAGGTTCTAAACTCTATGGTCATGGAGAATGAAGATGCTTATCGTCAGAATACAGTTGACTTGCTGAGTCAAGCGCTCAAAGCCCAGGGCTTAGGTGTCCTGGGCTTGTGTACGTTTGAAGATAAGACCAACTTGTACAGCAACTCTAACAACCCCAAAATAGCCAACATCTAGGTACCAGAGACCCTAGAGTATGCACCCATAAGTTCACACGGGACTGCAGAGCCACCGAAGCACTGAATTTCTCCCGAATCTTTGTCAAAATTACTACAAAGTGACAGCTTCTCACCACATGCTTAAAATCATGTCCTCGAGAAACCTTCAGGAAACATAATTTGCGTATACGTCAAACCCCACATCACTTATCCTTTGAAGGGTGATACCAAGAAGCAGGAAAACATACGCTGAAGCGAAGGCCAAGATAAAGCTCCACAGAGATTCCTATACATCAACATCGACTACACCACCTTCTCAGACACCACAACAAATACATGTTGCATCTGGTTCCACTTTTCGTAAGAGATATGCACAATGAATGCAGCCTCCAGAAGCACAATTAGCACCAACCCCTCTCCGCCCCAAAAAAACTGAAAAGGGAAAAAGAGTAGGAGACGTCTTTTAAAAGATGAATAATATAAAAGAGCAGACACATACAACCAAGAACTACACGTAGAAAGAGAAAAGTGAAAACCAATGAAAAGAGGTACATGTAGTAGCTACACGAACCATCAAAAAGATGATTCTGTTTTTCAGTTCAAAACCCCATTTTGAAAATGTGAAAAGACAAAATAAATACTTGTAAAAAAAAAAAAAAAAAAAACGAAAAAAACATGTCGTGAAAATATTAACTAAGTATAAAATATTTACTAGGATGTGTCTGAATCAAGCACTTGTAAGGTTGTTTTAAACATAGTTGCTGAGAACACTTCACAGTTGCACTGCAAAGTGAAAGATCGTTTTGTACATCAATGCTTAGAATGTATATATATTTTTTTATAAATCCATTAATTCTGTTTCTAACTTAGGAATATTTTAAAAAAACAAATGTATGATCTTGGTAATTGCAACTCATCATAGTTAATGAGCATTTGAGTATGCATTAAATTGTCACACATTCTTATTTAAGTCAACAATTCCACTAATGTTCCACAGATTGGACCTCTTCTAGTTTGTTTGTTTGTTTGTTTGTATTTTACATTTTTTGAAACTTATGCAGAACATTTATTTTACATATTTTTAAAAACACACTCTAAAAAAAAACTATAAAATCACTTTTTAGTTAAGTATTTGCCTCATGGGGTAGAATACATACCAATTCAAAATCACCTCCATTGGATTCAAACAATAAAATTATCAATAATATGCTTTTATTGTTATGTCATAATTTTACCATCATAATCCATTAAATAAACACATGTTCCCTCTGTCTATTTTTAAAAATGGTTATTAACTACCCATTTAGATTGGCATCTTTAATCAATTCGTTTGGATTACACTAAACATGTACTAATCCAAGATATCACATTAATCACAGCATCTAAAGCAAAAGCAAAAGAATGTATCATATGACTCCATATGTACCAATTTCAAGACACATGCATACAAATTGTTCATAGCAGAAAAACACCAGAAAAAAGTTTATTCTGCATCTTTTGGATTGAAGAAATGAAATATGCATAAAAAATGCTGCAAACATTACTTTATTCTCAAACTTTTAAAGCAATAATGGCATCAAATCATTTTATTATATATACACTATACTGATGATGATGCTGATTATTATTATCATTATTATTTTACAATGCTACAGAAACAACTTTTGGGCTCAGGGGCCATGGAAAACTTCAATACTAATGTCACAACATCAAGACCTCAGGTATTGATATCAAAAACAACACAGTATGATCCAGATTAATAACCTTCTGAAAACGGGTTTTTGACCCACACTATTTTATCCATACACTAATAAAGAACCACAATGCCTCACTATTTCCACAATCGACAGCTGAGAATGGTTGTTCCTGAGTTGAGAACTTTTGTTCCCGAATTGAGAACGGAGGGAACGACGTCTCCCTCGGACTGGAGATTCGACGTCGCCTGTCGGTTTTAGGGCTTGGTTCGAGCTTCTCTGGATCGAAGTTCGAGCTGGTGGCTTTGTTTCCCTTGCACTGGAACTGCATTGCACGTTGCCGCACTGATGGTGGTGGCTTTGTTTCCCTTGCACTGGAACTGCATTGCACGTTGCCGCACTGATGGGATCTCGAATTCCATTAGCTCTTGTAGCTGTGCAGACCCATTTTTTTCGCGAGGATTTTCATGGGCTCCACGTCGAGAATACTGCGAGCGGTACTACTTCTTGAGCATTCGTTTGCATTGGGGTTGAATTCGGCTGTCTGTGAGTTATCGAACTGCTCGAAAGATTTTGTATGGTTTTGGATGGGCTGCTGAGAAAGAATCGGAGAGAGAGAGAGAGAGAGAGAGAGAGAGATCGTGGCTATGGTTTTGGAGTATGTTTGAAAATTGTATTTTAGGAGATTGTTCTCATTCATAAGCTAGTGAATTTCTAAGGCGAGGCTGATTGGAGGTTGGTTGGAGACTTCTGGCGCACCGTTCGGAAGCAGTTACGGATGCATTGTTCGGTTTGCGACTTGACGTGAAGAGCTAGTGATGGTTGCGGTTTACATGAAGTGTGGAGTGTTGTAGCAGTAATGGTAAGTGATGCAACGGTCTAGGGTTCAGGTTTTTATTGAGTGGTTTTACACAGGTTTGACTTCTTCGTGTTGAAGAAATATCAGTTTGATTGCTGGGTTGTGCCATGCTGGGATTTTGCGGTACGCACCCGAGGAATTGCTGTATCCAGTTCCGGATTGGCTCTTTATTTGTATCGATCGTTATTTTATGGATTTTGTTCTTCAGGGTTCTTGTCGAATGAGCAAAGATGGCGTATGCACTGGTAGATGATCTGGACCCGCTGTCGAGCCACACTGTAAAGGATGGGGACATTTCCGTTGCCGATCGTCTTGCGCTAGTTAAGTACGTTATATATATATATTCGTTGGCTTTTTTTGTTTTATTTCGTGAGAATGCCACTGTTTGTCACCAGCGCCGCGTTTTTTTTATTTTCATATGTCTCCAGCACCTTAAATTGATCTCTGAAGCTGGGGTACAAGAGTGGGTATTCTGCGGATTCTTCGATGGCAAGCATTGCAAAAGCCGATAGGTTTACGATTAGGTGATGACAATGGTTGGGGTGTGTATGTTCATGATTCTGAATTTACATTCCGAGTTATGACAATACCGGTTCCTTTGCCGACTGTGCCTGGTCTATTCCAGAGTCTATAGCCACTATATGCGTAGTTGTATTATTATGGCTTAGAACGTTTGCATTTTATTGTCATGCGCATCTCACAGTTTTGAGAAAGTACTAGTTTTTGTGCATATGATTGAGGACTGAGGGTGGTAAAAAAGAAACAGTTATTGGTTGTGGGAAGGAGGAAGTATTTCTAACATGTGATGAACATCGTGGCAGGGTTGGGGTTCTGTTTAGGTTAGGATTGATAGAGAAGGATGGGTGACGTTTCCTTCTGAAGGAGGGGATTTGAGGAAAAGGAGGTGTAAAGGTAAAGGGTGGAAGAGAAAGAGAGATGAGCTTAGACGGGTCGGAGTCACCGGCACCGACATTATCACAATCATCCAGTTGTGGTGATTTAGCAGCTTTGCTTGACGTTGAGCTATTTGTACATGAGGAATCAATGCAGGCAGGAAGACGGGGATTTGGTGATCTATGTGAACATGAGCTCCTCTCCCTTTGAGCTCCTCTCCACTTAGGTTAGGTTCTGAATTTGAGCGTGTTTCCGTGGCACTTGGGCGATTTTCACCCGGTAGCTGTCAATTTTTCTTGTCAGGCAATAGTAGAAGTTATGTATAGGTTTTTGGGTTGTTTGTAACTTTTTGCTGTTAAGTGGCTATGTTAACTGGCTAAGCAGACATTCAACTGGGTTAAGAGTTGGGCTTATAAGCCTACGACGATGGTTTGAAGAGTGCCTGATTTTTCATCAACTATTCCTGAATACTTGCTCCCATTGGTAGCGTGAAATTGGTGCGTTGCTCCTACACACTCCTGTATTGGGAGTTTATAAAGTAGTTTGTGAAGCTTCTCCATGTTTGAGTGTGTACTTTAGTGGTACTCTTTTGTTGGTTATATTGTTGGTTATATTGTGAGCAGTCTTGGGAGACTTTGAATCCTAGTGAAGAATCTCTCTTGGGAGACTTTGAATCCTAGTTTGTGCATGCGGGTAGCATTGGCATCTAATGGGATTTGAGGGAATGTAAGAGGTGGGAATTGCAATCACTAGACATTGCGGTGGTTTGTAGAAGTCATTTAACTTTTTTGGATTATGATATAAGATAAGTAATCAAAGTTGTATCAAAGATGTACATTGAAGTGACTTTATTAAAATATGAAAGAAATCAAGTGTTGGTTTTAGGTTTATTTGAGACTGAGTATTTAGTTTTAGAATTAAGGATTCAATTTTTAGGATGGAAGATTGTATAGTTTGTGGGACAATATAAAAAAGAGAGTGTTTGAGAAATATTTGCAAATCTAATCAAATCTAATGTGTAATTTTCTATAGGTGTTGAGGTGAAATTGGAAATTAATTTTATTAATCCATTATGGAATATCTTTTGGAATCATTGAAGCTATATATATTCATGGTTTGGAGCTATTTCCATGGTCTTTTCATGCAAAGATCTTCAAGCATAGTAGAACAACTTGAAAGAAAATCAAACATGAAGGTATTTGTGGAGATATTTGGGAAGGATATGAAGTTTACATTGAAGCATTTAAGGTTTTATTGAAGAAAAATAACTTGTTAAATAGAAACCAATGTGCTAATTTGTGCAAGAAAATTGAACATGATACAAAGGTGTTCGACCACCTAATGACTTGCACTAATGATGAATTGGAATTTGGACCATTATTGAATGAGTTATTTTTCATATTAAACAAATCTTATATTTTAGTAGAAAGTTGTGGAAAAGAGAATTGGTTTGAAGAAGCGATCTTCCAATTGAATAACAAAGAGACTTTTAGAGAACTACTTTTGGATTTAAAATGTTGTTGTGATATAGCAAGTGATGTGCTTTTGAAGCATTATTGCAACAAAGTTGAAGACAATACCTTTGCCACTTTTAATGTTGCAACATATGATGAAGTGAGGGAGGATGTTGTGTTTCTACAAAAGAAGTTGATGCATGTAAATGGAGAAGAAGGTTTTGAATATTATGGATTAGCAAAGCATCTACTACAAAGATTTGAAGACTTGTTTTGTTGCTTTGTATAGAATGTGGAGAGTTGGATGATTTGAAACTATCATCAAACATGAAGAGGCTTAAAAATTTAAAACATGTAAATGAAGGAAGCTATGGTGAAGTTTATAAATCAAAGTGGTTAGGACTTGTGTGTGCGACTAAAAAGATGGATGTTGAATTTGATAAAATGTTTATCAAAGAAGTGAGCATTTTAGCTAGTTTGAACCATCCCAACTTGATAACATATTATTTTGCAATGAAAGATAGTGCCAATGGAAGTATTGAGTCTTTTGTAATAAAAGGCAAAAAAGAGTATTTTTATATTGGAATGGAGTTGATGCAAAACAATTTGAGCAATATGTTGGAAGAAGAAAAAGAGGTATCTTATATTTTTCTTATTGACATTATGCATTAAATTACAAAAAAGATGTATTACTTGCATGACATACACATTGCACATTGAGATCTAAATCTTGAGAATGTTTTGGTGAATATTATGGAGTCAAAGATTATGAATAAGATAATTCGACATGCTGTTGTGAAAGTGATTGACTTTGGAATGTCCAAGATTGAAATTGGAAGAAATCCAAAAGCCACAGAGAATAATAACATTTATGGTAGTCTTAGATATATGGCTCCAGAGGCATTAAGAAATAAATTTGAAATGATGGCAATGTGTCATTTTGAAGCTGATGTTTATTCATTTGCAATGATATGTTGTAAGATTCTTTCAAAAGAAGTTCGATTTTATGATGTTCATGGGATAAAAGAGATATTAAAAAGTATTGAGAAAGGTGAAAGACCAAACTTACTTTCAAATTGTGATGAATTGATTGAGCTTATTTAAGAATTTTGGAGGTTGAATCCTTTGCATTGGCCAAAATTTGGAAATATTTCTAAAAGATTGGAGTTATTAAAGAAAAAGCATTTAGTTGGACTTGGTGTGGCACATGCTCCAAACTTTAGAGCATCAAAAAACACTTATCATCAAAATAAAGAATTTTACCAAATACACCATGGAATGCCTTTGGTAAGACTTGTACTGAAAACTATAGAGATAATGTATTAAATTGATTATATTGATGGTATTTTGAACTTGTATTCACTCTTCTATGGCATAATAATATTCACATGTCTTAATAAAAATTGAAGTTAATAAGACTAGGTTGGAATATAGTATATGCATCATTTTGATTTTATTGTTGATTTTTGGGTGAATTTTCTAATTGTCGGTTGATATAGCTGAGGAAGAAATTTTTGGTAGATGAGAATATTTATCACATATAAGACAACAATGTGCAAATAAAGTGAAGGCATTGTATCTTGTTGGAATGCGTGGAATAGATAAGACCACAATAGCAAAGGCTATATTAACTAATGTAAAAGACATGTACAATGCCTCATGCTTTGTTGAGTGCATTGAAAGTGGTGGTGATTGCTATATAACTTCTTGCAATATTTTAGAACAATTTAAAGTCAAATCAAAACCAAAAGACATAAAAGAAGTTCAAGAAATGTTGAAATCATTCTTGAAGGAGAACAAAACCATCTTGGTCTTTGATAATGTGAAGAATCAAAGTCAAATTGAAGATGTTGTACCTATAGATGACCTATTTGCAAGCAATGGGAGCACATTGATTGCAACAACTCGAGATTCAAAAGCAATAAAGTATTGTGGTAAGGAAGTTCATAAAATAAATATTGAAGAACTTGATGAAGAAACAAGTATGAAGTTGTTTATCACACATTCTTATGGCCAAGAAAATCTACCCAATGAACTTATTGAGGTAGGCAAAAAAATTGTAAGAGCTTGCAATGGCCTACCATTGAGTTTGAAAGTTATGGGAGCATTTTTAAGAAAGAATAAGAGGTTGAGATGTTGGGAGCAAGCTTTACAAAAGTTGAAAAGGGGAAGAGAGTTGGATGGAGATGAAAACAATAGTAATTACAAGATTTGGAAGATATTAAGAGTGAGCTTTGATAATTTGAAAGTTGAAGAGAAGAGTATGTTTTTGGACATATGTTGTTTCTTTTGTAATGATGTGTGTCCACAAGGCATGTTGAAAGAAAGAGCATTGCGAATGTGAACCAATAGTCAAAAGAATATCTTTGGAGAAGATGTAGAATTGATGTTAGATACATTGATTAATCAATCATTGGTAAAAATAGACAAAGATGGAATTATAAGAGTATATGATCAACTACAAGACATGGATAGAAACATTATTGAAAATGAGATGGAGTATAAATACACAAGAATGTGGAACTTAAATGTAGATTCATTTCATGGATTAGCAAACAAGGTCATTTTACTTAACTATTAAGTAAATGACATGTAGAAAACTAATGATAATAAAAACTAAAGCTTTATTTAAATATTAGATTTTTATTTAATTATACTTATATAATGTTCTATTGATTGTGTTTCTGAGATGTATGTTGATGTAAAGTTATAATATTTGACAAATTAATCTTGTATTGTAATTAGATTTGTATGTACATTAGGTACATTTTTAATGGAGTAATTTTAATCTAATTGTGCATTTGATTGTGTTGATTTATAGTTGGAGGGATTATTTTGTAACAACATAAATAACTATAATATAGATGAAATAAGAAGTGCTTCTTTTTCATCACTTCGATTTTTAAGTTGTAATATTGGTGTTTTTGCTCCCGAAATTGTGATAAAGATTCTAAGCAACTTCTTTGTGTTGGTAAAGCATTCTCTTAGCGTAAAATATTTTTTATTAGACATGTCATGGGAATACAAATTAGAAGAAGAATTAGCAAATAAAGTATTACAAATGCTATATGATAAAGATGTTTGGATGAAGTTTGAGAGTTTAAATGTCATTCAATTAAAAAATTATTCTTTTATAGAGAAGTTTCCAAATTTATTCTTTAGAATTCCTACATTAATGGAACTTGACTTAGAAGGATGCTCAAACCTAACCATGCTACCAAATGAATTAGAGTATATGACTTCTTTGAGGATACTTAATTTAAAAAATTGTAGTAAGTTAAGATTATTACCAACATCAATAAAAAGTCTTCATGCTTTAAAAAACCTTAATATATGAGGGTGCATAAGTTTAACAACATTGCCAAATGAATTGGGCAACCTCACATCTTTGAATACCTTATATATGAAGAGGTGCATAAGCTTAATATCATTACCAAATGAATTGGGAAATCTCACATCTTTAACTATCTTGAATATAAGTAGATGGTCAAGCTTGATATCATTGCCAAATAGATTGGGCAATCTTACATCTTTGACTACATTGAAAATAAGTTATTACTCAAGCTTGACATCATTGCTAGATGAATTGGGCAACCTCACATCTTTGACTACATTAAAAATAAGTGATTGTTCAAGCTTGACATCATTGCCAAATGAATTGGACAACCTCATGTCTTTGGTTATTTTTGATGTTTTTTGGTGTAGAATGTTGGAATCATTGCCAAATGAATTAGGTGACCTCTTATCTTTGACAATCTTGGATATATGTTAATGCTCAAGCTTGACATCATTGCCAAGTAAATTTGGCAATCTCATATCTCTGACTACCTTATATATATATGGATGCTTTAGCTTGACATCATTACCAAATGAATTGGGCAACCTCACATCTTTGACTACCTTTCATATTGACTATTGCTCAAACTTAATATCATTGCCAAATGAATTGGGCAACCTCACATCTTTGACTACCTTTCATATTGACTATTGTTCAAACTTAATATCATTGCCAAATGAATTGGGCAACCTCACAGCATTGATTACTTTTGTTGTCAGTTGTTGTGAAAGCTTGATATCATTGCCAAATGAATTGGGCAATTTCATATCTTTGACTACCTTTGATATTGAAAGGTGTAAAAGCTTGACATCATTGCCAAATGGATTGGGCAACTTTACATCTTTGACTACCTTGAATACAAGTCATTGCTCAAGCTTGACATCATTGCTAAATGAATTAAGCAACCTCACAACTTTGACTACCTTGGATATAAGTGAATGCTCAAGCTTGACATCTTTGCCAAATGGATTGGATTCAAATGAATTAAGCAACGTCACATCTTTGACTACCTTTGATATTAAAAGATGTAAAAGCTTGATATCATTGCCAAATGAATTGGGCAATTTCATATCTTTGACTACCTTTGATATTGAAAGGTATAAAAGCTTGACATCATTGCCAAATGGATTGGGCAACCTCACATCTTTGACTACCTTGAATACAAGTCATTGCTCAAGCTTGACATCATTGCTAAATGAATTAAGCAACCTCACAACTTTGACTACCTTGGATATAAGTGAATGCTCAAGCTTGACATCTTTGCCAAATGGATTGGATTCAAATGAATTAAGCAACGTCACATCTTTGACTACCTTTGATATTAAAAGATGTAAAAGCTTGATATCATTGCCAAATGAATTGGGCAATTTCATATCTTTGACTACCTTTGATATTGAAAGGTATAAAAGCTTGACATCATTGCCAAATGGATTGGGCAACCTCACATCTTTGACTACCTTGAATACAAGTCATTGCTCAAGCTTGACATCATTGCTAAATGAATTAAGCAACCTCACAACTTTGACTACCTTGGATATAAGTGAATGCTCAAGCTTGACATCTTTGCCAAATGAATTGGATAATCTCACATCTTTGACTACCTTAAATATAAATGGATGTTCAAGCTTGACATCATTGCCAAATGAAATGGACAATTTCACATCTTTGACTACCTTAAATATAAATGAATGTTCAAGCTTGATATCATTGCCAAATGAATTAGGCAACCTCACATCTTTGACTTTCTATAATATAGGAAGATGTTCAAGCTTGACATCATCACCAAAAAAAATGGTCAATCAAATTTTTAAAAGATATCTTTAAAAATAACTTTAAAATAAATAGATAGTACATTGATATGTTAGTTAGAAATGTAGAATCAAGTCTCGAGAAGGTACATTTAAAATAAAATAATATATGGATTATATAGATGTATCTAGTTTTTTGACATTTGTATTTTTAAATTTTCACTTGATATATTGTAAGTCCCACCAATATAGATTAATTGGTGAAATTATTTAAAAAAAAAAAAAAAAAAAAAAAAAAAAAAAAACTTTAAATTTTGTTTAGATGTAAACACATTAAGGTTATAAATTTTATTTAAATATTTGAGTATTTATTATGATTTAAAAGATTTTATAAATTAAGATTTTATAAATTAAGTTGAAGGTTATGTATTCAAAGTATATTATAGATGCAATAAAATTATTAAACTATGAACAAGATGATAGATATTGTAAATAAAGAAGTAATATTATTTTACTATTTATTGTAAATATTAGTGATATTTCTAATTTATTGTGTATAAACAATTAATATTTAAATCTAAAATTATTTATAGATATTAGTTGTAAAATAAATAGGATATTTTTATTTTGTCTACTTTGTAATATATTGCTTATGGTAATTATGTTATATTTTATAATAGCTCTCTATTCAACTATGGTATTAGAAAAATAAAAGCATGTAATTAACAAAATGTTTCATTTATAATTTGGAATTTAAACAATATTATGGATGACTTAATTTATTTTTATCAATTCATATTTTTTTAGAATGTTTTATAAAATCAAATATTATATATATATATATATATATATATATGATCTCAAAAATTATAGAAGATTCCTTTGCAAGACAATGAACAGTCTCAACACATTAGAATATACCTAATAAGTTTAAATGAGCAAAAGAATGAATTTATAAAGAAGACTTGCTTTATAAATTTTCTCTTTTTATCACTCAATTCTTTATGATGATCACACACACACACACACATATATATATATATATATATATATATAAGTTATGAATATTTATAGTGATCATGTTACCATTTTTGTTTAAGTAACTACCTCCTTTAATTATAAATTATAAATATATCACAGTTTATATGTCTTTTGATGTTATTTTTAACTAATTTTTTCTATTTCTATTTGTCCTCATGTATGTTTCTTTTAAAAAATTCACACAATCTTCAGAAAGTAAGTAATATTTTGATTTGATATGAGATGTGTTAAATATTTATGAAAAAGTATGTGTGAAATAATTGGTAATTTTTAAAATAGATCTTAAAATAATTTCCGATTACTCTTTTTAAGAAATTTCTTAGACACCCAAAATTCAACACAAATTACGATGTAACGTTAAAAAGTTTTTTAATCATTAAAACCTCTACAACATTTCAAACATGTGTCATGATTACTTCAAAATTTTGAAGTGCTTAAAAAAAATGAAGTATAAAAAATGAAGATAGAAAGATAAATGCATCCACCTTCCTTTTAATATGAATTCAACATGGTACTTCTATGCATGATTTGAAAAGGTGTGGATGATGATAATTGACACAAATCACAAAATGAAACAAAACACCAGTAATAACAATAACCAGAATAAACCCACCTAACAAAAATGAAGATACACAGAAGATGTTCTCATTTTCTGAGTTCACAATGAGGCATTGCAAAGGAAAAACTTAATCATCAAACACAGATGCAGTTATTCATTCAAAAGAGGCTAAAAAAACTAATGACCTTGACAATCAGAGCTCGACCAAGGCCACTGACACGCCAGAGTCAACGCCTCTTGCGAGGAAAAAGGGCTCGTACCGACAGCTTCTAGCAGGAAGCCAGTGTCGGCACGGGTCGGAGCCTGATGGATCGAAGCGTGTGATGCGCATTCTATCGAAGTGGCTGTGAAGGGAATTTTGCAGTTGGTGCAGCATAGTTGCTAACTAGCATGACTCTGGATCTAGAACTGGATTATGCTCCTAGACAAGCATGGATCCGTAGGTGCGGAACCGAATTCTGGTTCCGACGTGTAGACCCATGTGTGAGAGTCCGATCCGCTTCTCTTTTGCATTTGCATGCAATTCATCGAATCCTGCGGCTGCAATCAGTAGCTCCAGAGATCATTTCTGTCACAGAGCCACGGTGATGTGGACTGAGCTATGAACGTCAGGTGGTGTGGATCTGTATCTGATGCCCTGGTTTCTGGAAGACAAGACTGTGAAACGACGAGGGAAACGGATGTTGCGAGGAGCCAACTCAACTTGTGTATTCCACAATTCCAGCTTACAGACAATTTGTTCTACAATTCTGCAGGAAATGAGTGGAGTGGCAGGTGAGATCTGTTGGAGAAATCCACTTCAATTCAATGGATTCTGTCAACTAGTCTCGTAGTCGAATAGGCTCGTGAACGACTTCCGTTCATCCACTCTCTTGAATCAGTATATGTACCACTTTAGTAACATTCAATAAATAGTGTTGTTGTTGGTTGCTCCAGTAT